CGTCTTCCCCCATTCCAAATAAACTTATTTCTCTCTCTTTGTTACCTCTTTCAGAAACCCTAGATGCTCCCCTCTTTTTCTCTGTCTTTCTCTGCTGCTCTCAGTATGCGTTACTTCATGCATTCAATTCTCTCTACATCTCAACGTTTAATGTATCTCTATTTTTTGTGGTATTGTTCTTCCACTGATTTCTATTAGCATCTCAATGTTTGGTGTATCTCTACTTTTTGTGGTATTGTTCTTTCACTGATATCTATTATATAATTTTTTTTTTTTGCGAATTCATCCCAGACTTTATGATACTAACAAAATTGAATTTTCATAGAGAAATCAGGCACAAACACACCATGTGAATTAACATTCAGAAGAATAATTAGAATTTGGTTACTGTTAAAAAGTCTAATAAATTACTTATTTAGAGTAACAACAATAAAAGAATTGTGTTATAATTATCACAAATATGAATTACTACCAAACATTTTAGTGGAGGTGTTTTTTAAATATTTTAATTAGTTTTGGTTGATTTTCAACAGTATGATTGTAGTACATAATTTGAAGAAGGAGACTTAAACAGTTTCTTTAAATTACGTATGTGTGCACCTTTTTAAATTAAAGAAAGTGATTTCATTCTTTATCAGCCAATTAATAAGTTGAACTATTGGTATGGGTCCATCCAAAATTTTCAAGAATTTTAGATCTACGCATCATTATTTATTTGTCATACATATAAACTGTTATCCTTGATTGTTTTAATTTGTATTGTGATAATTAATTGCTTGTATTTAGTCTGACCTCCACTAATGCAACTGAGTCATCAGTTTACGGATTTACAATAAAATATAGGCTTTGATATTTGTAAGATACCTAAAAAAAACTACAAATTATTATACTGATTTAAAAAAGTTCATATGCAACACACATGAGCATTGCATTCTTAAAATTTTAGTATGGTCATTTAACTATAATTTGACCAAGTAATATTTTATTATAAAAAGAGTAAATAAAAATTATAATAATTCAAAATAATACACGTGTAACGCACGTGTGCACCAACAAATAATGAGCAATGTAACAAGTGTTTGAATGGATTCAAATCATAATTTGTTGATTGTCCAGATTTTTAACATGAGTCAACACAAATCTAATTACACATGATATGTCGTTACAATGTAAATATGTATAGGCATATCGATTATAAATAGTTTATGAGTAATGTTGTTTCTACATAAAAAATTAATTTCATTTATTGATCCAATGATGTGATTTTGGTGAAATTATTGGATTAACCCCAAGTCTCAATATTTTATGAGGTCTACAATCAATCTAAAGACCATAGTAAATTAAGTCAGTAAATTAGGTTTCAATAGCATTGCAAATAGTTTATATATGAATTGAGCGTCATAATTCCCAAGTAACTGATGTAATATGTGTCCATTACTCTTTTTTGATTAAGAGCAATGTAATTTGAATTAAAAAATATTATTTAAACTTAATTTGAAGATTCAATTCAATGCATTCATTAGATTAAAGTTAGATAATATCAACATTGAAACTCATAACTAATTTAATAATTACATTGAATTAAATCCATGATTAGATCTCATAGCATTGCTATGTGTATTTTGGGACTTAGTTTGAGAATCTAAAATATTGTGACCATTGGATTACCATTGAAGCTTAACATTAAATGCTCAACAATACTCCTATGTTGGCTGAGATTTCTTACTAAATTTTTTATCCCAAATAATAAGGCACAGTTTTCACCATCAAACAGTTTTCACAATCAAATAAATGGAACTTCTTAATATTCAATGATAAAAATTATGTCACATTCACTTAATTAAAAATTTAGTAAGCATAATATTTTTGCTAATTGTTGCTATCAATCTAATTATCAAAATACTTTAGCACTCTAATTTTTTATTTATTTTTTTAATTAATTAAGGCATGCAAATTAATTTAAGAAAGAGAACATATGAAACTACATAATTAGTGGATAATGATTGTTTGATGATCAAGAAGAATTTAGATGAGTCACATACATAGTTGATTTGAAACTTGGAAGTCCCCCCACGTGGGACCCAACCGCACTGAAGAAAGGCTTTCATGTGGTATTGGCATATTGTGAGGTAATGGCCCTCTTCACTAGCTGGTTGTCTCCTTTGTATGTACTTGTTATATTTATGCACTCGGATGGAGTTATATATACAACTAGAACCATATAATAAGGAACTCATTTCAGACTTTGGGAATGCAAAACTCTCTCTCTCTCTCTCTCTCTCTCTCTCTCTNAGTCTTCCAGGATATTGGACAAACTCATATAAAAACTCACTAGTCAAAGGAAATGGACCATTGTAATGAAGAATGGGTAATTCATCAAATTGGTAAAGGGTTGGTCACATAAGATTAAATAACTCCAAACTTTTTGTCTTTTTAATGTTGGTATTAAGCTTATGGCTTTATTTATATTACTTTAAAAAGTAAGCATATTTGAAAAATATATTTTTTTTCACTTTTATCCTCTAAAATCACAACTATCTCACTCTTATCTCTCAACATTAAAGCCAAAATAAACCTAAATTTCCTCATGTTCCCCAAAAAAAACTTATGCTCCCAGTCTTCTCTTTCCCTTGTCGTTTAATCTTCGTCTTCCCCCATTCCAAATAAACTTATTTCTCTCTCGTTGTTACCTCTTCCAAAAACCCTAGATGCTCCCCTCTTTCTCTCTGTCTTTCTCTGCTGCTCTCAGTATGCGTTACTCCATGCATTCAATTCTCTCTACATCTCAACGTTTAATGCATCTCTATTTTTTGTGGTATTGTTCTTCCACTGATTTCTATTAGCATCTCAATGTTTGGTGCATCTCTACTTTTTGTGGTATTGTTCTTTCACTGATATCTATTATATATTTTTTTTTTTTGCGAATTCATCCCAGACTTTATGATACTAACAAAATTGAATTTTCATAGAGAAATCAGGCACAAACACACCATGTGAATTAACATTCAGAAGAATAATTAGAATTTGGTTACTATTAAAAAGTCTAATAAATTACTTATTTAGAGTAACAACAATAAAAGAATTGTGTTATAATTATCACAAATATGCATTACTACCAAACATTTTAGTGGAGATGTTTTTTAAATATTTTAATTAGTTTTGGTTGATTTTCAACAGTATGATTGTGGTACATAATTTGAAGAAGGAGACTTAAACAGTTTCTTTAAATTACGTATGTGTGCACCTTTTTAAATTAAAGAAAGTGATTTCATTCTTTATCAGCCAATTAATAAGTTGAACTATTGGTATGGGTCCATCCAAAATTTTCAAGAATTTTAGATCTACGCATCATTATTTATTTGTCATACATATAAACTGTTATCCTTGATTGTTTTAATTTGTATTGTGATAATTAATTGCTTGTATTTAGTCTGACCTCCACTAATGCAACTGAGTCATCAGTTTACGGATTTACAATAAAATATAGGCTTTGATATTTGTAAGATACCTAAAAAAAACTACAAATTATTATACTGATTTAAAAAAGTTCATATGCAACACACATGAGCATTGCATTCTTAAAATTTTAGTATGGTCATTTAACTATAATTTGACCAAGTAATATTTTATTATAAAAAGAGTAAATAAAAATTATAATAATTCAAAATAATACACGTGTAACGCACGTGTGCACCAACAAATAATGAGCAATGTAACAAGTGTTTGAATGGATTCAAATCATAATTTGTTGATTGTCCAGATTTTTAACATGAGTCAACACAAATCTAATTACACATGATATGTCGTTACAATGTAAATATGTATAGGCATATCGATTATAAATAGTTTATGAGTAATGTTGTTTCTACATAAAAAATTAATTTCATTTATTGATCCAATGATGTGATTTTGGTGAAATTATTGGATTAACCCCAAGTCTCAATATTTTATGAGGTCTACAATCAATCTAAAGACCATAGTAAATTAAGTCAGTAAATTAGGTTTCAATAGCATTGCAAATAGTTTATATATGAATTGAGCGTCATAATTCCCAAGTAACTGATGTAATATGTGTCCATTACTCTTTTTTGATTAAGAGCAATGTAATTTGAATTAAAAAATATTATTTAAACTTAATTTGAAGATTCAATTCAATGCATTCATTAGATTAAAGTTAGATAATATCAACATTGAAACTCATAACTAATTTAATAATTACATTGAATTAAATCCATGATTAGATCTCATAGCATTGCTATGTGTATTTTGGGACTTAGTTTGAGAATCTAAAATATTGTGACCATTGGATTACCATTGAAGCTTAACATTAAATGCTCAACAATACTCCTATGTTGGCTGAGATTTCTTACTAAATTTTTTATCCCAAATAATAAGGCACAGTTTTCACCATCAAACAGTTTTCACAATCAAATAAATGGAACTTCTTAATATTCAATGATAAAAATTATGTCACATTCACTTAATTAAAAATTTAGTAAGCATAATATTTTTGCTAATTGTTGCTATCAATCTAATTATCAAAATACTTTAGCACTCTAATTTTTTATTTATTTTTTTAATTAATTAAGGCATGCAAATTAATTTAAGAAAGAGAACATATGAAACTACATAATTAGTGGATAATGATTGTTTGATGATCAAGAAGAATTTAGATGAGTCACATACATAGTTGATTTGAAACTTGGAAGTCCCCCCACGTGGGACCCAACCGCACTGAAGAAAGGCTTTCATGTGGTATTGGCATATTGTGAGGTAATGGCCCTCTTCACTAGCTGGTTGTCTCCTTTGTATGTACTTGTTATATTTATGCACTCGGATGGAGTTATATATACAACTAGAACCATATAATAAGGAACTCATTTCAGACTTTGGGAATGCAAAACTCTCTCTCTCTCTCTCTCTCTCTCTCTCTCTGATACACTGTAGACTGTGTAGCATAGTGAAAAGAATCATAGATTATTTTGTGCTTATCAAGGAACAAAACAATATTAACCAATTCTCACATTTACACCCCCATTAATAAAAAGAAAAATACAAACACCATCCCCTTATTTAAATAACTCTTCAAAACCCCACCCCTCAATTTATTTGCTTAGCAAGTAATAAATACATAATCAAATTCAAAAGGAAAAAAAAATAAATAAAACCTTATAGTAACCACTACAGCCTTACACCCCCCACTGTGTTTCCTCTGTATATCAAATTTTTACCACCCCACCTCCTGCCAATCGGAATCTGACCCACCTCCTCTCCCTCTCTCCCCATCTCTCTCTCTCTCTCTTTGTGTGTCTCTCTCTCTCTCACTCGTCCGTGTGACAACTTCTGCAATCTGACCCAGTTCGAAAAACCACAGTCACTTCCCAAACACCCACATTTCAACTTGTTTCTCTCTCCGCTCACTCAACTGTGGTGGCCATTGAAGATGGCCTGTTTGTTACAATCTCATACCCACCTCCATCTTCTTCCTCGTCATCGTCCTCTCCTTCTTCATCCTCATGATCGTTCTGGTCGAAATTCTCGCTGTTTTGATCCTCCATTACCGAATCAGGCTGGTTGGTTTGCTGTGGAAGAGGCCATTGCTGTTCGGGTTGAACCATTATCGGAACCATCGGGTTTTCTGGCTTATTCATAGAGAATGACCCTGGATTGAATGAACCATCAGTCTTGGCTTTCTCTTTGTATAAAGCATCAAGCTGGTGAAAATATGGACATGTCTTGGCATCTTCAGGTCTTTTTTTATTGCTCTCTTTCACTTTCTTGAAGTACTTGTTGATGTTCTCCCATTTCTCTTTGCACCTTTTCGAGTTTCTGTTGTACCCAACCTTACGCATCGCGGCAGATATCTCCTCCCAGAGCGGTCCTTTTGGCCCGTTTTCTTGATACCTAAGATCAAGATTGGTTCGAAGCTTAATCAATGCTTCAACCTCAGCTTTTGGCCATCTAGAAGAGCTTGCTGGAGTAAAATTATCACCACCATTATCAGTTTTCACAGTGTCCACATTTTTCACGGCCAGTGCCAGTGAAGTTTGTTGCGTTGGTGGCGGTGGCGCTGGTAGTGGCGATTGTTGCGTTGGTGGCGGTGGTGGTGGCGTTTGTTGCAATGATGGCCGCGGAGGTGGTGGCGTTGGCAATGTGTTTTCTGGCAATTGTATATGCATTTGAAATTGAGGAACAGCATTTGGGTTTTGTGGGTTTTGTTGTTCTGTCACTTTCTGCAAGAATGCCATAACTGCTGCATCTTTGGCCGCCGCTAAAGATCTGTCTTGGACTAGAAGTTCGTGTTCCCTATTCATTCTCGCCATTTCTTGAACTCTCCAAGCTTCTTCTCTGATCATCCGATCCCGTTCACGTTTTTCCAACATTTCTATGAACTTCTTCTGCAAATCCTCTTGCTTTTGGATCACCTCCTTCATTAGCCTCTCGAAGAAGTCCTTCCATTCTCTCTTTCTCTTCCCCCTCCTTTCCGGCTGTTCATCGGATGAAGTCGAAGAAGATGTGGAATAAAACATCAAACTAGCAGCACTGTGAGAAAGATTTGCAGCGTTTGTTGCTGTGTTCATTTGTGGTGGTGGTTGTGACGGTGGCAGTGAAGAACTTATAGGGTTTACATTTAATGTGACAGAGTTTTGAGAAATTGGTATGGGGTTGATTGTTGATGGAACAGTGAGTTGTGACACAATTGGAGGCTCTGAACTTCCCGGCATTGCAACCGTCATTGTTGTGGCTGCCATTAATGGAGCTTGAGGTCGTGGTGGTGNGTGAAAAGAATCATAGATTATTTTGTGCTTATCAAGGAACAAAACAATATTAACCAATTCTCACATTTACACCCCCATTAATAAAAAGAAAAATACAAACACCATCCCCTTATTTAAATAACTCTTCAAAACCCCACCCCTCAATTTATTTGCTTAGCAAGTAATAAATACATAATCAAATTCAAAAGGAAAAAAAAATAAATAAAACCTTATAGTAACCACTACAGCCTTACACCCCCCACTGTGTTTCCTCTGTATATCAAATTTTTACCACCCCACCTCCTGCCAATCGGAATCTGACCCACCTCCTCTCCCTCTCTCCCCATCTCTCTCTCTCTCTCTTTGTGTGTCTCTCTCTCTCTCACTCGTCCGTGTGACAACTTCTGCAATCTGACCCAGTTCGAAAAACCACAGTCACTTCCCAAACACCCACATTTCAACTTGTTTCTCTCTCCGCTCACTCAACTGTGGTGGCCATTGAAGATGGCCTGTTTGTTACAATCTCATACCCACCTCCATCTTCTTCCTCGTCATCGTCCTCTCCTTCTTCATCCTCATGATCGTTCTGGTCGAAATTCTCGCTGTTTTGATCCTCCATTACCGAATCAGGCTGGTTGGTTTGCTGTGGAAGAGGCCATTGCTGTTCGGGTTGAACCATTATCGGAACCATCGGGTTTTCTGGCTTATTCATAGAGAATGACCCTGGATTGAATGAACCATCAGTCTTGGCTTTCTCTTTGTATAAAGCATCAAGCTGGTGAAAATATGGACATGTCTTGGCATCTTCAGGTCTTTTTTTATTGCTCTCTTTCACTTTCTTGAAGTACTTGTTGATGTTCTCCCATTTCTCTTTGCACCTTTTCGAGTTTCTGTTGTACCCAACCTTACGCATCGCGGCAGATATCTCCTCCCAGAGCGGTCCTTTTGGCCCGTTTTCTTGATACCTAAGATCAAGATTGGTTCGAAGCTTAATCAATGCTTCAACCTCAGCTTTTGGCCATCTAGAAGAGCTTGCTGGAGTAAAATTATCACCACCATTATCAGTTTTCACAGTGTCCACATTTTTCACGGCCAGTGCCAGTGAAGTTTGTTGCGTTGGTGGCGGTGGCGCTGGTAGTGGCGATTGTTGCGTTGGTGGCGGTGGTGGTGGCGTTTGTTGCAATGATGGCCGCGGAGGTGGTGGCGTTGGCAATGTGTTTTCTGGCAATTGTATATGCATTTGAAATTGAGGAACAGCATTTGGGTTTTGTGGGTTTTGTTGTTCTGTCACTTTCTGCAAGAATGCCATAACTGCTGCATCTTTGGCCGCCGCTAAAGATCTCTCTTGGACTAGAAGTTCGTGTTCCCTATTCATTCTCGCCATTTCTTGAACTCTCCAAGCTTCTTCTCTGATCATCCGATCCCGTTCACGTTTTTCCAACATTTCTATGAACTTCTTCTGCAAATCCTCTTGCTTTTGGATCACCTCCTTCATTAGCCTCTCGAAGAAGTCCTTCCATTCTCTCTTTCTCTTCCCCCTCCTTTCCGGCTGTTCATCGGATGAAGTCGAAGAAGATGTGGAATAAAACATCAAACTAGCAGCACTGTGAGAAAGATTTGCAGCGTTTGTTGCTGTGTTCATTTGTGGTGGTGGTTGTGACGGTGGCAGTGAAGAACTTATAGGGTTTACATTTAATGTGACAGAGTTTTGAGAAATTGGTATGGGGTTGATTGTTGATGGAACAGTGAGTTGTGACACAATTGGAGGCTCTGAACTTCCCGGCATTGCAACCGTCATTGTTGTGGCTGCCATTAATGGAGCTTGAGGTCGTGGTGGTGGTGGTGGTAATGGATGTGGAGGATGGTTTTCAAGGGCCTCTAATTGATCGAAGAACCGATAGGTCTTGCCGTCTGGTTTTGAAGCTCGGCCTTCCTTGGTCCTCCTGTGGTACTTGTAAACATTCTCGAATTTTTCTTTGCATTTCTTGGAACTTCGATGATAACCAAGTTCACTCATTTTCCTGATAACAACAACAGTTCCATCCAATGAAAAGACACACTCCATGGCATTTCTACCTATATTTATCCCCATCTCGAATTCATCACAAAACAGACTGCAAGTAACAGTCATCTTCACACATAAAATAAACATAAAAAATTAACAGTAGTATAATTAAAGAAGAAAATTTCAGATCCAAAACAAGGAAAGAAAGAGGCCACAAGAGGAAACAAGCAACTTTTCAAACACATTTCCTTTCTTGGGAAAACATAACGTTCTAGTTGAGAGAATTTATTAATTTTTCTGCAAATTCGATTTGCTGAGTTATGCTAAATATATGGGTAAAATGATTAAGATTAGAAAAAAATTTCAAAGAATTCATGCTTGTGAAAACAATTCAATCCAAATTCAGAGAATTCAGGCTAGAATTCCCAAGAAAATCCCAGAAAGAAACCAATACCATATAGCGATAACCGGGAATCTGAATTTCCACAAAGCTTCTGAATTTCGATAAAAATGAAGTGAAAAAGACTGACCCTTTAATTCAAAAACAGTAATTCAATGAAGTTTGATCCAAAGATCCCTTGAAACAAACCCAAAAAAACTTCAATATTCATGATTTCTATAATAAGATTTATGCTGTATATATAATCTTATATATTACCTGGATACTTCTTCCCATAAGGGACCTTTGAGACTTGAGTCGCGAAACACAACGTCCATATCAGACCTTATCTTCAGCAGAGCCAATGTTTCCTGTCTAGGCCACCGGTTTCCTCCCGAATTTCTCTCTCCTTCTTCAATTCTTGTCTTCTCTTCTTCACTGAATCCGCCTGTAATTGTCTCCAAACCACCGACTGCACCACCACCACCACCACTGGCACCGCCACTTTCACGAGCTTCAGCTGCCGCTGCGGCGCCATCGACTGAATTGTCTATTAGCCCAGAAACACCTAGCATCGTCGGAGTTCTTTCCCAATTACACCTTATGAAAGCAAAAAAAAAATATCTCCAAAAACTGAAGATGGTGAATTCTGTGGGTTTTATGAAGATGTGTATGTGTGGTGAATTTATTAATTTATTTCGGTGGGATCTACCTGTCAATCTCACACAAAGAGATTAAAATAAACAGAAATTGAAAAAAAAAAAAAAGAATTCCTTTTTAAGCTGTGGAATCTATGGTTTTTTTTCCTTTTTTTGGGTATGAAAGGTTTTTATATGCATCACCACAAGGGTCACTACCCACTTGGGTTAGCTTTTCTCAGTAACAATAAAAATTGCACAGAAATACAAAATATGTGTGTGAGTGAGGGTATTTATGTGTGTGTATATAGAGATATATATATCAGTATATAAAGATAAAATATAGAGAAATTTAATGAATAAATGTTGAAAATTTGAGGAGAAGAAGGTGCAGAAAGCGACGATGGTGATAATAAGTTGGTTTTTGTCTGTCCAGCTAAATATGGTTAAAAGCCGGGCCATGTAGGTCAGCTTTGCTTTTTGGGCGTTTTGGAATTCAGTGACTTGTGGTGGGGTGTGGTTGTGAAATGACTATACTGTCCCTAACATGTATCCCATTGACCTTTCAATCATGGAAGCTAATCTCACCAATTTTTTTATTAGATTAACTCATCATTGATCAGGGATTCCCTTCTGTAAACTCAGATTTTTTTTTATATTGGCCTTTGATGAATTACCGAAAATGCCCCCATCAATTAAAAAAAAAATGCATATACTATGGGGCCTTTTATAATCGAGAATCATCTAAACTAGAAATTTTTTGAATTTATGCAAGTCACATAAACTCAAGATACGGATAATCACTTACTCGAATATGTATCTCTTGAAAAAATTGAACTTGAAACGATTAAAACTCTGTAATCTGAACTTAGCCAGACATAGAGTGAAAAATCTGTTAGTTAATAATGAATATGTTTGGGGGAACTTGGTGCATGTGTAGCCGCACAGGCAATCGAGGGCCCACCACAGCTAATTTGTTATCATAATTGTCAAAAATTTGCCTTAAATACAGNAAAAATTGAACTTGAAACGATTAAAACTCTGTAATCTGAACTTATAGAGTGAAAAATCTGTTAGTTAATAATGAATATGTTTGGGGGAACTTGGTGCATGTGTAGCCGCACAGGCAATCGAGGGCCCACCACAGCTAATTTGTTATCATAATTGTCAAAAATTTGCCTTAAATACAGATTAGAAAGGTCTATGTAAGGTGGGATCCATAGTTGAATTATAACTAGATAGATGTAGGTCATATTATTAGGCAAATTCATTTATGAACAGGTCTAAATAGTGACAAATTCAGTTAGGTTGCAACCTAACATAATAAATGGTTTGGATATTTAAATGGCCAAGGCATCATGTTCATTGATGATTTGAGAATTATTGGAAAAACCCTGGACCTATAGTTTGATATGGGTAATGAAGTTTTGAATGTTTATCTACTTATGTCTATATACGTCATTATATCTAGTGTAATCTAAAGAAAAAAGAAGACAAGAGATATTAAACAACTTGTGGGGATTGAATTTAGGTTTTAAGAGCTCATAATATGGGGAGGTAGGTGTTGGTCGGGGGGCTGGCATCCCCAATTCAAGAACCAAGTTTAGGGTCATCCCCGTGGCCCTAAACTTTAATTATGCATTACATAGTATTTCTACAAATAAAAATAATATATTTGGTGAATTTACTATATTAGTCTGGATTTTTAAGCGTTCAAAAATCAATAATTGATACAAAATAGGAAGAAAAAAAAATTAGGTCAACTCAGACCTAATCGAGCTCTATTTCTTTTAGAAACATGGGTCAAATAGCCTAATCTTCCACCTTGCATAATGAGCTCCTACCTCCTATCTTAACATTGTCATTCGATTAGCATATGCTACAAAACAAAAATAAAATAATTCTCCTTTAATCCTCTCAAAAAACATGTCATGTAATATGATATGACTTGCATTATGCCTATCAGAGGAGTTAACATGGTGTTTCCCACTTAATTATAATCTATTTAATCTTGGTTTATGCACTTACTGACTTAGAATTGCAACTGCAATTTCAATCTTGGTCATTGCAACTACATTTATTGACTTAGTTTAGCTTAATCAATGTGTGTACTAAACTTTATCTTTAAGTCATCAGATATCTCTGTTAATTACCGGATAGATTTTTGGGATAGTTCAAAAAGAGGGTCAAAAAATAAAATTATGTAAAGAAATTAATCAAAAAATATAACTTAACATACAATCATCGTAGATTTAATGTAGGTAACATTGTCATACAACACATACTCAAATTGGTCTAGCACAAAAGAGAAAATGGAAAACCAAGAAAAGGGAATGCTTTTTGCCCCATAGAAAATGGAATAAGAAATATAATAATAATAATAATAATATAAGAAGCTAGTTGGTTGCGTATGCTTGCAATTACCTGNTTGTTAAACTGATAGGGGTGTCTGAACCAGTTTACACGCACTTCAACTAATCTCTTATCTGGTTCTGTCAAAGACAAGTTATTCACGTTGAGACTAAAGTATTCAAAATGAGATTTATCCCTCATAATCTGATCCCAAAAATTGTTTCACATCGTAAAACTATAGCTTCGATCTCACTTCATCCACTCGATTATTAAATTTTTCATTTTGTCCATTCATTTGATTTTNATACCCTTTTTTCTTTGGAATTACGAATTTCTTATGCCCTCTTTCTTTGACTGCTCTCCATTCTACCATTTTTCGGTTCCATTTCTTGCTTCATTTTTATGTTTTTTGTGACATTTGTATAATGGTTCATTCGAATTTTTTAATAATATTCTACTTAATTTATATAGATGTGATCCATTGTGGCATATCAAAAAAAAATTTAATTATTTTTCCAAACTTTTATTTTTTTAGTTCAACTGTCTGGGATGCCCGAACTAGTTTTATGCACCTCGATTAATCTCTTCCTTGGTTCAATGAGACTATGACCTGGCCGTTAAAANTACAATGCGAGAATTAGAGAATTGAAGTGGATTGATTATGTGCGACTAAGGCCATAGTTGGGATGAAAATGTAAATTTTTTTCTGGGTTTTTTTTTTTTTTTATTTGGGTTTTGGAATGACTATGGTTGTTAGTTCAAAAGTTTGAATATGGTAGATTAATAATTTTTTATTTTTTGATTTTTCCACTAGTTGACATTGACTATTTCCATAGACAACGCATTTTTGGGTGGAACCTCCACCTNTTTTGAATGCATAAGATATATTAATATATATAGCTAATACTCTACAAATTGAACTATGCAAAGAAAATCTTGGTAATCTCTAGAAGGCAGAGCATGAGAGATTTATCTCTTATGAATACCCTAATTTCGTCGTGAATGATCTACCTTTAACTGGACTGGAAAAAGGATTAGTCGAAGTGTGCATAAATTAATTCGAACATCTTTTACTATTAAACCAAAAAATATAACAATGTAAAGAAAATTAAAATTAGTGTTAGTGATGAGGTTAGTCATAGTGTAATTCAAAGGCTACCTACCATGGTTATGTTGAGGAAAAAACATAGTGTGAGTTGGACGAAGATAGTATGTCAACATCCAAAAAAGTTAATTTAAGTGAACGTGATTAACATTAATTGGAAGTACACTAATTTTGTATTAATCATAGACAGTCCTATCAACCTTGCCAGCAAGAACCACAGAGATCGAATCACTTCAAATCAAAGGATTGATTTTTTATTTTTTATTTTCAAATTCCAGACAGGGTTGTAATTATTTATGTATTCGCATCAACATTTTTTTTTAAAAAAGTAATATTCATTTGGTTAAAAAAATAAAGAGGGAATCAAATGCTAATCATTGTACACAATGTGCATCTTTACCGTAACTCCTAAGTTACATCAAGTCGAATAGTATATTAGCTTCATTACTTTTTGTTAAGAAATAAAAAAAGATAATAATAGGAAAAATTATGCTACAAATTGTTATTTTTTTTTTTGTTAAACTGATAGGGGTGTCTGAACCAGTTTACACGCACTTCAACTAATCTCTTATCTGGTTCTNGTTAAACTGATAGGGATGTCTGAACCAGTTTACACGCACTTCAACTAATCTTTTATCTGATTCTGTCAAAGACAAGTTATTCACGTTGAGACTAAAGTATTCAGAATGAGATTTATCCCTCATAATCTGATCCCAAAAATTGTTTCACATCGTAAAACTATAGCTTCAATCTCACTTCATCCACTCGATTATTAAATTTTTCATTTTGTCCATTCATTTGATTTTATATTGCCTCAAAATTAAATATTTTTGACAAATGTATGTGTCATTAAATCTATAATATAAAATATAACATGCTTTTAAACACAAATTACCTCTAATTCTTAAATAAAATGAAACGAAATCGCTCAATTCACTGAACAAGGCAACACAACAACTATAAGTAGAGAAACAATGCGAGAATTAGAGAATTGAAGTGGATTGATTATGTGCGACTAAGGGCATAGTTGGGATGAAATGTAAATTTTTTTCTGGGGTTTTTTTTTTTTTTTTGGGGGTTTTGGAATGACTATGGTTGTTAGTTCAAAAGTTTGAATACGGTAGATTAATAATTTTTTATTTTTTGATTTTTCCACTAGTTGACATTGACTATTTCCATAGACAACGCATTTTTGGGTGGAACCTCCACCTTTCTAACAACTTGAACTAGTTATACACATGATTTTGTCTTTTTTACAGCACAAATATTTGACAACCTTGGTTACTTTCACACGTATAACTCAACTCGGTAAAACTTTTATCCTAAATATTTTGATTTTTTATTTTGTTCTATTAGAGATTAGAAATTATTATTCTAAAATCTCAAGTCTTATTCTTGCGGGAGAATTCTAATACATCGGACACCAATGGTTTATAAGTGAGTATGGGCATCCGATTTTTGCTTTGTAACCATATATACAAAATACAAGAGATTGAGACGATTATATATTCTTGTGAAGAAAAAAAAAATTCATTTTATTCCCAACTGACCTAGACCAATATGAGCTGTTTGATGTAATCATTGTTAGCCCATTTACAAAAGTTACACGGCACAAATGTTCGATCAAACAATCGTTCGCATGTGAATGTAAATGCAAATCATGTCTCATCCATATGTGGAATGACCCTCAATATTATCTGGCAATAGCTAAGGAGAGTTTTGCTTTGCTTTCTTTTCTTTTTTTTTCTTGTTTTTTTGGGGGAGAATTGTATTTTATACCCTAAAAGATTTAAAAATCGTCACTTTGCACCTTTAATGTATAAAAAAATGTTGTAATATGACTTTTTTGTTAGCTTTCCGTTATTTTTTTGTCAATGTCAATGAGTTGAATTTTGACAGAAAAAACAACAAAAGCTGACAGAAGAGCCACATTTCAACACTTTTGATATATTAATAGTGCAATGTAAAAAGTTAAATTTTTGAAGGCGCAATGTGAGAATCATGAAATCTTTTAGGATACAAAATCCGAAAAAAAAATTTTTTTTTTTTTTTTTTTTTTGAAAGTAAAAGTTTTCCTTACCTTTTTCCCAAATATATTTTACATATAACAATAATAATAATAATAATAAGAGGTGGACAATTACAAACCACATTTTCATGGAGCCCACCAAAAAGAATTTGTGACTGCATTTTTTCAGTAACCATAACCACATATTTGCAGTCAAAATCAACTTTTCTTCTGTAAAGGAAAATGATTAAATGTGACCCACCCCTAGGTTTGTGGTCATGTTACAGGGCTTTTATCAACACCCCAGTAAGGTTTGTGTATATGTTTGCTTCTCCTAATTTTTTTCAAAGATTTTAAAGGCCATACTCCCCTTCCTTATCCCCTCTCAATATAATTTGGGCTCTCTTAGACTAAACTCTTGAATTCGTCCTTAACTTGACTATGACAAAAACAGTGTCAAACTGCGAAGTTATATATTATTCTATGAAATTCTCGTCATTGTAGAGAGTTTGGAATAGGTTAAATATATGCAATCTTACTCTGCACGCGAAGAAATTATTTCCGCAACTTGAACTAACCAGCTAGGTCACATATTTCCCTACTTTTCAGCCTTTAGGGCATAGAGATATTCTATTTTGTAGGTGAATGCATATGAATACAGGCTGGAGATTAGGAGGCTTAAGTGATAGAAAAAAAAAAATTTGCCCTACTTGGAAGTTAATACAAACATGTGGCACGCACGATTTAACTGCAAAATACATATGAAACTGTAGAACAAGCTTTAAACACCCATGAGGAAATGTTGCTTAAACGTAATTATAAATGCATAAAAGCATGTGAAGTTGGAAGAATCATCAACCCAGGTCACATGCTATTTTTTATCTTTACCCTTTTAGGGTAACATGGGGAATCTCCATCTGGTCTGGGATGGGACTCAAGGAGCCATGGATTCAAATGGCATCCCACAAACATTCATACATACATACATACATGGCTAACTTTGACAGATGGTTGAACATGGCATGGGGCCTCTCCTTTCACTCCAATGCCTCACACTAAATCTGCGAAATATGTGTTAGCCACATGTTTGAGAGTGTGTGTGTGTGAGAGAGAGAGAAAGAGAGAGAGAAAGGGGGGTATTAGGATGCAGTAAACCATCCACCAATACACATGGATGAACTGTTGAAGAAAATTGAGAAAACTTTTATTGGAGTCGTCGATTTGCTAATGTTAAATCATCTATCCTACTAATAGAGAAACTCGTTTGTATTGAATATGTTTTCATTTAGTATCTACTGTGTTTCATCTAGGTTTGCACATATGATCCTTCTTAAACTCCAACGGGAGTCTCGTACACTTGAATATTATACACGAAGAATTTTATATTTAAGTACTGGAGTTGATATGAATCCGAGGGATAGTATTTGACCAGCTCCAGCAGATTTACCAACTAGTATTCTAAAGTTTTGAGTTATGAACTTATGTTTTCTCACATCCAAAAAAAAAACAAACAAAAGAACGATTTTCAGATAGTTTATCCTTCTTCTTTTTTTTTTTTTTTTTTTTTTTAGCAATCTAATGCTTTGATGTTGTCATAGTCTGATATGTCTCTTTCATCAAACAAAATGTGAAACCCAAGAAAAAAAAGGATCAATTGGGTAGAGGAATTTTGGCAATGCTATGTGTTTGATTAAAAGTGAGAACGAGGAATATCAAAGACTAGATCAAAAAATAAAAAAAGGAATATCAAAGTCAAATGGTTTCATTTATAGAACTACACTCCTATATTTTTGCATATGAAGATATATCATCATTACAATGTATCTCCCCATGAAACAATGTCTCCTATTAGCCCAAGTTGGTTATCCAGCCACCATAATACTATTATACTTGGTAACGTGGCAAATTTTGGTGGCATCTTGAATATATAGGTAAATTCAGTGTGGATGGTTTGCCTTTGATAGGACCGGTGAAAAAATTAATCGAGGTGCACATAAGATGATCCAAACACCCCTAACCATTGAACCAACAACAAGAACATATTGATAGGTAACTATTGGTAGGAACTAAAAAACTATCAACTAAACCCCTCTCCTAGTGAAACATGAGACTTACAAAACTTATAAACCCCTCTGGTTCTTAATCACAAAATCCCTCTTGAACTTCAATTCCCTTTTTTTTTTTTTCTTTAGTTTTTTAGAGCAACATTATTGTCTTTTTAATGACATAGATATGGGTATCTTTGATTTGAACTTGTATCAAAAGATCAGCAACGATATCAAAAGAGTAACATATCGTTTGATAATGCTTTTTGAAAGTATTTTTATTACTTTTAAATTTTTTAAGTTTTTTTGTTTTTCCCTGTCGGGACTTCTAACCATAGTCACATATATATAGATAGTTTATGTACTAAAATGCATCTACATCCCTTTTTACAAAATAGTAATTAAAAAAAAATTGAAGAAATTATTTTTTTACTTAAAAAAAAAAAAAAATACCAAACGGTACTAAGTTACAAGGCAGTGAAATACTGCCTACCAGGAAGTGCTGATTTTTATAATGGGTCACTGTTGATGGCCCCCATGTGGACCAACTTAGCACTTTAAAAGCCCATATTCAGCAGTGCCCGAGGGGTGTTGAGGTCCCCACTCCTTGCACATTGCTATCCACTCTGTGTGTGTGTGAGAGAGAGAGAGAGAGAGAGAGAGTTGCACATATCAACAAAAGAAGGCGTTACACTTTATGTTAAGCACCAAATGTATTCTTCTTTGCTACTCACGTCCACTTCTGTGATGTGAGACATAAATGGATAAAGCTTTTAGTCACAATCACAATGGTGTGTTTGTCTATAACGATTAATATTCCATGAAAGTGCCCAAAACCTACTATTCCATCTACTAATCCTCTCCCCACCATAGCCAAACACTAGGACAAATACCACAGCAAGTGCTTCATCTGCATGAAAAAGATAAATAAATAGGCCAGTTTTGGATGTAACATGTCATATAATGGGTGCTCCACACTTACTGCAGGCTTAATGAAACCTTCAGGCTAATCCAAAAACCTTTGTTATTTTTTATTTTCCAAAATAACGTAATTTCAAATTTACTTACCAAACTACAGTTCTTTGAATGAAAGCGTGTTTCCAAAATACACATTTAAAGTGCAAAGCATTTTTCAGAAACATGCTCTCATACAAAGAACGATAGTTTAGTAAATACGGCGTTTTGGTAAAAAAAAAAAAGTTGCAAAACTACCCATATTTTGGTAAACCACAAACATGTCCCTGCTTTGAACATAAAAGCCCTAAATTACTGTTGGGCTGAAAAACAATTGAAATTCTATTCGATTGTAGAATTTTTCTCTAACAATTGAAGTATGGTATCAGAGAAGCATATTTGAGGGAGTTACCTTGGTTGAGTGTTGGACTTCCGAGCCTATGCCACGCTACCCTTTGCGAGAGGAATCGATAGCCGTTGCCCAGAGCAGCTTCAGCTAGCAACCAGAGATGGAAAACCCCAAAAACATATGCTTAAATCTGACCATACCAATAGCTTATAGTCAGTCCTCAATAACATTCCAGGAACAAGCCAGTCCTTAATGCAGTAACTACATGCAATGCAAGTAGTAGTACAGAGCATTAGTTACAGCCACATGCATCCGACAAGTTAAAGCCACTGTATTGACAAGAGGTGAAAATGAAAACAGAATTATAATGGTACGGTATTCTGCTAAGGATTCTGCACAGAATTTAGAACTGTTGAATTAAAGCTGAGCTTAGATGGGGACACAACCTTGAATTTGAATATAGAAAAGATGTTATCTAGGACCATATTGCACTGTATTTTTCTGAATATAATGAAAATCATTAGAACAAGAATCAGAGATCACAGACCAATAATTTCCATATTCAAGATGAGTTCCATTTTGTGTACCTGATAATTGAAGTGCATTTAACATTGTTCATGAAACTGAAGGGCTATGCAAATCTCCAGCTCCTGAAATGCTTCAAGCACCGACAGGGGCTAATACCCGGCCTAATCCAAAATGATCCTTGTTTACCTTATGAGTGTGTTCTAGAAAGGGTATTCCTCGCAATTGCTCGTTGTGATGCAGTGGAACCATGGCCATTAGGATCTCAAGAATCAGCAACCCATATGATGCAAAGAAGCCTAGGGCAGCGCAAATTGTCTAGGTGCATATTCTGATTAAAAAGCTCATATCAAGGATTCAAATCAATCAGCAAGGCATATTCCAGGTACCTTTCCTCTTCGGATGATTCCTAAATTTCTGGACAAAAGAAAATCTTGAACAGGAAAGCCAAGAATTGCATTTGCAATACACAGCAATCTATATGTCTGAGCAGTCATTATATACAACCGCAGATTGCCCAGCTGGGCACAGTTTGATAATGTGTACCTGTGCGCCCTGCCTCCTAATATCTGGCATTGCGCTAATTGCTCATTCCCATTCCACAACACAATATCCTTGTAAGCTAAGGATTGCAGATGCCAATCCTACCTCACATGATGTTTTTCTTGTATATAGCATTAAATCCATACATGTAGGTGATTAACAGCAAATTACATCACCCGCCAACTTGAAACACTTATTTCATTTACAGAAGGAAAAAAATAAGTTTACTGACTATCAAAAACCACATGAACTTCTTTCACGACACAACTGCCCACCGCCATTTTGAGCACCCTTTCTAGGTTACAAGGTCATGACCATTTTTAACACTTGAAAGCGTACACAACAATTAAGAATGCAACAACACGTCCCACATGAATACACAAACAACTGGATATATCAATGATCACTCGAATTGCCAGAATTCATATTCACAGTGAACATAGAGTTCGGAGAAATTCCACTGTGAGGGTAAATAATGGTGAACTCAATTCTGAAGCATCAAACCTTGAATCCCTGTGGAAATCACTTTTTCCCATTATCTTCAAAATTTATAATCCCTCTGCAAATGGCACTTTAAAGGGAAATTGACATTCAAATGTTGGCTCTTAAACAAATGGTCTTCCTACATGTAGAGTAAGATGGAAAGGTGGGGGAAGGAACAACATGGTCACAGTGGCACCTAGTTTGCTTGGACTTAATTCTTCATTAGAATTAGGGCATAAAAATATAATGACCACACAAGACCTAGGCAGACAAAGTCTGGTTGGTAATATGGACAAGCATAGGCATTCCATCTTTAAGAAGTTCAGCTTGAACACTACTCCATTTATGTCCAATTCGGTGTGCTTGATGTACTAAGGATGTGTAGAAATGTTGAATTACATCCCAATTTAATGTGTAGGAAAGCTAGCAACTTGTGGTCTTTCTTCTCTTCTTTTCAGGATTTGAAATTTAGTTCGTAATTGAAGTGCTAAGAGAGAGAGAGAGAGGGGGGGGGGAGAAAAGGAGCTTGTTCAGGAAAGACAATTATATTCTGAAAGCAGCCCCATTGTGATGACGCTTTAGGAAGTTTATAACTGAAAAATTAATCCTTATGCTTACGGGATGAATCTGAGGAGACACTGATCTTTTTGTGAACTTGAAACTTTGGGAGTAGATTTTGGTATAGGGTGGTTTGTTGGCTTTTTAATGTTTCTTTTGTTTGCCTGCCATCTACATAACGTGTACATAGGATCGTGGCTCCTTGAAAATTATAAGGTGGATCCTCTCGCATCTATTAGAAAAAAGAAACTACATTGTGAGCATAAAAACTAGAAGTTGAATAACAATGTGTATGAACTAGCACTACAACAACAATGCTCCTAACATTGAAATTTGGAGAGGGGGAAAGCAGAGATGCACATATGTCATCAAGAGAAATAATACACTGAAACTAAAGCCTAATATTAAATATTCAAGACTTACAAACAGAAGCACAAACAAACAAGGGTTACAAGGATAACAGAGCCTTTACTTCCATAATTAGATAACACCATAGCATTTAGGGCAAAACAGTGAATACTGATAATTTGAACCATCTACCATACATGCAAGCAGGGAGATGACTTCCAACATGATTATCAAAACACTTGCTAGTCAAACTCAATTTAACAACATCGGCCAATTAGTTAATTTCAAAACCCATCTCCCTCCGCTTCAACTCCAATGCCATACGCTCATTCTCAAGTTTCATTCTCTCATTTTCCATTCTCATCACTTCCAACTCCTGGTCTCTTTTTTTGCAAAACCTTTGCCACTTGAACCGTTCTTTCTCCAATTCAAACATCTGTGCCTGAATTTGTAGTTTCTGTTCTTCTAACTGAACTGCCCGATGGTTCATCCGCTGCTTCATGTTTGCTTTCATGCCTTCTGGTAATGCTTGATTCATATCAGCATGGGCATCTTGTGACTGAGAATTGGAAGTTCTGTTACAATCTAAAAAATTCAAGGAATTACCAAAACGAATATCGCCATGACCCTGGCATTGTTTTACCCTCTTTGCTGAGCTCCCCTGCATCCCATATATGCCACTACGATTCCCATGCAAATCATGATTTTCCCCCAATTCATCATGTTCATCCATTTCTGCATCTTGATCATCATCCTCAGGATCATCTTGTGGCTGCCTCCTCATGTCGTTGTTCTCATGATCATCTCGACTCCTAAGAGCCAATCGCAAAGAACGCTGCAATTCAGGATCAGGAGGCAGATGCAACCTGTTTCTATTGTGGTAAGAACACATCTCTTCATAGAACAGATGCTTCGAGCTTAAAATTTTCCTAACCTCCTCCTTTGCTTTCTCTGATATGTGATCCATTATGTCCATAAGGGTCGGATTCTCAACAACCTCACAAGAAGTTCCCCTCCCAAGAATCTCATTAAGTCTCTTATACCTTTTGTTGAGGTCATTAAATTTATCCTCACATTGCTGAGGCGAAACAGAATGACCCCTTTCAGCCATGACCTTTGAGACAGATTTCCACTTACCCTTTTTCTGCAAATTCGCATACCTCCTCCGCGCCCCACCACCACATTCTGCAGCAACATCCTCACCTATATAAGAAACAGCCGTGATTAAAAGCCTCACCATTGTATCAGTCCATTTCACGCGCTGCCATGGGGACATCTTCTTCCCTTTACTTGAATCATTGTGACAATCAGCAGCATCTTCCGTAAAACTCGGCTCATCCTCATCACTAGCAGGACTTTTTCCCCTCTCTCCTTTATTGTAATCAGCCAAAGAAATTGTCTGATCACAATCCTGCAGATTTCCCATCGTCAGAGGGAAACCCTCATGAATGGTTTGATGAACCATCGACCCCTGTCTAGAATGAGAATGATGCTGTTGTTGGAGGCTAAAGGGTGGTTGCTGCTGGTGATGAACTCTCATAGGACCTTGCAAGTCAAGACCTCCATAAGAGGCACTACCAGGAATCATATTACCTGAAGATAAATTGCCTTCCATTGCTTGTTCAAATCAACAATTCAGATCAAATCCATAAACCCATTATTCCCAAAACCCTAGTCCAATCACGATTTTTAGCTCTGCAAAATAATTTACCCCAATTCAGAATCAAACCCTTTTTCATTAAAACCCTCATCCAACAACTCTCCTCGCTACACAAAAGCTATGTGATTATTAGTTCCAGGACTCTAAAGTTCAGAAACAACCAAACCCATTTCAAACTATTCCATGATGATATCCAAGTACATCTAGAGCTATCTCATCAATCAAGCGACACTTCTTTCCTAATACAGATAGTTCATACAGAAAATATTTTTAAAAAAGAGCTTACCCATTTATAAATTCCAAAATCAACTCAAACAGAGAAACCCAACAAGAAAATCAACAAAAAGTGAAGGAAAATAGAATCATGAAGCAATCAATATAGAAATCAACAACCGGGTTTAAGAGAATAGGAAGTTGTACGGGTGAAAACATTACATGGAGCTGATGACCCATAAAGCTATGAACTTGCCTCTTATTAAGCCGAAATTCTGGGTATGAAGATGACAACCAATATCCCCACACAGATTAATTTTTTTTTTTTTTTTTTTGGTGCTCACAGAGAGATTATTCAATCATATTTATATGAGAGGGTTGATATGAAAAACACAAACCAATGAAAGGGTTCGTGCAGATTCAATGTATGGGAGGATCGGTGGGGTCCGTTTGAGCATATTTATCGATGACGCCTCCCAGAAAGAGGCGAAAGAGCTGATGTCAATTTTGCCAAGAAGATTGTGTAACAGCCAAAAAGCCTAAAGGTCGTACTATGCAACAGACTCATGTTTTCAAAGTAAAATTGTACTGGTATTTCAAAGTTTTAGTTAGGAATTCATGAGTTTTTGTTAGGAATAATGCTATGTCAACTAAATTTATGCTCAGTTCAAAAATAAAAACTAAATTTATGCTTGTGACAAAAAAAAAACAAATTTATGCCCTAAAATTTTTAGGACAATCTACATCACCAAAAAAAATTCAATACCGAATCGATATTTATTATTTTTGTAAATATTTTTATCCCTTTTTTTATAAAAAAAAAATTGAGTTTTTTAACCACTATTATGGTAATCATTTTTACAATTTTTGTGGTACTTGTAATCTGATTCTAAAAATTGTCAAAACAATTGTCAAAACAATGATAAAAATATTTATAAAAATAATAATTTTCTTATATAAAAAAATTTATAAAAATTATAAAAATATCCATTAAAATATTAAAATTTGTTCGTACAGTATCAAACTATTTTTCCCGGTATCGTAGTCAAGCCCGAACATTTCAAATGACGTAAGAATAAGAATAAAAAGTTGATTGGATGTGCAATGAGAGTTAATGCGACTCATAATTTAACAATGCACATCATTTGATGCAAAAATTTTATGTATATAGCATTATGTTTAGTGTAACTATACCATAATCCTTGGACATTTCAAAATTGATTAAAAGATTTCTCCTACAATGAAGTTTACCACTCTACTGACCCTAAACAATCTGATCAACACGAATCAATTGGTCTCTTTTTTTCTCGACAATTTCTTTTCTTTCCGTATCATTATACTCATTTTTTAAAATATATTTATAAAAAGTAAGGTCCCGTTTGGTAACGTTTTTTATTTTTATTTTGATATTTAGAAAAAACAAGAAAAAAAAACTCGTTTGATAATTGTTTATTTTTTTTTTCTGTCATCATTTTGTAAACGATGGGCGATATTCAAAAACAAGAAAAAAGACATTTTTTGTTTTTTGATTCTGTTTTTCGTTTTTAAGAAAATCAAAAACCGTAAACATTACCAAACGAGTCCTAAGTTATTCTTTTAGGAATGGCATTCATAACTAACTTACTGTTGTATTCATGTTGTAATATTCTATCTTTTCAAAAGTAGTGTCTTGTACGTAGCCTATGTTTGGTAAGAGATAGACACAGGCTATAGAAACATCCACTATTGTTTATAAACTTTGACGATATACATTTGGCAAATTATATCGCGAATAGTCTTAGTAAACCTCAACCAGGGTGACCAATTTTTTTTTATTTTTTTATTTTTTATCTTTATTGATATCCTTATAAAAGAAAGTTTTAGTCACAATATATGAAAGAGAAGCATTCTTGTATGTTTATAGAAGCTTAAAAGTAAGATCGTTTGTTTTGCCATATTTTCTAAAATTGAAATGGCATGATTGGAATTTCAAATGTTTTTGTTGGGTGGATATCTAAACCATATACATGTACTAAATTTATCTTTGCTATAAAATGGGAAGCGGGAAATGTGTAAGGAATGTGAAATTAATGTTTGTATTGTTTTATCAATGAAAAAAGAATTTAATGTATGAGAATTTTGCGCCGAGAGATTTTTTTTTTTGGGTTAGTATGCACAGTGAAATTTATAAATCAAACTTGTAATACCCACTTTATAATTGCGCTAAGATTCACCCTCTAATAAAAATAACAAAAAATTTTATAAACCTTGTGTGTATGCGTGCATGTATGTAATTGTGTACGTGTAAAGGAAAATTTGTTGGGTTGACATTTGAACATCAACTAGTTACCAAACATTAAAGTAGAAAAAAAGAAAGAAGATAATCTAAAAAGAGAGTACATAGAAAGGATGGACTTTTCTTTTTAAAAAAAAACAAGAATAAATAATCTATTATGAATTTAAGTAAAACTCGTTCTTTTTAAGTAAATTCACTATGCACGGTAATCATTAGAAAAAATTGAAGAAAATGCATGGATCCAAAAATCAAAGAAATGTCACTAGATAATTGAGATATTGGAAAACTTTCCAATCAAAAATAGATGGAATCAAATCTAAAATCCATACAATATATTTTTCTACAATTTCACTCGATAATAAATTATGTATTCTGATTTGATTCACGACCCACTTATTTGTAATGGCTCCCACTTAAATTCGTTTATAGCGATCTACCATTAAGAGGATAACAAAAAATGTATTTGAACGACTTTGTTACCAACGGAATGCAACGGATTTAGGCTGCATCTGTAACCGAGTGCAATTCTCAAAGGTAATGCAAGACCAAGAAGGAATTTGCCAACCGTCTCGTTGTAAAGAACCTGTTCATAAATGTTAACATGATATCTTAGAGGGGGAGCAGGGCGGTGGTTCCATCCTCATCACTGCAAATCAAAAAAAAAAAAAAAAAAAAGCCAGCCAGCCTTCACAAACCAAACAAAGAATGTATTGCTAAAATAGAGACACTACCATCTTATGTAAATTTTCGTTTTTTACAAAGAATGTACGAATGATTACGGCACAACAATTACACCACAAGATAAGAATATCTTAAAATGAAAATGATAGGTATAGATCACTTCATCTACGTCTTTGCCTGGAGAAACCTGGGGACCCGCTTACGGCAGGTTGTGAGCCTCTGAAATTTCTGCTGGGAGAATCCATTGATCCCCTGAAAGAAGCATATGCTGCTTTGGCTGATTCTGGAACTGGTATCGACTCCATAAAACATGCGGTGTTAATCCGAGTCCGCTCAAGCTCTGCTTGAAGTAACTCAGAGCTATACTGCTGAGCAAGAGCCTGAGCAAATTAAATGATAAACATGTATTAGGAAGCAAGACAGAGACCAATAACATATGCAAAAGCAAAAGGAAATAAATAAAGGACGTAGAGCCAGGATGGTGAGGCTCAACCCCAAGAAGAATGTCCATTGCCAGTTAAAAAGCCGGTGGTTAAGCAGACACCCCATTGTTCCTGGTGTTGCAATGAATCCTGTGGATCATCCTCATGGGGGAGGTGAGAGGCAAGGTATTCACATTCANTCAGAGACCAATAACATATGCAAAAGCAAAAGGAAATAAATAAAGGATGTAGAGCCAGGATGGTGAGGCTCAACCCCAAGAAGAATGTCCATTGCCAGTTAAAAAGCCGGTGGTTAAGCAGACACCCCATTGTTCCTGGTGTTGCAATGAATCCTGTGGATCATCCTCATGGGGGAGGTGAGAGGCAAGGTATTCACATTCACTTAAGGACGAGGTCAATATAGCTGCGCTAGCCCGCCCTATTTTACTTGTTCGAAGCAAGGATATATACTAGTAAGACAGCTCCTAAATAGGTAAGACTAAAGCAACTAGTCATAAAGAAGGTATTAGTACAGCTATATACGTAAAAGGAAACTCATTGTTACTCATATCAAATGGGTCTCTCCGTATCATTAGATGGGCTACTGCACGCTAACAGCTAACAAAAATAGGACTTTCTTTTATAAACAAATATGCCCTGCCATTCAAAGGGAATTCATTCTTCGATCTTCATTTTGGACGTATGGAATTCATTCATCTCTAGTACCGAGGATAGAAAGGAAAGGGGAATTTATCAAAGGTTTTTGGCTTGCAATAAAACTGGGGTCCTGATCGAGCAACTAGTAGTCTGGTCCTTATAAGATTCAACGGAGCCAACACATACAGAACAAAAACACTAAGCAACCTCTTCAGAGAATGCTTAAACATATTGCAAGAAAGCTTAAATAACTGGGGAGTTCCTTACAATCAGGTCATCTGGTGACACAGTCATTCCCTGCTGTCTGTCATCCATAAGCACATCATCACTTCCACGAGTTGGCCGGCGCTGATGGCTTGGAGTTTCAATGGTCTCCGTCACACACTCTGTAGCTTTTTCCAATAGGACCCCTTGCAAAGACTTCAGAGACTCACTTGCATCTGGTGTAAAATATGGATTCAATATGGTCTCGAAATACTCAAGCTGCAGAAATATAGGCCAAACAATTAATTTGACTAATCAAGTAAACAGTCCCAGGCTTCTGAGTCACGAAAATTGCTTGAATCCTTTCCAAATAAAATATAAAGCATTGTGAAAAAAAAAGAGGGGGTGAGAGGAGACAAAATATATATATATATATATACAGAGTAAACAAATTTCCAAAGCATTTTCAGGAAGAAAATCCACTCCCCTTTAAAATATTTTAATATACTTCGAGGGGAGCCATGCAAACACATGGAGTTGCAAACATTGTATTGTAGAATATATTCCAGGATGAAAAATGGAATAGCACATTCACCTCGAGCATGAGCTGACAGAAACCATTTGCATCCAATGACCTAAGATCTTTGGTCTTGTTTTCATGAAAAAGGCTCAGGAAAGTATCAATCAAGCCTTCGACTAAAATACCAAGTGTCTTGTCCAGCAAGGGCTTACAATAAGCAAAGACCTGCACCAAGGAAGCTTAATTAAGCCAACAAATTATAACAGTTGGTCTTGACCACGTCTGACAGAATTTCCTTAGATTAATGCATACAACTTTGAAAGTAGTTAACACAAAAATTATAACTCAATGCATTACATCTAGCTAAAAANCACCAAGTGTCTTGTCCAGCAAGGGCTTACAATAAGCAAAGACCTGCACCAAGGAAGCTTAATTAAGCCAACAAACTATAACAGTTGGTCTTGACCACGTCTGACAGAATTTCCTTAGATTAATGCATACTACTTTGAAAGTAGTTAACACAAAAATTATAACTCAATGCATTACATCTAGCTAAAAAGACATGAACTAAAAGAGAGAGAACTTCTGAAGATGACCCTGCAAAGGAATGCAGTAATTACCTCTGCATGCACAGCGACTAGAGTGTGCAGCAACTCCACAGCTGCATCACGCACGCCCTGCAGAGTAATATCATTTTTACAATACCATTGAAAGAAAATCAATGTTTAGCAATGTATTCCACTAGTTTCTCACTTTGACTGCAGGTGCTCCTCCCCATTGAATTCCAGCATCNTAACTCCACAGCTGCATCACGCACGCCCTGCAGAGTAATATCATTTTTACAATACCATTGAAAGAAAATCAATGTTTAGCAATGCATTCCACTAGTTTCTCACTTTGACTGCAGGTGCTCCTCCCCATTGAATTCCAGCATCCAACAAATAGTTCACAGCAGCAGTTCTAATCAGATTTGTCTGTGAGAACATACAACATTGCTGAGGTAATAGGTCCAAAGTAGAAGGATTGTCTTGAATGTTTGTGGGCTATTACACATAACAGTAAAGTCAAGCAAAAGATAGATGTGCAAAACATTTGAGCATTTTTTGTGCCAGCCTACATGCCAAGAGCAAATAAAAAAGACGGAGCTATTCTGTTAATGTTGCGATCAAAGCTACAGTTGGTCCCCCCCCACCCCAAAAGGACCCCCTGTGTGCGTCCCGAGCTTATCTACCTGAGATCAGATGATTTCCACCATCCGAATACCCGGCATTACCAATTGATTTAGCAGTCAAAATTTCATGATCAAATATCTATTGAAATAGTTTGACCTAGATGGCTGTGAACGAGAGATGACCAATATAACACCCATTGACAAATTTGTCATATCATTACAACAGAAGTTAACATCCTTGAAGACAGGTTGGACATTGTGTAAACAAATATTTCTAAACAACTGTTTTTAAACAATATACCAGAAAAAAAGTCAAGTTCTTTCTTATGTACTAATTAGTCAAATCTACTGTTGAAGAGCAATGTTAAAAGGATTTGAGTAAGTGTGTCAAGCATGGATATTTGTTTAAGAATAAATTCAACGAATGCTCAAATCCAAATATCCGATGTGCCTTCAAATTTTAATATTCTTCATAACAAATCATGAGACTATTATGCGTCATGATGTTACATGGATTAATATCTAGATGTATTTGCTGGGAACGTATCCACTGGGAGGTCAGACAAATATAAACACTCTTACAGAAGTGTCAAGTATCCAGCACAAATACCTAAAGTATTGAAAGAGCCTATGTAACATAGCTTAAGAGTAAAAACCAAAAAACAAACAATGGCTTCAATGGAAGTGTTTGCTTCGATTCCAGATGTGTACAATCAGAATGCCATTTCCTCTTTCTCTTCATGTTCTTTTCTTCTTTATCAATGGAAAACCATTGTGCTTCTTCGAAATTGATATATTGTTTTTCACCTAATGTTTTAAATGTTACTATGCTGTCTGAGATGCAAAAACTTGGAAAAAGTTGAACCAATTTTAGCCTCTCTACAACTTTAGATATTCTATACAAGACTCGGGGGAATTTAAATGTCAAGAATGGTCCAATATTTACGGGATCAGACTGTAGTACATAATTGTTTTTGATAACCAGCTGAGGTATTCACTAATACTATTAAGAGCACCCCACGCCCACTCCTCCGCCCCCGTTTTGCATGACTAAAAATTTCCTACTTCTAGGAATTTAGATTTCAGCTTCGGAAAAAAAAAAATTCTTAACCAGATCCACCTACTCATGTTCCCAGACAATTCAATACTTGCAAATAAAATGAAGAATGTTACCGCTTTCTGTGTCATATTGAACCAAACAAAACCAGAGTCAATTTTGGTCAAAATTATACAATTAGTCACTGTAAATTATCCAATAAACCAGAGTAGCTTGTATAAGTTGCATGCACAAAGACCTGCCAGTAAATCCAAATCCATGAAAATAGGCAGAGGACCATCAGGCTTGACCAAGTACTTCAGCCACAAGTTCATCAATCCAGTGAAGGTCCAAAAAATCCACAAAGCAGCTAAATAATTCTAACATGCATTTCTATGAGAAAGCAACAATTTTACACTGAGGGTAGAAATCCAGCTATACCTTCGCAAAAGTATACTGTGCAAGGACCTTCTCTTCAAGCCCCGCGAAAGACATAACCAAATCCTGCATATCACTGTCCTCCTCATCTTTCCCCCTGCAGTAGCAATGACAAGACAGCATGGTTCAAAATGACATTTAGCAAGTTAATCACAAAGCTAGAATAGAGATTTTCAACCATTACTAATTTGATAAGTTGCACCCCGTCTGTGAGCTGATAAGATAGAAGAGAAAAAATAAATGACTGAACTATTTGCAAGTCAGAACTAACTGATGATTCAAGTGCTATATCATGCTTCACCATCTAGAAGAAGGTGAAGGGTTCAGCCCCCAGGCCAACAGAGGGAGTGAGAAAACTTCCTAAGGGATTGAGAGTGCTCTACATCAAGGCGGATATAGAATTGGTGAATAACCGCAGGCCTACTTTTGCTATGACATTAACTACTATGTTTCAAGCTGAAAAAGAAAACTTAGTGGGGATCATAAAGCTACTCANAGGGAGTGAGAAAACTTCCTAAGGGATTGAGAGTGCTCTACATCAAGGCGGATATAGAATTGGTGAATAACCGCAGACCTACTTTTGATATGACATTAACTACTATGTTTCAAGCTGAAAAAGAAAACTTAGTGGGGATCATAAAGCTACTCATGACTCTTCGAGTTCTGGGCAATTTATTTTTTTTGGTAACAGTGAATCGTTCCATGTGATTTTTGGATTCATGGCTGCAACACAAACCTCAAATGCATGCAATCACTTGCACACTATGCACATCAATTAAACCCTAATTTATGTGGCTGGAGGGACACAAAAGAAAGTAGTGTTGTTTATGCCTCGTCCCTTGTTCCACTGTTGAATCAATCCATGTTGGTTCGGGCAATTTACCATTATCCAAACCCGACAATTCCATGTTTTCTTCCCAATNCTTGCACACTATGCACATCAATTAAACCCTAATTTATGTGGCTGGAGGGACTCAAAAGAAAGTAGTGTTGTTTATGCCTCGTCCCTTGTTCCACTGTTGAATCAATCCATGTTGGTTCGGGCAATTTACCATTATCCAAACCCGACAATTCCATGTTTTCTTCCCAATAGGTGCAGGCAGTTAGGCTTTGATTAATGCTCAAACCAATTGTTGAAGTTAAGGATATGCCCTGCCTGGTAGCCTAACTGGTTCATCCAGAGATCTAAAATTTGTCACACAAAAATGCATTAAATGAGAACAAAGGTAATCTACATGTCTCTACTGCACATCTGAATATATTTTCTCCTGCAAAGGACCAAAGGTCTGTCTACCTACCTAGACTGCAACCAAGTATGCTTGTACTTGTTGTACAATTCCAGGGAAAGTTCATCTTTGCAGTATCCAATGTTACTCAAAACCAGTAGCAGCTGTTGATGTGGATCAGTGACACTTCCAGGCAGAGGGTCAGATAACTTTTCTGGCAATTCATTAGAATATCCATCTTGGAAATGTGCACTTTCTCTGCTTGATCTATTCTGGGAAAGCCCGCCTCCAATGTGCTCCAGATGACCTGATTAATGAAAAGCAGATGGATGTAATGAAATCTAGTACAGGATCTGTTTCTACCATAGAGAACAAGATATTATTGACACAGTAACTCCGGCAATATACCAGCAAAATCCAGCAAACAGTTCAAAAATGCAAGTCTGACAGATTCTTGGATCTCCTGAAGCTGCACAAACATATCTTCTGAACTTGAAGCCTCACTTCTTAAAGATTGAATCATCCTGGGAAAAACAAATAGTCGGACAATAATCACAAGCACTGTAGACTCGTTCAGATAAAAGAGTTCAATAATGTACTGAATGCATAAAATATAAAAAAAAAAATCCAACCACAATGCCCACACATTTATTCTTCTTTTTTTCCTTTGAATTTTTCTTTCTTTTTTCGGGCTTTGTGAGTGTGTTTTTTTTTTTGTTTTGGTGGGGGGGGTTGATTAAGGTGGTTATGATAGGGAGGTTGTCCTATGCAAAAGCAACAATGACCTGCCAATCACTTCTAAGACTAATGTTAAATGATCACTGATAATGACTGGCTCACTTTCAAGTTTCAAATTTATTTCAACGTGTTGCTGTAATAGGAATTGGCTTCTTTCACTTATATATAGTTCTAAAGAATGAGATGCCATTGCTAAGAGCCAATGCAATTATAGTGATGTGAACAGGCAGCTATTATTTTTGGAGATGACACAAGCTTTGCCTTTCATTGGGGTCAGCCAAAGTGCACCCCCCATCCGAATGGGTTTAGGGACCATCTTCGCCTATCCCACAACTCTAGCACCCAAGCCAAGTACAATCAAAATCATGTGGCATGTGTTATGATGCGAATGAGAACATCAAATCCATGGGCTGCTTGGGCACAACTCAACACCACGAAGCAAGTGCTCAGTATGCCTCCAAGTTGCAGTGACATAACTTAGGTGTCATTATAACTACTATTGAAGCATTCAGCTGAAAACCAATTGACAACGAGGAGGCATTATTATATAGATGTGAGGCCAAATCTATCCCTGCACACACAAGCTCCACTCGCTCGCAGAGAGGTAGAAAGAAAAACCATAAGACATAACCAGGTGCACAAATGGCACAAACATAGGGAGAACTCGTACTAAATCATTGAAATTGAAACAAAGAGTCTTCCCCAAGGCCTTCTAAAGCCCAACTCTAATATCATCCAATCCATATTTAACACCCTCCTCATATACTAGCTATGGAGCCGTACTTATACTGTTGAGAGAAAAGTTTGTTGTAAAACTAAAGAAATATAGAGACTACAAAGAGCCAAGAGAATATAGAAATGCTAGAGAATAAAATGTCACAACTTGTATTTTTCAATGTACCCAATACCTCATTTTATAGGTCATCAAACATAATGACCATCAAATATAATATTAAACTTGGTATATAGTGTGTTAGTTTATATGGATGCCATGGACCTTACACTTATAAGTGTAAGTGTTTGTGGTTATCCTACAATCAAAAAAAAAAAGGTAGGAGTCATAGACTAATGCAATAGCACCCACTAATTCATATTTTCTTGGGGCAATTGATAGGTCATGGNCCATCAAACATAATGACCATCAAATATAATATTAAACTTGGTATATAATGTGTTAGTTTATATGGATGCCATGGACCTTACACTTGTAAGTGTAAGTGTTTGTGGTTATCCTACAATCAAAAAAAAAAGGGTAGGAGTCATATACTAATGCAATAGCACCCACTAATTCATATTTTCTTGGGGCAATTGATAGGTCATGGGCCATCCACTTTATCACAACATAATTACAGTATTTACAATGTAATATAATAGGAAAGAAGGATGAATATAGAGGACGAAGGAGACACATAAAAAAGAAAACAGGAGAGGAAGGCACATATCATGCAAGCCCATCGTCAACTACCGAATAAGAAAAGGGAGAAAAGAAAACTGAGAAGAGTAAAGACGAGAGTGTGGGCATATTGCCAGCATTTTTTTTTTTTTTTTTTGATAAAAAACAACAGTTCCATTTCATTGAAAGATATAAATGTACATAATTAGTGGATAAAAAATCCACCTAAATGAGCAAAAATTAAATCAAATAAAAACAAAACTATGGATGAAAGGCGGCTTTCCAGTTGTGTTTGAGAGATAATAGAAGAATATCCCAAAACTCATTGGTATCCACAGGGCCACAGCCCATAAAGATGCCAAAAACTTCCCTATATTCCATAATAATTCCTTTTCCTCCTACTTTCCTTCAAAGATTATATGGTTNAAAATCCACCTAAATGAGCAAAAATTAAATCAAATAAAAACAAAACTATGGATGACAGGCGGCTTTCCAGTTGTGTTTGAGAGATAATAGAAGAATATCCCAAAACTCATTGGTATCCACAGGGCCACAGCCCATAAAGATGCCAAAAACTTCCCTATATTCCATAATAATTCCTTTTCCTCCTACTTTCCTTCAAAGATTATATGGTTCCTCTCTATCCACACTACCCAAAAAATAGCTGAAAAAGGCGCAATTACATAACTTAACAACCTCAAGGCCTATGCTTGTGCATTTTAAAAACCCAAAAACTATGACAAAATTACTAAAACAAAACCCTACCTAAGATGGTTACATTCAAAGCCTTGAACTCCTTTCCTAAAACTTCGGGAAATAGCAAAGTTTGAAAGACCGCAAGATTCAGCAATACTTCTAGTAATTCTTGATTAACTAATATTGATAAACTGCCATATCAAATAGGGTGCATCAAGAACCCCTGACTATGGCATCAACAGCTAAGAACCGTGGCATCCACTGCTCTAATGAAGTAGGCAGAATCCAAAGAGGAGGACCCTTAAGAGTTACGCTGGTAAATCACCCACCTTCTCAAAAGGCGGAAAACAAAGACGAAAAAATGGCTGCCATGTTGGCTAAGAAGGCTTCTCGCAGCCTCGTCTAAAGTCCAAGTGGCAATCCACTTTCTTGGGCTTGAAGTCTGTCTATTCATTTATTTTCTTTATTTTAAAGATGTCATGGCCCAAACTACACCACTTTTTAACATGAAATAAAGTCATTTGAGCTAGGAAATTGATTTAAAAGACATTACAGACTGTACACAGTATGCTGCAGAAACTTACAAATTTATCTGATCCATCACTGAGGCCATAATTGAACGAAACACCAGAGGCAAAGAAGAGATGGTGTACGGAGATTTGTTTCTTTCAAGAATAGATACCACAACCCATGATTCACCTTTTGTTATCTCTTCTGCTGATGTCCGCATCCACGAACACAGCCGTAGTATGTAAATTTTTGTAATCTCAGACTGCAGCGTCCGCAAGGCAGTAACTATCGGTCACAGAAACAAACACTCAGACCAATTTGAGAATACCATAACCTGTATCAAGAGAGAAAGTATAGATACCAGCAATTGGAGGTGCTGATTCCTTTGCCTCAAAGGCTTGGCATGCTTTAGACATCTCATTTATGGCATCATTCATGTAAGGGCAAAGAATATTCGATTCTTCAAGATCACGAAATGTGCTGTGGACCTGCAAAAAATGAGGACTCAGTTTCTGCTTTAAACCAATTTCTGGACTGAAGAGGGGGGAAAAGCCTCACGGTCAGGAGCAAATTAGGTGGCACACATCTTTAAAATGTATTTGCCAAATGCAATGTTAGGACCAACATTTTGTTACTAGGATTATGAAGTAGAAATAGCAATAACGCAGCTAGTACCAAAGTCCATTACTGAATTATTTTGAGTTTGACATACTTATTTTAGTTTAGCAAGTCATCCTTATACAACAATCATGGTTCAAGGTCGTGGTATTGGCCATCGACCTAGAGGGCTCTGAAACACGTTGATCACAATGTCACGTCTCAGTACACAATCTAAAAGAGGAAGTTGACTATGATAAGAGATTTAAGTCATATCACGATGTCGTGAAATGTTATCGGTCAATTAGGTGACAATAGCTTGGCCGCCAGGGATTGATTCAGACAACTCGTCAAAGTCTGTGAGTCATGCAAGACTCGACATTTACACGTAATGTCTAACAGAATGTGCCAAGTCAGACATGTACTCAAAAAGTGCCGAGTCATATCTGACTCGGCCGGCTCATATCAATATCAGCGATACTTTGAACCTTGTATACAATGCTAGACACCATCTCTATGAGAGAGTAAATCCTTATGTCACAATTACTCATCCTAACATAGAGAAATAACACGATAGCACAACCTGACCAAAGCAATTTAAGCAGTTTCTTTTCTAAATATCCTTTAGTGCATTAATGACTAAGATGACACCCCAGCCGTAGCTTTGCAGGAAGCAAGCATTCTATGGAAGAAGCTAGACGTCTCCAAATTGGCTTTACCACAAAAATCCAACTCTCTAGTAGTCTTAGGCTAGGAGTCTAGGTGATCATTGGCATGCTTGTTTTGTAGATACCTGGAATTCCCAAGGGTACGTTAGTTTGATGATTTACTATCAGATATTAACCTGGTCCATTTTTGAATTCGTTTATCCTAAATGGCATTTCAACCATTTTTTGGGTAAATAGGCTTTTCAACAATTTAATCAAATCTGGACCTCCAACAAAATACAAACTGGCTGACTTCCCTAACTTGTGTGTTACATTTTATGTTTCAAAGGTCTAAAATTTAATGCCCTTTTTCCCAAATTATTAGTGGTAAAAGATAGGAACTAAGTATACCCTGAGCTCAACGGACGTCTTACATGCTGGGCCAAGCTCAAACAGCACAGACCAATCAAAATGGAACTTGATCTGAATTTGAACAAGCCATGTTGATGATCCAGTCAAGCTCAAACAGTCCATAACTCAAGTACAGTTCATTGAAATACTTTTCTACAGATGTGATTAGCATTATTACATTTAGAGGCTTCATGAATGGAGTACGCGAGCCAACCCCACCCCCTAAAACCCAAAAAAAAAAAAAAAATGTCAGGGATCACGGTATGCCAACCAGTTTTATCTCATTAACTATCTCTGGAACAAAGTCAAAGTCATTATGCAGCCACACACAGGTTGGACTCACCAAGTCACTGGGTAGCAAGGGGAACAAATTCCAAACTAACATATTTATTAAGATTGGGAATGATCGATTGTTCTGAAACTGGTCATAAATAAAAGCTATAATATATGCCTGTGAACTCGTGCATAAGCATCAAGTCATAAAAGTACCATACCAGAAAAACAAAATGACATAATAGCTAAGGCAACTTCACTAGTCCAATTTATGTCCGATAAGCATCTTTATAAGAAAAACCAAAGGTGTAGTCCATGCTCCAGCTAAAAACAACAAAATAGCACCCTCATCAAAAATCAACCTACTGCTCTAAAGTTTCATGTCTGAAGTAAAGAAAATGAAATCATCCTGCCATGTTTTACAATTTTGATGTCAAGAAATGCAAGAAACATTTGTACCTTAGATTCATACACAGATATAGTGCTCCGTATCATTCCAGCTACTTCTTCAAGAGAATGACTTGAGTACCTTCCATCTCCAACTTTTTCGTCATTTTTATTTGCATAAGTATTAACACTTGATTCAGTAGGAACTTTTGAAGACTGAAACAGGGAAAAAAAAAGAGCCTAAATCCATAATGAAATCACCAGTTTATGTTTGACGGAATTTAAAATTGAGTAGATAAGTAAATCACAGATTACCAATAGACATTGGAATAAAAACAAAATTAATAAAATTGAGATGCTCCACCGGAATTCATAGCAGCAAACTACTTTAAATTATTAAGGACGAAAGTTACAAGTTTAAGTGATTGTTTCTAGATGATTTGGAGACTTAATCTTCAATGATTAAGAATATGATTGCTCTTTCTCTATGGAACTCCTAATGAAGGCCCTTTTTTCCATCACATGTTGCTGCTTACTAAGGGAATATGTTCAAGCCAACTTTTTGAGAGTTCAAAGAGGTTTGACTTTCTTTGTTTTTTATTTTAATAAAAAAGTTTCCTGAGCAAAAGGAGGATCCTACTGCAAACTTTACTTGTGAACTCTCCACATTTATTTACAGCTTCATTCCAAGAAGAATATTTTTGCTTCACGCACTTTCAGCATTTAATTCATCTTACGGCCATGCATTTCAGACACAGCTTAAAAAAAAATATGCATCTTTAACCATTAATAACCATAGGCTATCAATATATAACAGTTCTAGAGAATTTGTCAACATTCACCCATGACAGTGGATTTTAGACAGCTAAAAAAAACATGCTTCTTTAACCATTACTAACTATAAGGAACAATGATGAACGAATCTTTCATGGAAATGCTAATTATTTNCGGCATGCTTGTTTTGTAGATACCTGGAATTCTCAAGGGTACGTTAGTTTGATGATTTACTATCAGATATTAACCTGGTCCACTTTTGAATTCGTTTATCCTAAATGGCATTTCAACCATTTTTTGGGTAAATAGGCTTTNTGGCATGCTTGTTTTGTAGATACCTGGAATTCCCAAGGGTACGTTAGTTTGATGATTTACTATCAGATATTAACCTGGTCCATTTTTGAATTCGTTTATCCTAAATGGCATTTCAACCATTTTTTGGGTAAATAGGCTTTTCAACAATTTAATCAAATCTGGACCTCCAACAAAATACAAACTGGCTGACTTCCCTAACTTGTGTGTTACATTTTATGTTTCAAAGGTCTAAAATTTAATGCCCTTTTTCCCAAATTATTAGTGGTAAAAGATAGGAACTAAGTATACCCTGAGCTCAACGGACGTCTTACATGCTGGGCCAAGCTCAAACAGCACAGACCAATCAAAATGGAACTTGATCTGAATTTGAACAAGCCATGTTGATGATCCAGTCAAGCTCAAACAGTCCATAACTCAAGTACAGTTCATTGAAATACTTTTCTACAGATGTGATTAGCATTATTACATTTAGAGGCTTCATGAATGGAGTACGCGAGCCAACCCCACCCCCTAAAACCCAAAAAAAAAAAAAAAATGTCAGGGATCACGGTATGCCAACCAGTTTTATCTCATTAACTATCTCTGGAACAAAGTCAAAGTCATTATGCAGCCACACACAGGTTGGACTCACCAAGTCACTGGGTAGCAAGGGGAACAAATTCCAAACTAACATATTTATTAAGATTGGGAATGATCGATTGTTCTGAAACTGGTCATAAATAAAAGCTATAATATATGCCTGTGAACTCGTGCATAAGCATCAAGTCATAAAAGTACCATACCAGAAAAACAAAATGACATAATAGCTAAGGCAACTTCACTAGTCCAATTTATGTCCGATAAGCATCTTTATAAGAAAAACCAAAGGTGTAGTCCATGCTCCAGCTAAAAACAACAAAATAGCACCCTCATCAAAAATCAACCTACTGCTCTAAAGTTTCATGTCTGAAGTAAAGAAAATGAAATCATCCTGCCATGTTTTACAATTTTGATGTCAAGAAATGCAAGAAACATTTGTACCTTAGATTCATACACAGATATAGTGCTCCGTATCATTCCAGCTACTTCTTCAAGAGAATGACTTGAGTACCTTCCATCTCCAACTTTTTCGTCATTTTTATTTGCATAAGTATTAACACTTGATTCAGTAGGAACTTTTGAAGACTGAAACAGGGAAAAAAAAAGAGCCTAAATCCATAATGAAATCACCAGTTTATGTTTGACGGAATTTAAAATTGAGTAGATAAGTAAATCACAGATTACCAATAGACATTGGAATAAAAACAAAATTAATAAAATTGAGATGCTCCACCGGAATTCATAGCAGCAAACTACTTTAAATTATTAAGGACGAAAGTTACAAGTTTAAGTGATTGCTTCTAGATGATTTGGAGACTTAATCTTCAATGATTAAGAATATGATTGCTCTTTCTCTATGGAACTCCTAATGAAGGCCCTTTTTTCCATCACATGTTGCTGCTTACTAAGGGAATATGTTCAAGCCAACTTTTTGAGAGTTCAAAGAGGTTTGACTTTCTTTGTTTTTTATTTTAATAAAAAAGTTTCCTGAGCAAAAGGAGGATCCTACTGCAAACTTTACTTGTGAACTCTCCACATTTATTTACAGCTTCATTCCAAGAAGAATATTTTTGCTTCACGCACTATCAGCATTTAATTCATCTTACGGCCATGCATTTCAGACACAGCTTAAAAAAAAATATGCATCTTTAACCATTAATATCCATAGGCTATCAATATATAACAGTTCTAGAGAATTTGTCAACATTCACCCATGACAGTGGATTTTAGACAGCTAAAAAAAACATGCTTCTTTAACCATTACTAACTATAAGGAACAATGATGAACGAATCTTTCATGGAAATGCTAATTATTTATGTTCCGATATTAACAACAAAACATTGCATTCATGATTTGAATTTATTAGATGCAAAGAAACAAATAACAAATCTTCATCAACTATGTGCCATAGAATGCAAGTCCTCCAATTTAAATTCACAATGTACAATGCATGTGCTCTACTCCCATCCATCCTAAGAAAATACCAAATCATTAAGCAATTAATTTCATCCTAGTTCATAAGTATGTGGCCGGATGAAAGAAAATATCCAGAATACCTTCGCAAATTTCCCACTGAAAACAGAAAGCGCTACTTTCCAGAAGGCTGGTATGTGATGANTTTCAACAATTTAATCAAATCTGGACCTCCAACAAAATACAAACTGGCTGACTTCCCTAACTTGTGTGTTACATTTTATGTTTCAAAGGTCTAAAATTTAATGCCCTTTTTCCCAAATTATTAGTGGTAAAAGATAGGAACTAAGTATACCCTGAGCTCAACGGACGTCTTACATGCTGGGCCAAGCTCAAACAGCACAGACCAATCAAAATGGAACTTGATCTGAATTTGAACAAGCCATGTTGATGATCCAGTCAAGCTCAAACAGTCCATAACTCAAGTACAGTTCATTGAAATACTTTTCTACAGATGTGATTAGCATTATTACATTTAGAGGCTTCATGAATGGAGTACGCGAGCCAACCCCACCCCCTAAAACCCAAAAAAAAAAAAAAAATGTCAGGGATCACGGTATGCCAACCAGTTTTATCTCATTAACTATCTCTGGAACAAAGTCAAAGTCATTATGCAGCCACACACAGGTTGGACTCACCAAGTCACTGGGTAGCAAGGGGAACAAATTCCAAACTAACATATTTATTAAGATTGGGAATGATCGATTGTTCTGAAACTGGTCATAAATAAAAGCTATAATATATGCCTGTGAACTCGTGCATAAGCATCAAGTCATAAAAGTACCATACCAGAAAAACAAAATGACATAATAGCTAAGGCAACTTCACTAGTCCAATTTATGTCCGATAAGCATCTTTATAAGAAAAACCAAAGGTGTAGTCCATGCTCCAGCTAAAAACAACAAAATAGCACCCTCATCAAAAATCAACCTACTGCTCTAAAGTTTCATGTCTGAAGTAAAGAAAATGAAATCATCCTGCCATGTTTTACAATTTTGATGTCAAGAAATGCAAGAAACATTTGTACCTTAGATTCATACACAGATATAGTGCTCCGTATCATTCCAGCTACTTCTTCAAGAGAATGACTTGAGTACCTTCCATCTCCAACTTTTTCGTCATTTTTATTTGCATAAGTATTAACACTTGATTCAGTAGGAACTTTTGAAGACTGAAACAGGGAAAAAAAAAGAGCCTAAATCCATAATGAAATCACCAGTTTATGTTTGACGGAATTTAAAATTGAGTAGATAAGTAAATCACAGATTACCAATAGACATTGGAATAAAAACAAAATTAATAAAATTGAGATGCTCCACCGGAATTCATAGCAGCAAACTACTTTAAATTATTAAGGACGAAAGTTACAAGTTTAAGTGATTGCTTCTAGATGATTTGGAGACTTAATCTTCAATGATTAAGAATATGATTGCTCTTTCTCTATGGAACTCCTAATGAAGGCCCTTTTTTCCATCACATGTTGCTGCTTACTAAGGGAATATGTTCAAGCCAACTTTTTGAGAGTTCAAAGAGGTTTGACTTTCTTTGTTTTTTATTTTAATAAAAAAGTTTCCTGAGCAAAAGGAGGATCCTACTGCAAACTTTACTTGTGAACTCTCCACATTTATTTACAGCTTCATTCCAAGAAGAATATTTTTGCTTCACGCACTATCAGCATTTAATTCATCTTACGGCCATGCATTTCAGACACAGCTTAAAAAAAAATATGCATCTTTAACCATTAATATCCATAGGCTATCAATATATAACAGTTCTAGAGAATTTGTCAACATTCACCCATGACAGTGGATTTTAGACAGCTAAAAAAAACATGCTTCTTTAACCATTACTAACTATAAGGAACAATGATGAACGAATCTTTCATGGAAATGCTAATTATTTATGTTCCGATATTAACAACAAAACATTGCATTCATGATTTGAATTTATTAGATGCAAAGAAACAAATAACAAATCTTCATCAACTGTGTGCCATAGAATGCAAGTCCTCCAATTTAAATTCACAATGTACAATGCATGTGCTCTACTCCCATCCATCCTAAGAAAATACCAAATCATTAAGCAATTAATTTCATCCTAGTTCATAAGTATGTGGCCGGATGAAAGAAAATATCCAGAATACCTTCGCAAATTTCCCACTGAAAACAGAAAGCGCTACTTTCCAGAAGGCTGGTATGTGATGAATAAGAACAGCAGTTAACCTGCGGATATACCTTCCTCGAAGAGCATCAACTTCTTCAGCACTCAGGTCTAAAGGTTGTGAATCTTGCAGAAGATGGGTATTCCCAAGGGCAAGAGAGTAGTCAAAATCTGACTGATGGTGGTGCACAAAAAGGGGATAAAACTTAATGAGTAATGAACGTCTTTGATTCTACTCCAGCATTATTTTTCTTCAAAAATACACTTACAGATTGATTTAAATCTTGTTGAATTTGTCTCCATTTTGCATCAGACTGGGCTTTTTCACGAATTTCATTGTGCAGACTTTCCATCCTTGTTTCATGGTCTAAAGTGCATTTTTCAAGCAAACCTCGAATTCTTTGATTCTGCATATCAGACAACAAAAAAGCACTCAGCAACTTGACATTTACACTTATGAAGGGCCACTTCCACTTAAACATGGGTGAGGGGAAAACATATAAATACTGAAAGGCTATAATTTTTCTTGGAATAGGGAAAATATAATGTTAGATAGTAAAATATATGGACAGATCTGATAGGACCTAATAACAGATATGATCTACAGTCTACCACATGCCTCCAAAAAACTTTACCAGTCGTCAGCATCTTCAGACCCTAATGGAAATGCCAACTATATGGTAACACAACCTACTTGGAAACATTACTATCACCTCCGTAAACAAATAGGTACTAAGGTCTATACTTGAATTTCCTCACCTGCATGTTTAAGTAATGCCACACTGGATCTGACTCAGGTTCCAGCTCCAATAAAAGTCTCACAATGTTTTCAAGCTACATGAACATCAGATATTCAGTTGGCAGCATGAAAACAAAAATCAGTTGATAAAAATACAATTTAAGTACCTTCAAAAAATCAGCTTGTCAGCATGCAAACAAATATAGGGATGACACTAATATGAAGTATGAATGAGGGGGGGGGGATCCCCTCATGAAAGTAGAAATGAAGAGAACCAAGACAAGGGAACCAAAATGAACCAATAATGCAAATAATAACCTGGATGTAAGCCGCAGCATACATAAAACTTTAACTGCAAGGGTACCAAAAATTTGCACAAGAACAACTAAATTAGAGCATCTCAACCAGCATTGTCAAAAATCTGGGTGGCCCCTAGGCAATAAGAAGAGGTGAGGATTGCTCTTGGCACCTTCTGACGAGGTTTTGCTAGGTGAGAAGCTTAGCTAGGGGAACCAGCAACGAGGCTATCACCTCTTTGATGAGAACTTGTTTTCGTTAAATCCAGGTAAGCGAACATTTGCCACTAAGGAGCACAGACATCTTTGTCAACACAGCTGTCACGGAGCTCTGTTATGGCTCTGCAACAATGTTTAGAATCATAAGCCGCGGGAAAATTCCTGTCACATGGAACAATCTCTCTCTCTCTCTCTCTCTCTCTCTCTCTCTCTCTCGGAGCAATTTGAAGTGTTCCTAGAGAACTTTACTACAGATATTTGTTTTTTTCCAAAAAATATCATTCAAAAAAGCCTTAGCCCCAGTTATTTGCTTCCAGTCATTGCTCCTTTACAATGCCATTTTGAGCACAGTTACCCTCTCACCATATGCCATTCCAATCCTTTCCTTTTCTCTTCCTTCAATAAAATATCAATTATAAGATGTTCCAAAATTTGTTTTGCATTATCATACTCTGTTTTCAGTTTCATTTTTTTGTGGCATTTTAGATTTTAGTTTTCATTTTCTTTTTTTTCAAAATAGATCAATTAGTTGAGAAAGAAAATTACATTTTATCCCCTTACAGAAGCTAATTATTCTACTTTATCTCCTATTGGTCCTTAAATTATTATCTACTGAACTGATTCCATTTTATTTCATCACAACCATTTTAAAATTCAATTTGACCATGCTTAGTTTCAGTACATAATGTTTCTTAAATGCATGATATTGTGGTATATAGACCTTGGTTGGTTTATATTTGTTTTATGTTTGTCTTCCAATTTAAGAAGTCTAAGTCAACCTGACAAACAGCAAATGCATTTCCCCATAGAACCTACATCCTGTTTTAATCCAATGGACAACACAAACCCATGAATAATCGAGTGTGGACATTTCAAACTCACCCCCCCCCCAAAAAAATAATAATAATAATAAATAATTATCAAGCTTAGATAGCAAATTGTTCAGATTTGGCATCTCTCAACCTTTAATCTTCATAGCTCTAACTCAAATTGCTAATTTTCTACTAAAATGACATTCCATATGGTCAATTCTACTTATCATAAACCCTCTTTCACTTTTACTTATCAAACTATAATACCCACAAATAACATTCCCCATGAAACCTCATTTGCATGTGTCTAGTTAATTCATCCATAACTAGGGTAAAGAGGAAAGAGCTTAAGGTTGATCCCTGAACCCTGAAATAGACCAACATTGTTGGGGAACTCACCATAGCCAGGAACGTGCTCATCATTACATCCCTTGACAACCCAGCATGGCAAGGCTGATGTTATCTACGTCGTAATTCTTTGTGAGCTCTCGTCTAAGAATTTCCTGATAGTTGGATGAGATATTGATACGCTACAAGGTTGACATTTCAGAGTGAATTATGGGATTTGCCAATAAATCTCGGCACGATCATTGTGCACCACAAGAGAAGCTACTTTTAAGGCATTCGGAAATAATAAGCCATACCTTTCAACACCTATTGACTCAGAAAACCAACACACAATAGTGATGATGACAAAAGGACAAAGGTTGGACAAGGTGGCCGCAGTGAACCTAGCATCAGTAGAATCATTCCACACCCAGGTCCCACTTGGATTGACAATTTAAGATGCACCCTTGACTCAATTGTAAGTATCCAAGATAAGTGTGCTAAAGAGAATGACAAACAGTCCAACCAACCTAGGAAGATATAACTTCATAGGTAAAAGTGAAAACTTAATTACTTGCGTTTTAACACAGCAGAATGAAACAGACGATCAGTAGTGCTCGATTGCAACTGCCTCAACTTGGGTCAAAATCTGTCTCCAGAAACCCACCACAAACTGATTCTGTAATCACCAACTGTCCTAACAATGGCTTGCCAGTTCAAGAAATTAATCAATTCTGCAAAAGCTAGGGTTTTGGAGAGAAGAATAGAGAAGGAGGCAGAGTAGGAGAGCACCAAAACAACTCCCCACTCCATGTATATATATGTATGCAGGGTACAAAGCAAAGACCTATATACCCCTTAAGGAGTATATTTATTACTCGAGTGTCATTCCTATTAAATATATATACATTTTAACATCCCCCTCAAACTGGTGAATACATATCATATAATCCTAATTTGGAATAAATATCTCTCCACCGAAAACTACTCAAGAATTCTCAGACTTGACAAATGGTGTAATGTCTCCTCGCAACACCATTTCTCGAACAAAGTGACAATTAACCTCAATGTATTTCATTCGTTCATGAAACACAAGATTAAAAGCTATATGAACTGTTGCTTGATTATCACAGAACAACTGAAGCGGAGTCTAAGCTGGAAAAACAATTTTGTGAAGTTGTAACCATGTTAACTCACTATATGAGTAAGACATTGCGCTACATTCAGCCTTGGCAATAGATAATGCTACCACTGTCTGCTTCCTACTCTTCAATTCCATGTAACCAAATTACCTCCTAAAAATGTGCAATATCCTATAGTAGATCGCTTATTTGAAGGAGATCCTGCCAAATCTGTATCTGTAAACCCTTTCAACTGAAAATGCCCATGCAATTGATACAACAATCCACGTCCAGTAGCTCACTTAACATACTGAATAATACAAATAATACTATCCCAATATGGAACTTGTGGAGTCTCCATAAACCGACTAACCACACTCAATGCATATGCGACATCCGACCGAGTAATAGTAAGGTAATTCAATGTCCCAACTAAGCGACGATACCATCCAGGATTAGAGAAATATTCATCCTCAATCCTTGAGAGTTTATGGTTTGGATCCATAGGGATGTCAACTGGTCAACCACCTAAAAGCTAGGAAGCACGGATACGGATACGGCAATATTCCAAAATATAGGACACTGGTATGATGAGAGTAAGAGTATGGCTAATTAAAATAATATTATATATTTTTATATATATAATAACAACATGAATAATAACTAATAAGACCTATCAAACATTAATTTTTTGATAATTACATCCAATATAAATACATCATATACATGTATAACAAAATTAGCAATATCAGATATACATAGCAAATTTTGAAAATTTAGGGAATTTTAGGGTTTTGAAATTTTCAAATTTTTAGGGTTAAGCAAAATCAGAATCAAATACAGCAAAAATCAACATCAAGATTCAAAACCCAAAAGAAAAAAAAAAAACCTGATTTGGAGTTTGATTGAAGCAGATTTAGAGATCTAGAATTCGATCGAAGCAAAACCCAAAACAAACTTGTTGCCGCCATAGATCTGGAGTTTGACCGAAACCTTCGTCTTCTTCCCCTTTTTAATCTTGTCCTCTTCTTCTCCTCCTTTTTTTCTCTTCTCTTCTTTTGTAACCTTTCTCTGTTGAATGCTAAAGATTAAAGAGACGCAGACTTGGAATTGGGAAACCTTCCCTTTTCTTTTTCTTTTTCTGGCCCCAAAAATTTTTAAAAATAACATATAGTACCCCGTCATATCTCTCCCGTGTCCCAACTCCCGAGGTATCCCCAACGTATCCAAGTTGTATCCAATTGGAAAAAAAAAAACTTTTTATTGTTTAGGACACTTCTAGAAGTGTCAAACACATGTCTGCCACATCGACCCCCGGTGAATATCCATGCTTCCTAGCCTAATAACCTTGCTTCCTCCAAAATATCAAGCACATATTTTCTCTGGGACTGGCTAATACCCTGTTTAGATCTAATAACTTTGATACCAAGAAAATATTCAAGTTTACTTAAATCTTTAGTATGAAACCGATATTATAAAAATTATTTCAACTTGGCATCACAATATTATCAACATAAACAACAAGGAGAATATTACCTACACAAGTTCATAAATAAAATACCGAATAATCTGTTTGGCATCTTTGAAAACCAAAATAAATCACTGCCTTTGAAAATTTCACAAACCACGCAGATGGAGACCGTTCGCATACAAGACTTTCTTCAATTTGCACACACTACCCTNCTGCCTTTGAAAATTTCACAAACCACGCAGATGGAGACCGTTCGCATACAAGACTTTCTTCAATTTGCACACACTACCCTAATATTGCCCCTGAGCAACAAACTCAGGTGGTTGCTCTATGTAAATCTCTTCCGCTATATCAACATGTGGAAAAGCATTCTAAACATCTAATTGAAATAAGTGTCGGTCAAAAATAACAAGTGAAATCAAAACTTGGACATAAGAGATATTAGCAATTGGGGAGAAGGTCTCCGCAGAGTCAATGTCATAGGTTTAGGTACATCCTTTGGCAACCAAATGAATTTTGAGACTATCCATAGAGCCATCCGGAAGAAATTTGATAGTATACACCCAATGGCACACAACAACTTACTTATCTAGAGATAATTGGACAAGATCCCAAGTATGATTATGATTGATGACATCCATCTCTTCCTCCATACCTGTCCACCAACTCAAACCCGATAAGGCATCAGGTAAATTCTTAGGAACAGATATTTTGAATAACTGAGAAATAAAACAAGAAAAAGAAGGAGATAACAAATGAGAAGAAACATAGTTAATAATAGGTTGGGAGGTAACACCGAAACGAGAACCTTTCACCTTTATGGAGAGTATAGGTAGAAAATCAGACACATCTGAGAAGGTTGGATCCAAAGATGAGGAGGAAGCCGATGGTGGTGTTGTAGTAGGTGGGCTTGACCAACAAGTGTAAACACGAAAGGGTGTGGGAGATGTGAACTTGGAGTTATGGAAAATTAAGAAACAAAGGACGAGGGAACTAGAACCAGAATTGGAAACGGATCACACACCGAAGGTAGCTCAATAGGACCCTCACAAGGTATAGGATGAGCAGAAAAATAAGGTGTAAATTCCCAAAAAGTAAGATCAATACCTACGCATAGTTGGGCTACAATAATAGTAGCCTTTTTGTGTACAAGAGTAACCAAGAAAGATTCAGTTGGTAGCTCGAAGGTCAAGCTTATCAAAACAAGGACCAAGATTATGGTGGTCATAAGAGACATATCCAAACACCTTAGGAGGAAGAGTAAACAAAGGAGAGTCAGAAAATAAGACAAAATGAAGAGATTTTCTTTGTAAGATAGTAGAGGTCATATGATTGATAGATGACAAGCAGTCAAGACAGAATCACACAAAAAACGATTAAGAACATGCATATGAAATAATAGTGCTTAGGTCACATCCAATAAATGACGATTCTTGCACTCAGCCACATCAATTTTGTGGTGTGTAAGTACAAGAAGTCTGATGCACGATATCTTGTTCATCAAAATAAGTCGGGATTAGAGGTATACTCTTTGGCATTATCAGATTGTAAAATATGAATATTTCAACCAAATTGTGTCTTAATTTGCTTGCAAAATAATTGAAAGATAGAAAACAATTATGAGTGGAATTTCATTAAAAATAACCAAAGTTATATGAGAAATCATCCACAAAGGTCAGAAAAAACGAAATCCATTAATAGAAGAATATGTGGGGGGTCCCCATACATCAGAATAAAATAATTTAAAAGGGGCAAAGACACGATTATCTATCCTAGATTTGAAAGGCAGACAATGGTACTTACTAAGTTGACAAGCTTCACAAAGCAAAGAAGACACATGACTAATACTAAGAACTTTAAACTTCAAAATTGGAAGAGAGAGATGACGGCAATAACACTGAAGAGGGGATACTGAGGTCAGGCTCTTGGAGAAGACTTGAAGTCAAGATAAGAAAGGTCAACTGAATCATGCCCCATACTAATCATCTTCTTCGTCTTAGAGATTTTGAAAGGCACAAATTGAGAGATAAAACGTTAATGAACAGTTAAGAGAGCGAATGATCTTACTAATAGATAGCAAACTAAAAGAAAACTAAGGAACAAATAAAACAGAAGATAAAGATATAGAGGAGCTAAGCTCCATAGTACCCAAACCTAAGACCTAAGATGATGATTTATTAGCAAGTGTAATATGGCGACATGGGGCTACAAGGTGAAAACTAGGTAAGTGACTAGACGAGCCGGTCATATGATCAAAAGCTACAAGATCAATGATCAATAGGCTGAAAATGGAGAAGAGTAAACGGGCACATGTCATACCCGAGCCAACGTAACAATGGAAGAAGACATGGCCTGTTTCTAACACAGGAACTACGCATACTCAACTCAAGAAATGGTAATGTGATCAAGATTGGGTGATTGAGTTGATCCAGAAGGTGAAACCATGAGGGGAACATCCGCCTAAAAAGAAGCCTGATGAGCAGAGATATGCAAGTCCCAACAATAATCCACAGTGTGATTATTACGATCACAATAAATACATTTATGACCTCCCCTACAACCAAGGCTTCCACAAGAACCACTAGATCCACCACTATTGCCACAACCTCCTTTACCACCACAACCTCCACGAAAACCATTAGAACTAACCTAAGAGATAACTAAAACAAAACGATCACCATTATGCTCAATAGGAGGAAAAGAGTCATGGCCTAATAATATAGCTCGCTGAAGTCGAGAATATACATCCCTGAGAGAAGGAAGTTTAGGACTCCCCAAAATCTATGCACAGATAAGTTCATAATCAAATTTCAACCCAACTAAGAAACAAACAACATCAAGATGTTCACGTTACTGCTGCATACGAGAAATATCAAGAATCAAAGTCCCCAGTCTAAGACTAAAATATTGCTTGCACACCTCATAAATGTGAGTGAGATTCCATGTACCAGAATACATCTGAGTCAATTGATCCTATAAATAATTTGTGCATCTTCTTGTTTCCATTGCACAAAACCCGAGTCACTTTCTTGTGGTCTATCTTCCACCAAATATGCATGAAATCCTTTTTGCTTAAGGAGAACATCAACCGACCAAGACCACAAACATAATTACTGCCATTGAGTTTAGCAGAGGTCATCGAAGCATGAAAGAGGGCAGCAGTAGAAAAGTTTGGTTGTACGATGGAAGGAGGTGCTGCTAAAGGGTCGGCCTTTGAATCCATTCCCACAGAATCAACAAATCCAACTGAAAGAAGAAGAAATCAGGAAGAACAGAATGCAGCAGGTGGCTGAAAATTGCCTGAACTGGTGCAACAGGATGCTGGAGAAGCCTGAACCGGTGCAGCAGGGACCTGGAAAAGGCCTGAACCGGTGCAAGAGGAACCTGAACCAGACGGACCAGACAGAGTGGTCCAGAGGCTAAACCAGATCTGTGTAAAGACTAAACCAGAGCTGAATGGGACTGATGAAGGATGATCCACACAACATTGGGCCTGAAACAGATTGATAAAGTGCTAAACCGGGTCAGAAAAATGGCCAACCAAAAGAAACCTACCTAAACTGGCTGAGTGAGGCCTGAACCAGATGAGTGAGGGCTTGAACCGGCCTAATGAAACTGTCGATGACTGGCTGATGTTGGTCCAGCTAAGGTTGGACCGGTTCTGGGATGAGTCGTTCTGGAATTTATGGACCTGACTGGCCTGGTGGGTTGAAATGGAATTGGGCTGGACTGAGCCCAAACAACCCAATAAAGCTGAACCCAATGCCGAGATAGCTATTGAGGAGCTGATGTCCCTATAGCCAAACAAGGTCTTCTTCTTCACAAAACAAAGAGGCCACAACCCTTGTTCAATGCCTTCGTCGCCGGCAACAAACCAGGTCACCCTTACACAGGAAAGGCGACTCCAAGCACTGAATCGCAAATGAAATTCCAGAACCAACTAAATCGAAACCTCAATGGACCATCGATTGCAACAAAAACCCAAGCCAGGCTTCACCGACGAGACTTCTCTGATGATGAACAACAACTGTGGCTAGGAAAGTTAATACCCAGCCATCAACGACTCAAAGATGACAGGAATATAATTCAAGGATCCTCACATACACAAGCAGAGATCTGGGACGAAGAATCTGCGACTGACGATTGGAACAGAAAAAAAGAGGAAAGAAAAAGAAGAAACAGAGAGAGGGAGAGATGTATTCTGGTAAGGATGTATTCTGATTAGGGTGGCTCTGATACCATGTAGAAGCTAGGGTTTTGGAGAGAAGAATAAAGAAGGAGAGTACCTACACGTCTCCTGACTCCATGTGTATACATAAGGCAAAGATCTATATACCCCTCAAGGAGTATATATATCTATATATTCTAACAAGTTTCAATTCCATCCTCGATAGCAAAACTGCATCAAATGATTGTGCTCATATTTTTTTATTTTGGGTGGGTGTGGGGGCTGGAAACAGGAAGCAATGAGATGATTCTTCATTCACATGCATTGCCATATAACACAACAGTAGATATCCTTAATCTGTCCTCGACTTGAACAACCAAAAAGCTTTTTAGTAAAGAACTATGGGTCTTATTATCATATGAAATAGGGAACTGAAGAGTATCTTTCATATTTATGAGGCTTATGGAAAACAAGAAAGGAACCAGAAAAAACACAGGATAGTGCAGCAGAGATATCGAGTAATAATGTTATGAACAAGAATAATAATTCCTCTTCCTGTGTCTCAGTAAAACTTACATTATATGTATCTACCATACACTATTAACTAACTAAAAGGAGTGTTGCTCTATAGTCTATAAAGAGAACTTAAAAACAATCACACAGCCTCCCCATCAGCATAATCCCATCATATATCGTAAAAAAGAGAATATAACGACCTTACATTTGTTAGATCTATATGAGGATCTTCCATGGACCTGTAAAGCATGCCTTTGAACTCATACATCACTTTTTCAACCTCCTCAAGAACACGTTTCAGTATTCCCACCTGAAAATGATATGCTCACAGTGAACAAAAGAATGCCATAAATTATGTCCTAAGTAACTAACCACACAAGGCATTTACATTAAAATCTTGCCTGAAACATTGCAAATAAGGACAAAGTCTATTGCAGATGAGTGTTCAATAAATCTTCCTTTCTAATCAGAATCATTTCATGAAACTATAATATTCATCCAGCATTTTTTGTCTATTTGGCAAACCTATCAATACAGCTAGAAAATAAGAGTACTTTTTCTTTTTGATAGGAAAAGAAAGAAAAGGATATAACTCCTCTACATAATCACAATGGTGCAAAGGAACCTTAAGTTACAAAGAAGTAACAGCATATTCCAACCAATACAAATCATTTGGTCCCTGTATTGAAAACAGAAATAATATTGTCAACCATATAAAATAGTGTCAGTTTAAAGTTTGTCTGTACATGTGAGGGGAGAACAATTGATTTCGCTTTCCTGTACTCCCTAACTGCCAAGTCATATTCACCCTTACTTATGCTCCCACGAATAGCACTAGGCAAGTTGAATAGTGTTCGGAACCTTTGAAACATTCCTTGAACGGACCTGATCTTTTCAGCTTGAGCCTATAAAAATGTTGCAAGTAAAATGAATTATCAGAACCCAATTGCATTTAAGAATAAAACTTCCAAAATATTAAAGAAAATTTAGAGCCTCCCCACCTGTCTCTCAAACAGAGGCCCAAAAGCACGATTAGCCACTGAACTGACTCCTTGAATGCAATTGAATAAATGAGAGGTTCCAGAACCTTCAGGGTCTTCTTCAATCCGTTTCAATTTCGACTCAATGTCTGTAAAAATGAGCCTCAACATAATCGACCACCACAATTTGTCACCAACTTCATGTATAAAATCTTTCACACAAAATGACCAATGAGCATGAGAACCCCAGCTTTATTTTTCCAGGTTTCTTTTGGAACACAAAATGCACAGGTTCACATGCCCTAATAGAAAATAAAGCCAGACTCCCATGTGTCATCTGATGGATAGCTTACCATCAATCGTGGTTTTGCAAGAGACAAAACAATCGAAATTCTCTTTCACCAATTGTTTTTTCTGCTGAGTGCGTCCTTTGAGATCAGTTTTTAAAGCAAGAGCACCAGCCTCCAAATCTGCGGCACTTGTATCTTGATGTACTCGGGATAGAAACAACTTTGCATCAAATTTCTCAGAAAAATACATCAACTTCTCTGCAGATATTCACGTAAAGATATTGTCAGCCATAATGACCACCCAAAAATACCTCAATCGATTACTTGGCCACTGCTACGCACTATCTATGTCTCATTGTATTCTGACCGTGAGGATGCCAAGAAAACCAACACACAGCTGTCATATTATCATAAGTGATAGCAGAAGGAATTTTCAAAAGAATAATCTTCTAGAGCATAGCAACCACCAGCTTAGGGGGGAATCAAAAGGAAGAAACGAATAAACAGAAAAAATAACTACATTGCACTGGAGCATCACTGATAATATGAAAGTTATAATCCAAAACACTATTCCACAGAGATTGTGTGCTCTTAACTTCCATAAACACTGCGATTTACTAGAATCTGTGGCAAGCAAGAGGATTGTTGCATCACTTAAATCCAATTTAAAAAACAATATTACATATTCATACACCCATGAAAAGGGATTCAACTCGGTAGCAACCACCTGGAAATTTCACAAGTATTCATATCCAGAGAATCGTAACAATCCATCAGCTAACCTGCAAGGCAGCCAAACCATTGTTGCCAGAACTGCCCACTGACTCATAACATCTCCCACAAATCTATATAAAATGTTTGGGGGCCACAAGGATCTAAGATGTGGAGATCATGCTTGGTAAAAGCAGAAAGATCGGCAGAACTGCCCTCTTACATGCCTAATGGGAAAGAGATGCATGTACGCATGCAATAACATGCTAAACCAGACCCCGATTCCTTGAGCCTTAAAAGACTGGTTAATGTCAATGGTCATTGCTGATTCCTTCACGAGTTTTATTTTTATATGGCTAATAGAGTTGGGGCTATCAATGCAGCCTTGAACATCAGGACTTTCTTTCAAAACCTACAAATAAGGTATTGAGGCTCAAATACAAAACATAATCCCTGTCTGCCCTCTTACAGCTTTTGGTTCCTTCATCATCCTTTCAAAAAAAGCGAGTCTCCTCCCCATCGTGTCAGGATATGGCATGTCATCTCGACCGGATTGAATTTTTGTTTCGTTTCGTTTTGCTTGAAATGCCCAAAACGTTTTGGAATTTCAATCTCCTGCAACAGAACAATGGTATACTTTCAAAACGGAACGGGGTTTTGGTGCGAAATAGAATGTTTCGTTAATTTTTTAAACCAGTGAGTTATCTAGCTAACGCTCTATGACCTCAAAATATATCAGACCAAAGATTCTTTGGGCTTCACGCCTCAGGTGTGCTTGGTTTTCTCCCTTCCATTATGATGATGCCATGTATACTGTATCCATCATAAAGGCCACATGATCGGATGAGCTCCTACCTTCATTTTGAAGCACAAGTTGCTGAAAATTATCTTGGTGATGCCGGGGTCATTAGAGGTCTTAGGACTTGACTACTACATCACCACGCGATGAAGGGGCATCCAATCTGTGGATTGACTTTTGTTTAGCAGTAGATCAGGCATGTTGCTTGAATGGACAAGGTGAAGTCCGGACCAAATGTAGATTGGTTCTGATCTGTGGGCTTTAATTCCTCTTTGGGGGTTGGGTTGGTGTTTTGAATTGGATTTTTTGATTAATTTAATAAGTGGTACAGGTTAATAACCAAAGTCCACTGAAAAATTAGTATAATATCATCTATTATATTTTGTTTTTCATTAAATGATGCCTAGTGCTTCTACTCATTTCTTTGAATTTACAATGTTTCTTTAGCTTTTCTGAAAACGTTTCCCAGAAGTTCTATTTTTTGATTGATCGACATATCCTCGAAACACAACTTGCACCCTGGTCTCAACTCTAAACTATATCCCCCCTTTCTCTTTCTAGTACTCCATCAACCCTCAACACACATGCTAGTTGTAGCTATACTTGTCCGCCATTCTTATTCCTTGATGTACGTAATCATTAATTCTGCACCAATTTTTTCTGTCCAGGCATTACCAAAGCCCCTCTCATAGTCACCTGAAAGTAAAGATTCCTGCATTTTGGTACCAAAGTTCCAAAATATGATACATCTTATCCAAGAATACTAAATTTGGTGATCCCAAACATTGTTTTCCTTCACAACTTTAAAATTTAGTAGAAAGAAAAATATAAAATAATAAGCCTAAATCTAACAAGTCAGCATAACACTCTTTCATCGCCGTTATCAGTCATGCATGTGATACCCTGTTTCTGTTATTTTAAGCAAGCAGCAGATTCATTCAAATAATAGATCTTGCTCCTAAGCCCAAAGCACAGTTCAACAAAGAAATCCTCTATGGAACGGACTTCCAATTGGCTTTCCTAACGAAGTTTCATTGCACATCCAATGGACAAATAAAAGCAACTAATATGATCTCCAATTTACCGCAATCAAGAAATCGCTCAAATGATTTTCTTCTACTAATTTGGGTAACACAACCACATATCTTAACTCATTGGTGGATGTTTAAGAAAGTTTTCCCACGGCAAAAATATGCTAAGTAGTTTAGCCTTGTGTTTTCTTTACGCTCCAACCTTTCTTGAAGTGACTTATACTAAATTTACAGAATTGCTCATTACTTCTTTCAAGTCACAAATAGACAAAAAGTTAACAAAATTAAGATCAAATCATCTTTGCATTGTCACCATTTAGTAGGTTATCACGGGAAGACAAAATTTACTAGTACTGGTAACACAGGATCTTAAATGTTTCCAATTTCAACATGGCATTTTTGCTTAGCAAATATCCCCTTTGATTGTAATCATCAACAAGGAGGAGCTTCAAAACTCAGGAGGCTTCCCATGGTTTTGTTAGAATTACCTTCATTGATTAAAACAATGTGAGCAGTCCAAACTGGGTTGGAAGTGGTGCAGAAAGGAAAAGTTTGAAAAGCTAATAGGCTAATATGGAAAATCGTAGAGCAATGGAAGAAAAGAATAGAAGAGTTAATAAATGAAACAAGATGCTGCTGAAGGATTCACAAAGTTCAGCAAAGGCTCAAAAAAAATGCCTCCACACTGCCACGAGCCTCAATCAACAAAAGGAAAAGCTTTAAATAATGTACGTTTTTATTTTTACAAACTTAAAGCAACAATGTTGACGAAAAGAAACAGGGAAATTGTCAGAGACTCGTATGGACTAGTAACAAAAACAAAAAATAAATGATGATTTTTTTTCCTTTTTTCTTATGGTGGTAAACATGACCCACCACCAAATCCTATAACCATGCTGCTTATTAAAGTGCAAATAGGCCAAAGATATTTTCTCCAAAAAAACATACAAAGTAACTTTTTCACTAAAGGTTTTTTCTCACATGTGAACTGCTTGCAAACGACAATGCAGAAAACTTCAACTATATATTCACAGAAAAAAGGTCATTCATGTAGGAAACATATTTATTGCAAGAGGTTATTTACTATGATACTAATCATCTTGTCCCGTTAAGTATGAATGTGTGTGTAACCTTGTCCCAGTTTATAGAAATAATCTCTTTGCCCAGAAAAATATATAAACAATGACAGCACAAAGTTATCCAATTAATGTCAAATTTAGGTCTCCTACAGAGGTAAAAAAATATCAAGCTAACAACCATGTGATTATGGATTCAAATATAAGGACAGCCACGTAAGCCAAAAAATGCAAATTATAAATCTATACCCAGTGCAGCCTTACCAACATTGCCTATTAGAGGGTACTAAACTGAGTAATTAACCCTTTGGCCCATTTACAAAGCAGCCAATAAAAAAAAGCTTCAGTTCCACAATTTTCCCCAGTGGGGAGCATGTATTCAGCCATAAACTTTAGTTGAATACATAAAAATAAAAGAAACATAAACAAAGCAATGCAGATTTAATAACAAATAAGTTTCACATCAAAAAGGTATACCGCGAAGGTTAGAATCTACATAATCTTTATCAGGCCTGGATGGAGAACTTGTTGGACGGTCGCTGACCAACCTAAACACTTTGATGTCGATCAACCTGTCGGTGAAAAATAAACCAGGTTAGCTGTAATGTTATCAAAGCATGAACAATTACGGAAAAAAAACATAAGATGACTATTTGTCAGCAATTTGACGATTTGAGACATAAGAGAAACAAGAACAATAATTGTTTTGCAAGTAAAATCTTACAATTGAACGCTAATATGGCATAATGTCTTCCTTTAGTAAGAAGGAGAATCCAAAATAGAAATTTCAACAAGCACAAAATACAATATGCTCAAACTTCCAATATATTGTAAGAGATCCAGCAAATTAGAGATACTTGGAGAAGAAAGCAACCATAGTCCACCAATAAGGACATCTATAATCAACTTTAAAAAACACAATGAACAATACCAGTAGCAAACAAAAAGAGTCTCACCCCTAGGATGAGGAGTATCTATCAAATATAATCACAAGCAAATTTTACAAACATTTAAGTTTACCCCAATCCTAGCGGGTCTACCCATTCCATGCCACGAGACAAGGACTGTAAATGGCTAAGCCCCTTTCCGGCCACTGATGTCTTCCTCTCATCCTTTTGTGTCACTGGAACTGCTCTTGATTCCCGCATCTCCCGGACCCTGCGACCAAGCTGCCAAAGAAGCATGAACTCTATAAATTGCATATGACATTAGTCCACAAATACTTAGACAAAGGAAAAGAAAAATGCGATCACAGACAAAGTCAAGCAACACCAATAACTGACCCTACACCCACCCCCCCCAAAAAAAAAAAAGAAGAAAAAAGAACAGAAGAAGAAATACCCAATGAGGAGCACCTGGTTGTAACTTAGTAGACACCATTTCAAAACAAGGAAACATAAAATTAATTACTTCCAAATGGTAATGTGAATATTCAAAGTGGCCAAGAGAGGGAAATTGCCTACTGAACATGGGGAGGGTGCAGAAATAGAAGCTATAAGGAATGAGGAAAAATAGAACAGCCCAGGCAAATTGTCCATGCATAGCATTAAAAACAATAACAGCCCAAATATTTTCTGGGATATGCCACTCCTTCTAAAATCTTACCAGCTGATAATTCTGTCATGGTGCGCAAAAGGAAAGGCATTAAGAGGATCAATCTGGCATATTAAAACGATAAACAACACCAAATTTTGCTAACAAGGAGCTGGCATCTCAGTGCATGGAACACAGTTCAAAACCTATTTCGACTGTTGCTCTATAAAATAATTTGCCTTTCTTAGTCCACAAATACAATGTAGAACTAATCTTCTAGTAGAGGGCACAAATGCACTGTGGTGTTCCTTGTATCCCTTTGTTGGCAGTCAGTCTTTTCCCACTCTCTCAACATCTAAGTGTCTTTACCCATCAAAACTTCTCCCACAAAACGTAAACGCGCTTACCTCAAAACAACACAACAACATAGATTTAGGGTTTTTTATTCTCATCTTGAACTAACTTTGCTGAGTCACTAAAATTTAAAGGTCAAAGAAAATTTCAGCAAGGTAAGTTACCACTAAATAGGCATCACACACCTGTACAAGCACCAAAATTCAATTGTACAAACAACCCAATACCCAATCAGTATAAATGGTGTATATGTATAATTGAGCTGAGTTTTGAAATTAACTCACATCCACATCCTTACCACAATTAACACTCTAGTCAATCCCCCCTCCCCAAACAAAAAAATTGAACTACACAAACAACCCACTCAAAGCACCAAACCCAATGTATAATCAGCCTGTATATACAATACTTGGTATGTATAACAATCTATATATATATGCGCTGGGGGTGTGAATTACGTACCTCAGCTTCATCGACGCGCTTCCAGCTATCCGGCTCCTCCCCATCCCACCCTTTATCCTCCTCCCTCCCACCTCGTCCACCACTCCTTGCCCGATTCTTCGACCCGAACCCGCGATCCTTGGACGAATCCTCGTCCCCGGACGATATACTCAGCATTTCCACCTCCGAATCATCGTCATCATCCACCGGTTTTCTTTGGTTGTTCTTCTGCATCGCGGAAACGTTGTTTGAGTTGGGTTTTTGGATGGGCACAGACGAAGGCCTTTGGTTCGAAGGCTGCGATGGCGGTGGTTGCACGTAATTTCTCACTGGTTTCGAGGGTTTTTGCGAGGGTTTTTGGTAATTGAGATCTCGTTGCGATTGTTCGCGCAACGCGATCTGAAGAAGCTCGTCTTCGTCAAGGTCGTCGCTGTCGCTAGACATTTTCTCTGAATTTATGGAATAATATATATAGATATATATATATATATATATTAATTGTGTGTGTGTGTGTGAATTTGAAGTTTTGACTGTTGTTTCTCTATTTGGATCTGTGAGCTGTGGATGATTGTTTTATGTGGAAAAGTATTCAGAGAGAGAGAGAGAGACAGAGAGTCGGAGGAGAATGAAGTAAGGAGGAGGGGAAAAGGATCAGCAGTATTGCTCGGATTGTGATCACTTTCCAATTGGGTAGTTTATTACTGACACGTGGCAAATTAGTGACTAACTTTCCAAATTGAGGATTTTTGGAAAAATTACTTACTTAAAAAATCGACTTAATTTCCTAAATTGATAATAATTGCAATTATTAAATTTTTTCATTAGATTTCTATTCCTTAACATATAGTCGAGGGTTGAACTCTCTCTCCTGAAAAAAAAAAAAACATAATCAACAAATTTAATTAATTTTTAGATTTCAACAACATTATTTAAATTACCATCGCAGTTCCTTTTTTTGTATTTTTAACATTCATATTTAACCCTTTCATATTTAATAACTCATAAACTATTGATTTTGCATTTTCATAAAGTAATGACTAGTCACACTTAGAAATTGATTAAAATTGGACAAAATCATATAAAAAAATTAAGAATTAATATGATAATATAGCATTACCTTTAGTAATATAATATTTTTTTAAAAGTAAGAAAAACTTTATTATTATGATTAACGCTAGGTTGGAGAAAAGTCACATTTAACGCTAGGTTGGTTTAGTCATTCCTTGGAGGATTTGTTAAGAGAAATCTTTAATCAAGGATTATTTTAGTTAAAAATGACCAAATGATTTTCAGTTTAATGCATGTTTATATTCATTGTTTGATTATTTCGTGCTTAAAAACTACGTACAGTGTCTTCAGACACGTGATGTAGGACGAGTTTAGGCTTTTTAGTTTAGAACGTGTCTGAATTCAGTGTTTTATTATTTTGCGTTCAAATTCAATGTTCGATTATTCTTAATTGTATCGTATCTTCAAACACGAATTATCCCTAATTCCTAAATAAAGGACAATAAAAAAAACGAATGAATGTGTGTAACTTTGTGAGTGGCGTCTAAGCCTATGCTACAATCCAGGAATGTAAGCAAGGTGGGATTGAGTGGCAAGTGTTAGAATACTAATTAACACTTATGTTATATAGCTATTGTAGTTATTTATTATTTTTATTCTCCTTGAATGCTTGGGTAAATATCTGTTTGTAAGGTAAATTTGTGAACGGATTTTATGGTAACTCGTGTTTGAAGGTACGATAGAATATGAATGAATTTGAGAGGAATATTGGTGGCCGTTAAGATAAGTCTATTTGATACCGTCAAATGAACTTATTAAAATATGTTTTGTTTTGTATTATAAATTTATAATAACTAGCAATGTACACGTGCGTTGACGTGAAAAAAAAATAGTTTATTAATTTGTTATTAAATTTATTTGAAATATAAAGTTGATGAGTAATAAAATTAAATTATTTTTTGTAAAGGTAAGTTAATAATTAAAATACCAATAAAAAATGCACTTAATCTTTTAACCTTAAAATTTTATAAATTTCAGCCAATAAATGATAAAAATATTCAAAAACATGGTACATATAAAAATACTAAAAAATATGGTACATAGTACATTAATGTTTTTTTTGGTATGGTACTTAACTTTAACTATTTTTTAAAATCTTTTTTCTTATAATTAGAATAACGAATTTTTGGAACATACAATTTTTATTTATAATGCTATAATAGAATATGAGCAATGAAAAATTAAATTTAATAAATTTGATTACAGAGTATTAAGGTTTGAATCGATTTCAACCACTCTTTTACAAAATTTAACAAATAAGTTTGAGGTTGTTTGACTTAAAATTAATAGACGTCCTCAAAAGACTCATTTTTTATATTTTATCTAAAAATTGATAAACTCTACAAAAAAAAAAAGTGAATCCAAACAATGATAAATGAAATCAAAAATTATATTAACTTCTCAGCTTTCTCAACTCACCCAGTTTAGAGTTTTTTTGTTTGCTCTCTCTCTTATGAAAAATCTATGTCTTCACTTTAAAACATAGGGTGTCTATATTTTATTGGAATAACCAACTCTCTTTACATGCATTTTGAAGGATTCTCGAAATGGAGTTGGACTACAAGTGCCATTATTAATTGGTTGAAATTTTATACTTCTTCAGATGCTTCTTTGGATTTAGATTGTAGAGGTTCAGGCAAGAAACTTTTGTCTTATATGCAAACCCTTGATGCATTGGGGTTTTGATTGGATAAGTTTCAGAATGTTGATGGCTACAAAATTTTTTATTCTTGTTAATTCATTGATCATGAACATATTTTTATTAAATAAATTTGTTTATGTGAACTCTGTAAATTACAGTTTTAGTCACTTCTAATTCGAAAATGCTTTTAAAGTGTTGGTATATTTTTTCTGTAGCAATTTCTTTTGGCTTCTGTTATTTAAATTTTTTATGTGGTGCTTGCCATGTTATGTTAGGTATTTTTATGTTAATCACATTTGTGATTTTTGAAGTCCTGTATATGATTTCTTGTGTAAAATTTTATCGTTCACAGTTCACGTTTCTATTTATTGTTCTCCTAGACTTGTTAATATAATTTTCATAAGATTTTTGTGAAAATAATTGAAGAGGAAAAAAAGAAGCAAATCATGTCTTAAGTATTTTCTACATAGTTTCTATGTGGTACATTCTTTATTAACGGGTAATGCTTTTGACTTTCAAGCTATTTTTCCTCCGTTACAAGTTTAATTTGAATTTAATTTATTTATTATTGGATTGATTGTTGGTCTCACTAAATGTTGGAATTTACCATCAATTCAAAAATTAAGAATAATTAGGTCAATATTATAGGAGATTTAAACAAACTTTCAAAATATTAGTTATATGAGCAATGAAAAATTGGATTCATGAGAGGTTGTAATAAAACAAAAAAACACTAACATAAAAAAATTTAACGTAAACATAAGAATTAATAAACTAACCTCAATTATGCCAAATATTTGACCTGTCACACCAATTTAATAAACTAAAACATAAGAATTAATAAACTAACCTCAATTATTATGTTGAATATTTGACTTGCCACACCTATCTCTTAGAAAGTTGCTTGACATTAAATTAAAAAACACTAAGTGCCACATAATATAAGAATTAACATAAACATAGGAATTAAAAAACTAAAACAGAGAAATTGAAAAACTAACCTCAATTATGCCGAAAGCTCCAACTTCGACTTCATTAAGTTTGTCACAAAAGGCATGAGACCATAGAACTTCAAATAAATGACTATGGCAGGCCAACTTCTAACTCTAACGTGAATAGAAGAAAAAACTTGTTCGATAACTTTGCTGGAAAGTTTGATCCCATGTGAAATTAGAATCGTATATCTCTCTCTCTCTTTATATATATATATGACAGAATTCAAAATATTTTAGAAGTCTAATAAGTAGGAAAGACAAAAAAATATACGTATATGTATTACCTAAAAATTACCAATATATGATATTAGAATTCTAGTAGAGTTTATACAATTGAATGGAAAAGAAAAAATGTATTGTCATAGAGATAAAATATATATATATATATATATATATATATATGTATCACTTAAAAATTATCAATATGTAGTATTAAAATTCTAGTAGAGTTTGTATAATTGAATGGAAAAGAAAAAATGTATTGTCATAGAGATAAAGTTTAACTATCAAGTTATAAAGATAAAATTTATCTCACTAATATTTTGATAAAATTTATTAACCAAGTCATAGAGATAAAATTTATCTAACTAATATTTTGGAAGTCAAGTAAGTATAAAAGACAAGAAAATATGTGGGTATAATTGACTTTATGGTAACAAATAAGGGTGAAACAGAAAATTAAAATTTGTTCACACATGTTGACATTTATAAGTAATATAGATATACGGTATAAATATGTTGGATTTTTCATTGCAGATAATATTGAGGATACATAGTCAAATCAACCATTCAAATCCCATAAACACGCATAAAAGTGGAATTTTTGAAGGAGCATTGATTTGCTGCTAAATCAAACCTAAACTTTTCATTCCAAATAGGTGTGTATTACATATATTATTTTGTGGGTCTCAAAAAAAGATTAAAATTTTTATTTGGGTGTATTTGGATTAGATATTAGGATGTATCAGATATTCATTCCACACCTATACACATGGAGAATAAAAGGAAATTTAAAATGTATGCCTCTTCATCCTATGTGATTCAAGTATCAAAAAGTAGTGGGACCCATATTCATCTCATCTATTATTTTACTTAGATGTAATATTAAATGATGGTATAAATATTAAATTACTAAAAAATTCTTGTGATAAAGAATGATATTTATATACTAAAGATTATTGAAGGTAAAAATATATTTTGGTCAAACACATCTGAACTGAATTATTTAAAACCCACCAAAATAAATTGACTTATTTTAAGAAGTTGTAGATGGGTTTAAATGCACTATTCATCCCGACCTTGATTATTTTGAAGTTATAATATTGAGCCTAAAGTATGTATTAAAATATGGGAATAAATAAGATAAGGTTCCAAAAAAAAAACTCGGGAATTGAGAAGTTAATGGAAGAGCTATTAACTATTTTTTTTTTTGGTTAGAGCTATTAACTAATTGATATGTTTTTTTGAAGGGGCTTGGATTGACTTGTCTAAACTCAAATATGGGATTCAACATTTAATGTTGTTCATACCTATGTTTGATATGCGTAGGGATATATGACTATTATGATAATATATGTATATTTAAATGACTATTTTGCCCCTTGACCAATTTAATATAGGATAAATAGGATGTATGAGAGGTATAAATGTCATTTGAATGATAAACTCATTAACCCACGTATGAAACCCACCCCCTATGTGTTTCATGAAACCCACCCCCCATGGGTTTCATGAAACCTACAAACTTGGGTTTCATGACTAAATGTGTATAGTATTTGTCAAACATGAGTTTGAGTGGGTTTATTTCCCAATTCATGTTCCAAAATCCCTCAAAACCCACGTACCAAATAGATCCTTAAAGTATCGGTACATAATTTCTTAATTTTTTCAAAGATAGGTCATCTAATATATACCGATGATGAACCCACTTAATCTAAGTAAGTCTATCATCGATAAATAATGTTATTTAGATATAAAAAATTGATTTAATTTGTTGATTTGATGATGTAATTTTATTGAAATTATTAAATTAACACCAAATTTTAATGTTTAATAGGGCTACAATCAATCCAAAAATTATACTGAATTAGATCAATAAATTAAATTTAAGTAGCATTGATCACCACCGATATATATGGCAAATGATCTATTGTTGAAACAAATTAAAAATCTATATAATAAAACACATACGAACTTGAATTTTTATCTCTTACATATTTTCCTCCCTAAAAACATCAAATCACTAATTTCTATCACATATTTAATCATTTATATATTTTTCCCTTAAAAATATTATATAACTCATTTTTATCATATATTTAATCATTTAGTATTTGATTAATTTGTAGTTAATATAATTTTTATTTCAAACATTATTCATATACGATAATATACACATATTGAAAAAAATTAATATAGTAGGATCGATTTTTTGGACGCTCAAATTTTATATTTTATCGTGTCTTCAGGAACAGGTTATAAATAGTATATATACATGCGAGAATCTAGAGCATCTTTATTCAGGTAGAGATCATAGAGTGTGCACCTCATATGACTTTTTAGTATGTGCTTCTGAATAACCAAAAAAAAATTACTAATAAATATTAATATTTTTTTAAAACATCTATTAAGTCCTATTATTTTTGTTTTTCTATCAATAAAGTTCTACTCTTGGTAATTTATTTGAATGAAGTTCTAAATTTTATAAACACTATTTTGCTCCAATTCTATATTTCTATTGACAAATATTGACGCTTAAGGTACTAGGACTATAAAAGTAGTTTTCTTCTTATTCATATATACTTCGACTTCATGTGTTTTAAATTATGTATTTTTTGCTTGCAAGTTTTATGAAAAAGTCAATTACTAATAATTTTTAGAATTGTCATTTTGGGATGTAATAGAAAGCTTTGAACCCTATGTACTATCAATGAAGAAGAATTTTATGATGAGAACTCTAGTACTTTGTGCTTTTAGAATCGTGATTGAAGTGAATATTATTACATAAATAAAAATTGATCATCCATGTGTCTCTACCATTAGTTTCAATAAAAACTCAACATAATTTTTTTTATAAAAAAAAGCAAATTAACTTTTATAAAAAATGGATGACAACTGATCCACTATCTTAAAGAAAACATAACCTTGAATTAAATAACAGTTGATACATAATAATGGTATATTTCGTAGCTCTACCAATTTTTCAACAAGTGAAAGGTGGGGACAAAAGGGTAAAAAAAATTTCAATCCATAATCTCCACCAAAAAAAAGACATCACCGCTGTTGAGTAAAGGGAACAAATCAAAATTTAAAAGCTCCACAGAAAGTGTGTAGTTCAAATTGTGACATATTAGAAAGAATGAAAAAGAACGAAAGAGTTAGGTAACTAAAAATTAAGAACAAAATTAAAATATAACGGAATTAGAACTTCATTAAAATAAAATATTAAAAATAAGATTTTATTAATATAAAATAAAAATAAATACTAGGAAAAAGTGTTACTTATTAGTAATTTTTCCAAAAAAGTATTTCTTACCGCGCGAATGAGGCAACATCTCGTTTGAATACTTCTCGTCTAAGAAATGGAGTTAAAAAAAAATTGGTGTTATACATCCATTTATCATTATTATTGTGGGTATTTTTATTATTATTATAATATCAAAAAAATGGTAAAAATAATTATCATACCAGTGATAAAAACATTCACTAATGTAATAAATCACCCACAAAATGATAATTTTTTTTTGCATAAAAAAAGTGATAAAAATAATTACCACAAGAGTAATAAAAAAACCTATAAAAATGATAAATCAGCCACAAAAATAATAATTTTTTTGGTTGCAAAAAATGACCCCAAAAATTATTAAAACAACAATTAAAACAATAAATTTTAGAAATATAATTCCAAATATTTTTGTTGTCACTACCGTACTCAAAGTCCTAAGAAAGAAATCATAGATATGATGAAACACGGAATGATATTCCATCCACCGCACTATGATTTGTCTTACAAAATATGAACTATTTCAGAGCTTGTGGCCCATTGCACCACCCAATCATCATTTAAATTTATTGCCTATAATAGTATTCAAAAAAGAAAGGCCGGCGTAAGTTTATTTAATTATGGAGAAATTGACCGACTGAGTCCTCAACTCAAGAAAAGGAACGATAAATTTCAAACTTGTGATCTAATAATTCAATAACGAATTGTGGTGGTGATCATTAGATGAATTGTTGATCTTTAACAAAGTAACGTTTGGTCATACGAAAAGTTGGCAACTTGACTTTTGTTATCGTTTCGGGTCTAATCTCTTAAAACATACATACATATAAACTGGTCAAAAAAATGTGAAAAGGAAACTACCTTTTGATGTTGTGCCCTGTGTTTTGGAGTTATGTGACTTCTTCTTGGATGATTGTGGTTGCAGCAAAGCAAATATGGCTTTTTCATCAAACTCATAACTCTTTCCTTTCCTTTCCTTTTTTTTTTTTCTCCAATGCTTATCCACCATTTGGTATCCACTAGTTCTATTTATAAGGCAAAAACATCATTAGTTCCTTCTGGCTCGTATTTACGTCCAAAATCACCCTAACCTAATTTATTATATATCAATTGGAGATTTTAGGCACGTAAAAATAAAAGTCAAATTGCACTTTGTACCTTAAAAAAATTTAAGTTTGTTATTTTATACTCAAAGATTAAATTTTTCATATTGTATCATTTATATATCAAAAATGTTATAAGTTGACTCTTCTATTAGCTTTCCGTTAGTTTTTCTATCCGTGTCAGTTGACTTTTGATGAAAAAAATAACTACATTCTCACAAAAAGATTACATTGAGAGCACAATATACAAAATTTAATCTTTAAAAGTACAAAGTGCAAATTTTGAAATCTTTCAGCGTACAAAATGCAAAAAATTCAAAATAAAAAGTTATACATGCTGAATAATAACATTCTTTTATACGATTCTATTTCTAAATATTTTGGTAATTGCCCTCATAGATGCTCATAATAGAGGCGCATGACACCTTATAGCGTGCAATCAAAGAGGCTATTTGTACATTTTTTTTCTTCTTGCAAGTGTCTACCAAGTCACATTGGGTTGATTTCCAATCATGTAATATTGAATTTATATCGAGTACTAATCAGCTCTAGATAACCTGTCACTAATTTGATATGCTTATTAATCGTGTAGTGTTCAAATCAACATGCATGACCTATGAATTAGAAGATAGAAAGTAAAAAACTCAAATTCTACAGAATTTGTATAACATTATAATGTATCAAGAAATGACAAAAAAGGAATAAAAAGAGTCAAATATTTTTCCATACAACATCAATTCAATGTATAGATTGTGTTAAATGAGTCAATTGCATTTGAAACTAATACCACCTATTTAATTTTACACGTAGGTCTTGTCATTTTGGGGTTTGTGTATAATAATAGACAATCATAACCCAATAATACCGTGATAGGTTCAAGCTGTAATACCGAGACATGTCAAGAATTGTCAGTCTATCATTTTTCAGCTTCATCCAGCAGACGTGGCCTCAGCATCTCCACCGTGACCCATTGTGCCACTTCTAGTCACAGCCAACAGAAACCCCATCCTTTGCACCCCTGTAGTGTAAAGAACAAAGCCCCCAATGATTTTTACTATTTTCCTTTTTCCAAGTAATACAATGCTCAGAATCTATGTGACTATCTCATTTTCTTTCAGTAGTCTCTATAGAAACCTAATGACACAAAAAGGATCTTCATGGAGTGCCACAACATTTACATCCAGATCTGTGCCTCACCACACAAGATTACCCAGAACCTAAGTAGAGGAGCTGAAATATTTTCCTGATGAGTAGCCACAAATTGTGAAGCATTCCAGTTATTTAATTCGTAAATGTTTACCCCCTTCTCCAGGTGAATGATATACATTTAAACAAGTCATAAAATATAACCATGGTCCATCTGTGCGCATATGCTGCGGTATAATCATGTGTTATTCAGTCTACAATCATCATTGAAATTAGCTATTACTCAAGATAACAGAAACTTCAGCAATGCTTTGTATAATCAAAAAGTATCTCATTGCAAGTAGACCTTACTGACATGTTTGCTTAACAAATAGAAATCAGTAATTAGCACCTGCACAAACATAAAGTGGAAAGGTCTGCATGGTCATTCCTTCTTCTCTTCAGCTGCGTAGAGTGCTTTGATCTCCTCGACATCATCATAACTACCCAGAAAAATCGGAGACCGCTCATGTATATTATTTGGAACCAAGTCAAGTGCCTGCCACAATAGTTGATTCCGTTAGATCATAGTATGCAGTGGTGCACAGTTGTCAGTTTGAGCCACAGAAAAGTGCTTCGATGGAGCAACTATTTTACATTATTACTCCCCTCTCATTTTCTCCCTCACTCTTTTCTTTTACCACCTCCCCCAACCAAAAAAAACTGGAATGAATCTCACCAGAGTCTGTGCCAATAAACTTTTAAGAATTTCAAGTAGATCATACTTAATTTTGAGTCCAGAAACACAGAAATATAGTAAGTAAAAAATCTTTGTATCGGGACTTTATAATAAAGTAGTCTAACTCTGTCTTTTCCTTTTCTGGTTCAGTTGATAGAGGTCAATTGAAAGATATGCCAAATCAAACTATCTGTTAAAAAAGGTTCACCAAGTCAAGTACCCGATGCTTGCCAGTAAAAGCTTGTCCTCCAGCTTGTTCCATCAGGAATGACATTGGAAAGACTTCATAGAGAACCCTATTACATTCAATTTATATAGTCACAAATCAATTATTTTTGTTTTTGTAAGTTATCGCTGAAAAAGTCTTCCGGTTTCTTTCAACATCTTACATGTTTACAAAACTTACCGAAGTTTTCCATTGGGGCTTTTCTTATCAGCGGGATACAAAAAGATACCCCCATAAAGTAATGTGCGATGGATATCAGCTACCATGCTACAGATCAGAAGCCAAGCACAGGTATTATAAAAGAGAGAAGTAAGTTTGTCTATAGACTCTATGTCATTACTGTCCAACCAAAAGCAACAAGCATTCTGAAAGATACATAGTCAATAAGCTCCGTTCATAGACTGAATCCAGAAAATCCTATTTATGCATTAATTTCAACACTATGTTAACTGTGTTCTTTTGAGATTGGAACTAAATTAACAAAGACAAAGGCACAAAATAATAATAATAATAATAATAAGAGATTGCTCTCACGTGCTATTAAAGTCATGAGCACCACTCTACAAGTTGCAAAAACTGATCCAAGCCCCCAAAAGAAATTAGATTGCTCGAGTTCTTTTTTGTATTTTGCTGATTACAATGTTTTTAGCCTTTCCAGGTGATCTATATGAAACTCACGATTGAGCTTGGATGGGCTTTCAGCACCACCAACCCAAATATATTGTCATTTAATTATCTTAAGCAATGAGGTTTTAACAGTCAATAAATATATATCCAGCACAAAGTGAAGGCAACTTAGTTTCCTGCCGTCCATTTCTGTTGCCCTATACCAGTTAGAGTGGATAACAGGTCCACCTGAACATAGTATAACCATATCCAGTTCAGAGGAGATAAGCTTCAGTTCGAGAATTTTTGAACCTGATCTGAGCCAGCCCAAACTCACCCCAAAAGCAATTATTTTCATGGTTTCTTTGTGTATGTAATTCAGTTCAGGGACGCTGCTTTTATCCTCTACAGATTGCAAACTTTGTCTCATGCATTGGGGGTTACTTCAATCTATAACAGAGGGTCTATAATAGACTAACCTATCTCAAGAGAAGGACAAATTCTATGGGTTAAATGTGATAGGAGAGGTGAACTGAAATTTATTTTTATTTTAAAAAATGTTGAAAATTCAATTCAAGGCAACAAATGTCTAATCCTGAAGTGCAAGTAAAATAACGATGTGATTACAATGAAAAAATAAGAAAAAACGACCAAAGAAATTAAGGGCCAGCAATAATTATTTTTTGCTTTTTTTACTCCTGTCTAAATACAAACTATGACTTGAGCATTCACGGGAAAACAGATGCAAGAAGCAAGCAATATTGTGATAAGGCGCTCCTAGTTACAAAACAAACAAACACATATGGATATAGTTTGTGAGTTAGAAATCTGAATACCTTCCAATGTATCGCAGAGACTTCGATGATGAACCGTCTTTAGGAAACTTGCATTTTTCTACGTACCTGTAATTAAATTGATGTCACGACCTCATAACTAACGAAAAATGAGAGACTCACACGATTGGGTCTTACATACTTGGCTGTTGGACCGTCCCAGTTCTTCGCATTTCCTTCATTCACAGAATAAATTTTTCCTTTCTTGGGAATCTGGTCAGAAAACATAAGTTAACAAGAGTCGAACAAACAATCAAGAAATTAAAATAAGAATAAACACTCAGCTGCGCTAAAATTAACCAGGGACTTCAAGTAGAAAAATGATATGTGTCATTTACGAAATGCAAAATGTAATGCCAGTTTCAGTGCCCCATGCATTATCACACACTGTTGAGAAGGTACTGGAAAACTGTGTTGAAAATAGAAAAGGGCATTAGCAATCACAAAGGAAATTGGAACAAACACATATGCAAGGCTGCTTTGTGCTCTCACCTGAAGGGGATACAGCCAATGATATTAAATTGACCTAAAATCATATATTGAGGTGTCCAAACTATGGATACATTGACGCTTTAATAAACATGATCATTATGGTTTGTCGTATAAAGTAGTACAAATACTGCAACATGGCGCAAAATATCAATTCCATCATGCATTAGATGTTCTTAATAGGATAGATCACTGCTGAATGTTTTATTTTATTTCCATGTGGAACCATAGTTGTTTAGTTCCTCGCAACCAGAGAATTTTAGCACAATTTCAGCATATGGATGGCGGGAGTAGTATGCGAGAATTGAGAAACCAGGTTAATGGTACGACAAGAAGTTTGTTTATGTAAATGGCTAAATAATAATCAGTTAATGTACTAACCTTGATATCTGGATGAGTTAGTATGAACTCCCCGAGAGATGGATCGAGGGTAAATCCATTGACACCAGTTCCAGTGCTTAATACAAACTGCAAAATAATTTACCGGCAACAAAATATAGTTTCACAATGGGATAGAATCTTGGCTGCAGCAGGCAAAACCTTATTGAGCCATTCCTCCCATGATTGAAATTTATAGTTAGACAGCAATTCAATATATTTTAAAAAAACACACACACAAATGCCAGAACAGATTACTGAAGTTTGGAATGGCCAAAATCATCAAGAAATTAATTGCTAGGTCATTAAAAAAACAAGTAGGCATTAATTACACGAGGAAGGTGATTCTCCATACCGTGCAAGAGCTTCCATACATGCAATAGCCAGCAGCTAACATATTCTTCCCTGGTTGCAACACATCCTCTAAAACTGGTTCACTACCATCTTTAATCATATAAATTCCAAAGATCTAGAAGAAAGACAAGACATCCAATTGATCACCACATATCATCTTACTCTTGAGGAATAATTTCTAACAGCACGAGATCCAGTACAACAATAAAAAAAGCAGAAGTTCAGACAAGGAGCCATACAGTTCCAATAGAAACACCGCAGTCGATGTTTGAGGATCCATCTAAAGGATCAAAAACAACGCAGTACCTGCAATACCAGACCATAGCCATCCATATTGATATCAGTCTAGAATCAAAACATGTGAAATTTCAGAACCGAAAAGGGAAGGACAAGTATCCAACAACAGAGAGAGAGCATAATTAGTACACACTTTCCACGCTTAGATGGCTCCACAAATGTTGCCTCTTCATCCTCTTCAGAGACAAGGATGCACTGGAAGAAGATTCACACTCTTAAAAAATTCATCCTCAATTTGAGTATATTGCCAAAAAAAAAAATGTCTCCATTGACTTACTGTTCGGCCGCTGCTGATTAGAGCCTTAATGAAAACTTCATTTGAGAGAACATCCAGTTTCTTTTGCTCTTCACCCTTCACAAGATAAAACCAGACAAATACATTTGCATGAATATTACAAACAAGAAGGGATCCAAAGCTTGGGCTTGAGATGAATACACTAATTTGTGCTTGACGACCCTCTTCTGATTGTCAATTTGACGAAAGCCTCCTTTACATCTTAGTAATCATCAGTTTTCAACAGGTCTTACTGGTAATTTAAGAAAATATTAAAAAGGTTGGGAGCCAATTCCTCAAAATTATTAGAGTCACTGCATATGTTAAGAAATTTTCAAACCTCGTACAGCTTTCAACAGGTCTTACTGGCGATTTAAGAAAGTATTAAAAAGTTTGGGAGCAATGTGTTAAGAAAATTTCAAACCTCGTAGGAATGGTCCCCGTAGACCTTACCCGGGGGGGGGGGGGGGGGGGGACACACCCCCACAAAAAAACCATCATCGACTACCAAAGAATTTTGCACCAATTTATCACATAGCAATTATAAAAAAAGTTAGTAAACAAAATAGAAAAATGGAATATGAATCCAAAATTACCTGGATGTTGGTCTCCCCAGCAAGCCCAATGAGTTTGGCTAATCCTGCCTGCACAAAAACAACTTCAAACATAAGAAATTGGCAAACCCATCACCCAAAATTCAAAACCTAATTTTCAGAGTAGTTCATTATAAATTCAAAGCAGTTTTTTTTTTTTTTGTTTGTTTGATCAGTCAAAGCAATTGAATTAAAAACACAATATCAGCTACAGAATCAAATAAAATATTAAAAAAACAGAGACCTTATTGACCGCAGAACAGACGAACTTGCAACCAAGAACAATGTGATTCAGCAATATAGAGAAATCTCCACGAGATTCAGGATACTTTGACTGCTCGTTCAGCACAAATCGCGTTATAGTCATCAAATCGGTCTTGTGTACATCCGCCGCGTGATCCATCTTTTCCAAAAAACACACACTTCAACCCTCACCACAATCCAATGAAATTTCTTCAAAAATAAAAACCTGTAAAATCTTCTGAATATTATTGAGAAAGGTGCTGAGTTTCGAGGACTGAGACGAACCTTGAAAAGTGTGGATAGATATAGAAATGATGGGATGGGGCTATCTGATGTCAATGGAAGTTTCGAACGACACGTGGTGGATGCGCCGCAAGCGAAGGTCTAGTGGCTGTTAATCTGACGCTGGAGATAACGCTCTTCGTCTTCCACTTCTCTCTCTCTCTCTCTCTCTCTCTCTCTCTCTCATTCGGCGGTTATTGCTTTTGGCCTCTGGCTCTGCTCCAAGGTGACGATGTAGAGGTCTCCCGGGACATCTATTTTTTTTTTTCCTAGTATTTTTTTTAATCATTTTAATAAACAATTTTCAATTTTGGCGCTTACGGGTTCTTGGTCGCAGGTAGTCGGATGGAGACGTCTGGTTTGAAATTGGATGCCACTAATAAAGGGCCACAATGGAAAATTTTATTCAATGATTACGGTTAATGACAAATTTTAATTTATATAAAATTTATTTAAATTAATTTTATCAATGATTTCACTTATGGTATATTTGGTTGGATCAACAAAAAAATAGAATGATAAAAAAATTCATTCTTCAAGGGATGTATTCTTCTTTTTCTCTTTTATGTTCGGTAGAAGAGATGAAAAGTACGAAGTAGAATCAATTTTTTTGTATTTGGTAAGATAGAAAAAATATATATATATATAGTTTATTATTATATCTATATATAAATTTAATGTATACATGATATATAATAAATAAATATGATATATGCATATATTAAAAGTTATAAAGGTAAATAGCATACATTTTAATACAAATAATTAATTTTTTATCTACTTTTTCTTCTAATTTTAGAGCGATTAATTTTAGTGAGTTGGAAAGAAAGTTAATCCATATAAATTTTTATCATTCTTATTTTTCTTTCTTATTAAACATGATATTTTATTTATCTTTCAAATTTTTTATCCTTTCATTTTTTATCATACCAAATAAAACATTAGATTTCACAACAAAATGAAAGATTATTTTTCCACATAATCTTTGATTGCATACGTCCAAAGAAAATTTCTAAATATTGTAGCATAGAATCAATTATAGAAGAGTTTGTGAATTTTAAAGAACGTTGTATTCTATTTTGATATATAAACAATACTATTTTTTTTATGTTGTATTTAGTTTTAAATCTTATATATTTCTCATACTTACACTTTGAAATTTTATAAATTAATTTATGAATTTGATATTATTGTTTTGCCCCCTCTAAAACCAAAATCTTGGCTTTGCCCCCGGTAATAATTGTCTGAATCTCATTCGTCTAAAAAATCGGGATTCTACAAAAGGGGTGAATATTTACATTTAGAGGGTAATGGTGGAAAACATAAAGGTGAGAGCATAAGCTCTTAATGGGAGTATGAACAATAAATGACAAATTTTCATACCTAAAAAATAAAAAATAAAGTCATCTTTAGTAGAAAGATTGCCGATGACCCCTTAAGTTCATCGTTGCCTTTTTTTTTTTGTATATATATTTTTTTAAAAATTGATAGAAACACATATAGTATAAATCTTATAACACAATCAACCATTTCAATGTGAAATCAACATAAAATTACTGTATTATAATTATTATTATCGGTTTTTAATTATAATCAAGATAAATTGTCAAATTTCTTTAACAAATGATTGACTCTAATAAAACTATATACAAAACGAATGAAATTGTACAAATTACAAATAATCTACACACGAGTTTTACTGGATATTTCAACAAAAAAAAACCAAAAAAAGAAAGACTTATTCTTATCATCCCACTTCAAGGGAAAATAACTGGTTGGGAAGCCCTGGAATATCAAACAATACAAAGATTCCAATTGACTTGATGGGTTTATTTAGCAAGCACATCTTCTTTCTTTCTTTATTATTATTTTTTTTTTGCAAGTGATGGTGGGGGGGGGGGGGGTGAAGAGGGGAAGTACAATAATATTATAAACAATGGCAGAGTCAAAAATATAATTTAAGCTGGTACACTTTAACTATAAATTTTACTTTATCCTCTAATAAATAAAAACAATGTGGTACACTTATGTTTTTTACATCATAACTAAAAGCAATAACCTAACTTAGACATGAATAGAATTATACATCATATTTCACTATACTAATGAAATAGATTTTTGAAAAAGAAAGAAAGAAGGAAAACACTAATTTTTAGAAAATGGTTAGACTTAGGGTCAATTTTCAGAAACAATCAAAAGGGATTATAAAATCTCAAAAATTAGCAAAGTAATTCACGTCTTAACAAGCCAAAACATTATAAGGGTACCCTTTGTCCAGCACTGAATTTTTAAAAAATAATGTTTTTCAAAAAACAAAGATTTACAATCGGAGAGTCACAATAGTCTAACAATAGAAAAATGTAACGAGAAGAGAAAATGTAATACTTTCTTCTTCTCTTGATCTCCAAGTCTTCAACATGATGTTGCTAGTGTAGTGGTACAGGAGGTGTCATTCATTTTTTTGTTTTTTTCACTTTGATTGTATTTAGAAAGAAGATGACAAATGACAAATTTATATCTATATCTATACTACTTATAAAAGTACATTAGCATAAAAAACTTTTAATTTCGTACATTATCCCTATATAGATTTCTATATTTAATCATACCCTAATCTCTTATCTTATTTTATTTAAATAATGACAATTTAATACATCAATGGTGTATATTTCTGTATGAAAAAGTTAACAAACACTTTTATTTAAGGACCATCTCTTTTTCTTCTCTACATCATGGAAGAAAAATTGCAACTATCATTCAAGGCAATAAAAATATGATAAATAGTATGTCATTGCAAATCAAAGTTATAGAAGTTAAAAGAGATTAGAGCAAGTGAAGGGACACAAAAAGTAGGAGTGTCAATTGTGTCGTCTCGTCACTTTCGACTGTGTTATTTTTTGTGTCGAATCATTTTCGGTAAGTGTTAGATTTGTGTTAATAAAAAATTATTTAATTATACAACAATTCATATAATACTATTAAAAAAATCTTATTTTTTTTACAATACTTGTTAAATATTTATTTTCTATATATAATACTCATTAATTGTATTATTCGTGTCAAACCTTAATTTGACAAATTTATTACTCGTGTCAAGTAATCGTGTTATTTTCAAATTTTGTGTCGGATTAAGTTCGTGTTAATAGATAAAATTGGCACCCTAACAAAAAGTCATAAAAAGACCAAAATATTTAATGAATTGCAAATGACATATGCCAAGTATAAATTCATCCCGCCCTCGATCCATAAGAGTCACTCTAGTTACGCAAATTACAAATAGACCAAGTATAATAGATTTTTATACCAAAGAAGCTAAGACTTGATTGTATAATATACAACACTCGAGGCAGTGGTGGGGGCGCAATCATATAATTGAGCCCATTTATGTTGGTTGCATGACATCTATAACAGCAAAGGTGACACCAACTACATGACCAATAGAAACTCATTTTCACTCATAGAATATGAGTGATTACCAAATAATATTTTTTTGTTTGCTATCATTAAATCTTACTATGTTCTGCAATGAATTGTTAACAGGTATAAAATTTAAAGGGACATTTTATTTTGTACCCCGAATATGTAATACCATAACTATAGGTACATATTGGGTTAGCATTGTTTTGAAACCATGACAAAGTCAATGTCCAAATGACCTAAAATGTGTTTCATACAATTTCAATAAGTAGGTTGAAAAAGGATACACTTGGTTTGGGTTAATCCAACAAGATGTGCACCTCATGTCGAGATTCAATTCAACAAAAAATCTTCCTTTTAAATTTGAAATATCAAAAATAAAAACTTGGAAAATAGACTATGGTGTTGAAATCATTAAAATATTAAGGACTTGCTTGTTCCAATTGGAATTTCAAGAACTAAGTTGAAAAATGACTCATACTTGAAGAGTATAAATCTTAAACGGCTCAAACAAAAATTATACTTCAACTTAAGTTACGTGTAATGCATATGTGTATCAACTAGTAACAAAAGAGTGCGCCAAAGACTTTTATGACACAACCTTTTTTTTTTTTTTTTGTGGTTTACTGGTTTCAAGAGGTTTGTTATGGAATTAAATCTTTTTTTTTTTAATTCCAATATCCCGCACCAAACTTCTTTAACCTAATTAATTTTATTTTGTCTAATTCATTAGGGTGGACCCAATTGAAATTAACCACAAAATATATAAAACATATATAAGAAAAAAAAAAAAATTCTTTAGGGGGTGGCCCAGCCCCTGACCTCTACCTTCCTCCGCCACGGGGTACAATCACCCAAGTGTTGCAACTAGAGACGAAATATGGATTACAATATATGGTGTTCAACTTACAAGGATAAAACAAATTCAAATAAGAAAGGAAATATAAAAAAATAGGTCCAAAAATACTTGAAACTAGGGTGTCTATGAACAGAATTATATTCAAGGGAAAAAAAAGTGAGTCTAAAATTCGATAAGCTTCGACCCAAATTCAATATCCTTGTAGAGAGGGTTTGAACCTGTCCCCAAACTCATTTTCTGGTCCATTAATCCACCCACAATAATTCGGCCCAAGAACCCGCCCACCTAGCCCAGTCCAACCCGCCAATCCACCCACTTTATTTGAAAAAAAAAATATGATAATTGAAAGTTAGGTGCCATATTCCTTTAAAAAAAATTATTTACTCAAATATTAAGTTGAGTAATCTAGGGTATTATTCATTTCTCATTTTTTACTTCAATACTAAATAATTAATTTCAAATAAAATTATTTATTATTTACTTTTTGTTCATTTTAACTCTACTTTTAATTCAATAATGTAATTTATAAGAATATTAAGTTGAAAATTTTAAAATGAAAATGTATATATATAAAGTTTGCCCAGTGAGTGACAGGGTGAGTTATAGTTAGGGGGTGTCAATTGTGTCGGATTAAACGGTTACATATCGGGTTAAACAAGTGATAGAAAAAAAAATGTATAAATTCATACACGACACGTTTAATAAACAAGTAAAAAATTTTAACACGAATACAAACTATTTGATAAATGGGTAACACAACACGACTCATTTAAAAAAAATGAAAAAAATATTATTTTAATAAATTTTTATACTCCATTATTTTTTTCTTTCAACTGTGTTTTTTCTCAATTAAAAAAATTTCAGCCAACGACTCACGTAAAAATCACAGCACAAAAGTTGACTAGAATGAAAAGCCCACTGCCTTTTTTTATTGGCAAGTGAAGTTTCCCCACTCCACTCCTCGTTGATGTGGGATTCAAAGTAAAGGGCCAAACTGATGGGTAGAAATGTCAATGGACTGAAGTGGGGGCGAAGGATATAGTCTTCATTTTCATACCCGCTTAAAAAACCTTCGTCCATCCCCGGTTTATCCCGCTAACGGGTATAATTTTCATCTCCATTCTCATTCGAAAATAAATTTATAATCTCCATTCCCGTCCCTGCTTCACCCGTACCCGCCCAAGCCCAATTAGTTCTGTAAATGAGCTGATGGACAAAGTGGCTCACAATTTGTTCTGTAAATGAGATGGGGAACTGGTAAATGAGTGGATCTCATCCTTGAATGTCCCCGGTAAATGACATAGATCAAGCTAAAAAATGAGAGCATAGAAGGCAAAAACAAAAAAGTCAAAGCATAGATTCCAATCGGCAATGCCAAGAAGTAAGAACATTCATCCAACATTGAAACTTAAATGCCCCAAACTGATAGACGAACTGGACACATATGAGATCATTATGATGATTCTTAACAATCATAAATAAAATAAAAAACCCATAAATAATCATAAACTATTATTCTGATGATTTATAGATGTACAACCCCAAACTAATCATAAATAAAAAAAAACCCAAAATCAAGGAAACCCCGAGGGAGAGCTTGCTCATGTCTATGAAGTTTAGACCAAGGAAGTGTCAAATTGATGCAGCAAGACCACGAAATTAGATATACAAAATCGATTCACCAGAAAACATTGGACTCAATTTCACCAATCGCGTGAGCTCGTACACATATAGATGATACATTTATATACTTTGATATTGAAATTAAATCATGGAATAGTTTACCATAGTCAGAACGAGGTCGCTTGAGTAAGCTTGCTGAAGGATGCAGAGACGGTTGACCATTCCAGTAGCCCTCCGCCATCTCTTCTGCAATCAAAAATTATATTTCTTTTCTTGTTTTTTGAGTCTTTACATGAATATGCTTGCGTATCCACTTCTTACGGGAGAAAGACAGAGTGAGAGAGAGGTTATGGTGGTGGAAATCGTAATGGACGGGAGAGAGAGTGTGTGTTGCTGATGGGCTCACTGAACTAGAGGCATGGTCCGTGGAGGCCTTTGCCTTTTGGTTTTGGGTGGAGTGGAGGCACAGAGTCGGGAGGCAAGCGGCAAATAAGTTAGGGCTTAGGGTTTTTAACTAAAAGTATATATATATATATATATATATATATATATATATATATATATATATATATAACGAGTAACGGGGACGGGGCGGGGCAGGGGTAAGGGTAAGTTCATCCCCACCTTCATTCTCGCACGGGTTCATACGAGTATCCCCATATACGTCCGCCATTCATACGTATAGTTTATCCCTAGTTCAAACGAGGCGAGTTTAGACGAATACCCATTTTTTTCCGGTCCACTGTCATCCCTACTGATGGCCAACAAAAGTCTCCCCCTTCGGGTGATGACCTTACTGATGGCATATTTTTTTTAAAAAAATGTTTTCTTTCTTTATTTATTATTTTATATATATAATTTATTATTATATTAAATTTATTTAAATGAGCAAACGAGTAATAAAAGGGTTGACAAGTCTCTCTCGAACACGACCAATTTATTAAACGTGTCTGACGAGTCAACCCGTTTACCATCCAAACCAGTTAAAGTCTCACTCAAACTCGTTTCATTCGTGTCGTATCAAATTTTGACATGCCTAATTATAATACATAAAATCCTACCCGCCCCCATCCAATAACTAGTCCAAGTAAGAACTTGGTCCTATTGTGCCTGTCCAAAAACAAATTTCACAAATTTATGTTCCGTTTGATATGATGGAAAAATAGAAGGATGAAAAGTTAGAGGGATAAATAAAACATCATATTTTATAAGGAAAAAAAGCAGGAATGATGAAAAAGTAGATGAATTAACTTTTTTTCCAACTTATAAAAATCAATCCCTTCAAAATCAGAAGAAAAATAGACGAAAAGTTAATTATTTGTGTTGAGATAAAACTTATTTGTCTATATATATTTTTATATATACATATAATATGCATGCATTAATTTCATGTAAAAATACAATATATATATATATATATATATATATATATATATATATGTATATATTTTTTTAAATTTTAAAAATAAATTTAAATAAAATTATATTAAAAAAAATTTTCTTCTATATTATATGACACGATTTGAACTCGACACAAACTTGATTAATTTGAACATTAAAATAAACAGGTCAACGTGTAATTTGACACGATACAATTAGTTAAATGAGTTGAGTTATGTGTGACTAATGTTCGACACAAACCTGTAATGACTTAACATGAATTTGACACGATATGATTTGATTGTCACCACTAATCTTAGCCAGCACAAAAAAAAAAATTATTAATTTTTATTTTTCATCCATCCAACTAAATATAAAAGAAGAAAAAATGTATCAGTCCTACTTTCTTTCCTTCCTTGAAAGATAGAAAGTGTATCCCTTCTATTTTCCATTCTACCTATTTTCCATCGTTCCTATCAAATAGAGTATTAGTCCCACTTGGCCAGCCCATGAACAACCCCCACTTGAAACCATGGTGTGTAAATTCTTATCAAATTACTCTTTTCATTTAAGTAAAATGATCGAATATCTATTTGCTAACTTGCTATTATAAAGGGAGAGGAAGGTGGCTTTATATAATATATTTATTTTTGTCTAATCTCAATCATCCATAACACATCAAACCACAATTTTCTATTAACTACTTTCAACTGCTTATATTATTTATTTCCTTTGCTTTTTCTCTAACCCTCATTTCTTTCTCCCGCTCATTCTCCTTCTATCTCATTTTTTAACATATGTATGCAAATTATAGTGTTTAAGACTCATTAATTGCGTAAAAAATATTTAAATAAGTGTATAATGCATTATTAAAATGAATGACGATGATAAACTCAGATAACCGACCCAAAATAATTGAAACATAAGAATTGGTTTGATTCGATTTAGTTAATTGCGTAAAAAATAACATCGAGATAAAAGAGAAATAAAATCAATCTTGGATTTTTTTTTTCAATGGTTAGGAATGTTTGGTTAATTTAGACACACCTTGACTAATCGATCCCTCTCCGATCCTGTCAAAGGCAAGTTATCCATACTAGAATTAAGATATTTATGAGAGATAAATTTTTTATAAGAAAATACTATGTATTCCAAATCTCCATCTCAAATGGATGGAGACTATTGGATGAGTGAGTTCTATCAACTTTTTTAAATGGGACCCACTGATCTAACGATTTCCTTTAATTTAGGATGAAAATTTGAGTTAGAGATTTGGGATACATAATATTATTCTTTCTCATAACCTAATTTCAAAAAATTTATAAAATTTAAACTCAGAACAATTAAATTTATAACATGTATTTATTACCATTGAAATTTTCTTAGATTTATATTTATCATATTCACACTTTAGAATTGGGCAACTAGGCATTCAAAAACTTCTCTCTTTGTAAGTAGCCTCAAAAACAATTAAATCTGATCCCATCTTTTTAAGTCAAACAACAATAAAGACTTCACCGGAAAGCAATTGCTTTGCTCGCCATAGAAGCCAAGAATCTCCGGTCACAGTCTATTTATTTCTTTTTAATTATGCATCCCTCAATTACCAAAACCACCCTGGGCTTGCCTACAAATTACAGAACTCACGCCCACAACCCAACACCTTTTCTAAGTGGCAAAATAGTCATTCCAACAAAAGTCCCTCACCGGTGAACCAGTGACACCATAAGGGTGTCAAAATATGAAAATGTTGTGGTTATGAAGTTTTTCACGACGTGACGCAATTTTTATTATTAAATATTAATGAGATTTATTTATTGGATGTTAAAAATTGTGTCATATTATTTAGAATAAAAAATTTGATAAAAATTTTAGTCAGTATAATATTATTGTTCAAAATAGGACACGATCCGATAATACAAAATAAATATGATACGAGATTATAAGGTTTAAGTCGTATTTAAATTACTCATTTTATAAATGAGTGAACTCCGTATAATATGATTAGTAAATAAAATTAGTAAATAAATTGGGTATAATAAAATTAATTTAAAAAAAATATACAATATGAATCCGATATGACACGATTTATAAGCTATAAATTGAGTATGAATAAAATATTATTTTGACATGGCTCCACTAAAACACGTCAAGAAACGGCCCCGTTTTACTTGCCCCTTTGCCGGCGCAATGTCGCTTTCTTTTGTTCCACTGGTATTAAATTAGGTTTTGAAATAAAAATTTCAATTCGATTACAGTTGTATAGCGTATCTCCATATGTAGATACGAACTTATGTATATATAGTTCTATTTCTGATAAATCAGTTGAAGTTAATTCAAAGAAATTGCTCGATCAATCTCGAGCTTATAAATAAAAACACATAAATTCTCTTTCTTTTGGTATTTTTGATCTCTATATATATGCGTGCATATAGTGTAGGATCGAACTGAAACCCTAATTTATTGATTTTAGGAAGAAATCGATCATTTGCATCTGATCGAGAAAGAAAGAGAGAGAGAGAATCAATGGCAGATCAAGAGGAGGACGATATGCAGATGGCGTTGAAGATGAGTATGCAGCACGAGCCACCGGAGCCGAAGAGGAGCAAACCGAGGGACAACGCTGCCGGACCTCAGGCGGAGGAGTCGCCGGAGGTGAAGAACCGGAGGTTGCAGCGGGAATTGATGGCTGCGGCAGCGGAGAAGCGGATGATGGCGGCGAAGAACGCTGCCACCGCGGTAGTCTCGGTTTCAAAGGTTGGGAAGAGTGTAAAGGAAGAAGAGGGTGGGAGTGCTTCTGGGGCGGAATGTAAAAAGAAAGAAGTGAATTTGGGGAAGGAGCTTTCACCGGCGGAGGCAAATGAGTTGTTTTCCATGGTTTTCGGTGGTGAAGTTACAAAGGACGTACTTGCCCAATGGAGCAATCAGGGAATTAGGTATGATAAAGTTTAGGTTTTTGTAAGTCCATTACAGCATTGCTTTTATTCTTTTTGGGGTCTCTATCAGGTGTTTTAAAGAAAAGCTTATTGTGCTGACATACTTGCGGATTTACAGAATTAGTGGATAACTAGTCTGAATCCAGGAAATATTACTGTTTACCAGTGTTAAAATGCAAAACGATTGATCATGGTCTCTTGCTCAAAACCATTTTAGATGAACATATTAGAATCGTACTGCTGCAAGCCTGCAATGACATGGGACTTATAGATGCATCGTTTTTCCTTTGGTTTCTCCAACCCATGTTTCTGTTATCATATCTTCCTCTCATTCCTGTTGTGCACTATATGTTACCATTTTAGAAGGACTGCTTATAGTTGCAATGGTGCTTTTTTATATGATCGCGAGCACATAGAACGACAAAGGAAGTTCAGTTCTGTGATTTCATGGTTTTCTCCCATGGAGGGCAGACATAAATGTTGGGAACTTTTTCCCTCTTGAACTTATCAATATTGTTATCTTCCCCCAAAATTGCAAATAGCAAATAACATAATTTGACCTGTTTTATGACCAGTGTACAATGGATATTACCCATGTCCAACAACAAATAAAAGGATATAAAGAGATATACTCCAAAGCTGGTTTCTTGCAAATTGTCAGATTTGCCCTTCTTCTTGTGCACATGTTCGGCATAAACTGATTTCCACAAAAGTCTGGCAAAGGCACTGACTGACAAAGGCAATTTCTGTATTATACTGAGCTATTTGTAGAGCTACTATATCATTCTGTGTCTCAGTCCACCCTGGAACTGTTGTGCTCTTGGTCCGATTCCTATAATCTGCTACTATACTTATTAATTGCTGGTTGAGAAAACCAAACTAATTAGCCCTACGTTTGTGTGTATGCATTCGTGTGTATGTGTGCATGTGTATGGGAAGGGGGGATGTTTGAATATTCATGCATAACATTTTTATCTTCTACCGTGTTCGGGGATATTTATTCTCCAAAACCATCTTTTTCTTTATGTGGATTTCCAGTTTCTTACTCTCTCTCTCTCTTTTCTTGAATTCAGCTTTTAGTCTGCATGATATATACACTGTACATTTTCGTTTGCTAATATTGTTGGATAACTTTTCTGTAGGTTTAGTCCTGATCCAGAAACATCTATGGGCTTGGTGCAGCATGAAGGTGGACCATGTGGGGTGCTAGCAGCCATACAAGTAATCCTTTGATTTGTCATTTTCATTTTGCTATGTTAACGTAATATAGTGTTATAGTGCTTGAGTTATTGACACGGTTGTCATGTGTAAGACTACATGTGAGCTAACATTGAGGGGGTGTCCAATGTTTTAAGTTTTTAACTAACTTTCTAACACAATACACATGAAATTATTATGTTTTCCATTACTCTAGAAACAAATTTATGTCAAGGTTCTGCAACCTTGGCTTTGGGTAATTAGCGATTGTCGAGTCGAATAAGTGATATTGATTCTTTGAAAGTTGATGGCATCTAACACCAATTTCTCTGCTTTGGTTGTACAATATTTAGTTTTTTATTTCTATGAATTTGATGAAGACATTATAAGTAAATATTAGAACATGATTGAATTTATGAAGCTTATCGGTATTAGTCAATGTGCTTTAGTACCTTGTATAATTACGTACCATATATTTCCTTGTTCCATTTCCTGACTCTGCCAGAATCTATTTTGACGTTGCTTATGGTACATTCTTTTGGTTTTGCAGGCATTCGTTCTCAAATACCTTCTCTTCTTTCCTGAGGAACTAAGTAAAGTTGCATCAAACATGCCAATGGGTTCAAGAGTGTCTGAAAGTAGATTTGTTGCTTTGGATATTTTTGCTTCTCTTGTTGAAGACAAAAAATTAAGGTGATTGATCTTTGAACCGTAGTTTGTTGATTTAAATCACAATACTATGTTGTTGATTCAAAATTTTACTAACCAAACAAAGGAGAAAAGAAAGAAGTTAACAACACACTGTGCTATGAACCCATAGAAGTGGCATTTTAATAAACAAGGAAGGTGATAATTGTTTTGGGTTCCCATTGAAAAAAAGAATTCTGTGTGTTCGCACATGAGGAATTTTTTTGAACAATTGTACTACCCTTATTCAGCTCATTAATACTAATAAAAGTAAATCAAACTATGCTATGCTAACACCACTCAAGTTTTCAGGTTTTTACTCATATAGTTTCCAAAGTTTCCCATGGTTTCATCATACTTCTGCCAGAAGTTAATCAGATAAAAGGCTATTTCTTAGTCTGCAAGTTGGCCACTCCTGATTTCTATTCATTGGCTCTCTTTTCTAATTTTGGTTTGCAATTACGAGCACCATCTTTATACTGATCAATAGTTTTTCTTTTTGTTCTCGGAAGAATCATTCCTTAAGATCTTTCTCAACTTTCTTGCAGAGCCTTGGTGAAAAGTATGGGTGAAATATTGTTTCTGTGTGGGAGTAATAAAAGGGCTGTAATTGCATCTCTGAGTATTCTAGACTGTGACATCGAGGGCTCTGGAGACAGTTCAAAGGATGAGGTTAGTTTCATGAAGTTCTATGTTGATGAACTTGAATAGCAATTGGTTGAGAACTGAGTTAATTCAAACTTCATTGCAATCACTTCACTACATATGCTAGTCCGTGTATGAGATTTTTTTTAACAATGTTTGCATGCCCTATTTCACAGATCACTGCAAAAGCACTTGAAGGTCTTTCAATTGAATCAGGTTGTGATTTGCAGAAAATTTTAAGAGTTAATACATACACCTCACAGGCAAGCGCCTTTCATAGGCTCAAAGCAATGATTCCTGTTTTCCAAAGCCGCATGGGGGCAATGCTCTTTCTAATATCAGCTTTGCTTTCTCGGGGACTGGTAAGTTTGTTTACGTTCATTATGTTTTTTATTAACTACTAAACACTTTGGTCCAAATGAAAGCATACATCCCAATGTTTGTGGTGCCATTCTTGAGATGCAATTATTTGTATACAATCTCAAGGAGGATTGTCTGGGACTCCAAATACTCGACTACTCAGATTGTAATGCTTTAAACAAATACAAGAAACCAAATTTAGTAATGAAAAGAGCGAAGAGAGGAGAAACAAAGGTGGAGAACTTTTGAACGAACTAAGAGTAAAGGGGTGTTAGCCCCCATATATAAAGACTTCTATGAGCACTTCACTGATGAGAAATTCCAAGGGTTGATCGACCTAAAAAATTAACCGAATTCGTATTCCAATCGAAGAAGAAGGTTGAAGTTTTATAAAGCAAGGACCTCATTCTTCTCAGCCTTACTCAAATAGGGGTGGGGCTCGGGTCATGCGACAAATGCAAGTTGAACTTCAAAGCAAAAAATCCAATCTTTTATAGAAAAAGGAAAAACAAACGTGGCAGGTGAACATGAAGCTCCTAAGAACATCAACTAAAAAATAGGACTTTTTAAAAACTCACTTTCTAGTCATGTTCGGTCTCAACATGCTAGGCCAAGGAAGTGTCCGATTTCCAATGTTCCTACAGCCATCACTATAATGAATGCTATCTGGCTTTGTCAGGAAGATCTCTCCCATTGGATCATCATGACCCTTACGTGTCAGCTTTCCATGACGATCCTAAGGGATGAAGCATATTTAAAAGTGATAAGGCTGCAAGAACAATCTAGAGAGGAAGCTCCACTGAAAGAAGAAAAGGAAATAAGACTCGATTTCAAAGAAGCACAAGTTTGGAACCATATACAAGGGGCTGTTTGTTGCTCACTCCTATCTTTAAAGGGCTTATGCACTCCACTTGTTACCCCTAAACAACGAAGCCATGAGCGGAATGATGGGCTTAAACCCTCAACATCAGCCTTGGCAAGGCTATGTTCTAGCAGTTGGCTATGATAGTGGAGAAGCACTATTGAGCAATTCACTTACCACTTGATATGGATAACTATTGTTTTTATGTCAGACTATAATCTTGACCTCTGATTGAGCTATGAACATGAGTAGGTAGGCGGCTAGTTAGGGTAGGGGGAGGGACGACTGGGCAACCTTTTTCAATCAATCTTGGGCCACTAGTGTAAGGAGTTTTAGTGTTAAGTTGGCGTGTCATTTCACTTTCGTAAACTGGAATGAGTGCACTGAAAAACCAGAAAAGTTGCTCCCTCACCTCACAGTGGTGGCTGATGCCTTTTCAGTTAAGTCATTTCCTAAGAAAGCCTTGACAATTGGACAAATGGCTTGTCCTTAATACTAGGAAAAAATGAAAGAAAAATGACCTGCTTATACTGCCGAGTCTACTCCTTTCCTTCAAATGAGGTGGAAGACCATTGCTTTGTCACAAGGCTTGTGAGTTATGCCTTGTAGCACCTAAGCACTTGGAAAAAAATGAAATATGAGTTCTTAGGAAAGAGCAATGAAGATTTTGAACCCTAACGACAAACAAATTTACTGGTGAGACATTTTTGGGGAGTAGCTTTGAAAATGCAATTTCTCGCACATAATTAAAGCAGCCATTGAAAGGTGACTAAAAAACTAAAAAAAGGGATTACCAAGCTAATGATAGATGTAAGAACACTTTCTGACCAAGTCCCATTAATTGATCATAATAATATCATGGAAATGATGCATGGACCCATATATATATTGGAGTGGAAACAAAATCACCTTGATATTAAACCAAATCGAGCCTGAGATCTTCTTGGAAATGGAAAGATTTAGTTGGGCAACCTTTTGGAGAGATCGAAAGGCTTTGATGGCTCAAAGTTCATATCAAGGAAAGGAGAGTGAGGGGAAGAGGGGCAGTTCTCTGCTCGATCATCTAATTTGCTCCAAAAGACGGACATAGTTTTGGAGTTAAAGTAACTTCATCACTTTTGTGTACCCATCGAATGATAGTCCTTTTGGGGGTTCCTTAGGGTCCAATTCACTTTGCATAAATTGACTAAACACAGAATACCTTCCATTGGTAGGCGATCATGTTTAAAACAGGATTTCTCGTTACTCATGTCAGCATTCTCACGATTGATATCTGTATATGTTGTCCTTACTGTTCATTGTATGTGATTCATCATTTGGATATGCTAGTGAATATTATTGTGATATGTATGGGTATAGTGGTTAATCTCAGCATTATTGAAGCATTGTAAGACTGTTGTGTGACAAATGCATGGACCTTGGGATTTTAGGAGATAACAATGTGAGGATTCACTAGAGGTCACACATTTATTGGGTTTTTCAAAGGAATTTTATAGTTTGTTTGAGGAGCGGAAAGGAACTAATTTTTATTGTGCAACTTCTAAATCATGGTTTGGAAAATCGGTCGTTACTGTGCGTAATGGCCGTTACGTAACAGTAACGGAGGTCGACGATACCGTTACACCCCGATTTATTGGTCAGAAAAAAATTCACACCCGTAACGGGCGTTACAGCGGTGTAACGGGCGTTACAACCGGTAATGTAGCCGTAACGGACGTTACACAACAACATCTGTTGATTTTGCTACCAGAAAATAAGAAAATTAAGAATAATATATGAAAGGAGAAGAGTAGAAATTAAAGATAAGGAGGTGGGTAGATTTGGTATCTCTTCAATGATCGGCTTCTAAACTCTACTGTGTGGCTACTTTGGGTGGAGTTTCCATGTTTACAACGCTTAGTCTACAGGGGAGAGAGAAACAGAGCACTTCTCTGTTTAGAGTAGAAGAACGGCGGAAAAGAGGCTGAGGTAACAAGATTATATTAGGGTTTTTTATCATGGGTGAAAAGACGAAGCTGCCCCTTCTTGTCAGAATAGGAGATTAACAGATTTTTTACATGGCCCAATAGCTTTTACATGGCCGAATAAAATAACAGATTTTTTGTATTATATTCTGATAATATTTTCTAGGAATGTATACTCATAATCAAAAAAAGATTTTTGATAAAATCTCAATTGGCTATTGTTTTTAAATTCTCACAGAAATATTTAAGTGGGTTCCCTTCAATTAAAAGTCACTAGAAAACTCTAATCACGTAATTATTAAAACATAAATTCATATAACATTGTTTATAATACAATAAAATGTATAACATTTCACAAAAGGCCTATATTTACATAAGCTTAGACTTAAAAATGGAAAATTTGTTTTCTTGAGAGAGTTGTGAACGAAAACAAAAAATTCACGTTCCCGATTTTCGTTACCGTTACGTAACGTACGTTACTCTGTTACCATTACCGTTACGACGACCATTACCGTTATTCAGAACTATGTTCTAAGTTATCTTGGAAGGTGAATGACCCCTTTAATATTAACGTTCACAAGGGTAATTTTTGGTCTTGTTAAAAAAAAAGGGTAATTTTTTGTAAATCCCTTGTGTTAGTAGCATATTTGTTAGCTGCAAGGTTGCTATATCATATTCAGGAATCACCTTGAGATTAGCTGTTTTGGAAGTTTGTAGTTTAGATAGTTGAGCATGAGTAAATTTCTGCATTGAAGAGACATATTTTATTAGTCATTTATTTATTTATTAAGAAAAGAGGGATAGATTTTGGTTTTTGTATTCTTCAATGCCTCATATTAATGTGCATGCTCAAAATAGAGGATATTGAGGTACTGGTCAATTGCTTGTGTTGGTTCAATCTGCCGGGGGTTCCTGCTGAAATCTCTTGGTGCAGAAAATATAGAAATACCAATATACCATTGCACAATAACATTAGCGTTAAAAGGAAAATGCATTAGTTCTAAAAGAAGAACAGGAGAATCTTAAGTACATAACCAGATCAATAAATGCCGACGCGAGCCAAAAGCCCTTGCATGTCAAAGCCCATTGACTTACTCTATTGTCCCAATGGAAATGTGATTAAAATACTGAAAGCACGCAAAAAATATTTTAGTTGAAGCTTTCCTATAGGTCTAGCACTGGCTCTAAACGAACCAATTTTCGTGATTCCAATCTCCTTTAATTTTCGTGATTGTGAGATTCTTTGAAGTGCTTGTTAGTAAGAGAACATATTCGCACTGGAAACAGTCCCTTCCTTGTTGGCTGTTTAATTTTTTCACTTAAAACTGTTGCTGCACTGTTTGTGAGGATATATATGACAAGATCGTGTTGGTGGTCAGATTTTCTTTTGTTTGAGGGGCTCTTTATTGATCAGAGACCACATGGAAGAGGGGTGTTTGGGTACATGCAAAATTTAGCAGTTCAAACTCTTCGCCGGTTTTGGGATCACCCAAAGAGACCATTGTAAGTTGCAGTGTGGCATATACCAGAAAGCCTAGGTTTTGTTAGTCTGCGTGTGTTTGTATGCATTGAAGTCCTATTTTCCCTTGAATGAGGTTTGTTTCTGTAATTTCTGTTCTCCTTATATACTTTAAAAGTTGTTTGTGCTCTGAAAGAAAGCAACTTTTGGTGAAAATATGGTATTCTGTTGAATTTCCATGTACTTCAACTTGCAAATATTTTTCCTCTTATATGCATGTGCTTGCATGATCTCGGCCTTTTACCCAAAACCTACAGGGAAAAGTGGGAATTCCCTTATATTTTAGCAGGCAAGCTGCTTGCAAGGGTTGTTCATTTATATTCCTTGTCGGTGCAGGCTTGAAGTTTAGTGGTATTGCCGGATTGCATATTGCTGTGCCAAAGTTGGCTTTGAATTTGAAACATCCTTTGTGCATCCTATGTGCTGTGCTGTTAAGAATGTTTGGGATGATACATTGTAGAATGGGATGCTCATATCTAAGTTTTTGACTGTTCATTTAGAAACCTTCACTCTCTGTGCTGAAACCATCTCTAGTTGCTTGCAGAGGACAAACAGGAACCTCAAATGTGCTGAGTGATAAAAATAAGGGCATTTGGATGATACTTTGACCTTTATCAGACATGGATAATGTTTTTTAGAGTTGCAAAACAAAACGGTTAGTCGTGCGCCCGTCCACATTAACATAATACATACATTTGCATCTCTGTTTCTTACTTTTCTTTTTGTACGAAATAGTAATTAGGCAATAAGTACATTAGGCAAGTAGAATGCACTTGCTGCAGTTTTGTCTCCTCCTTGTTTGGGCTGTGTATGTTACTAATGCATGTAATTTTCTTTTGCCTCTCAGGACTCTGTTCAAGCTGACAGGGATGACCCCAGTCAACCTTTAGTCACTGCTCCATTTGGGCATGCCTCGCAGGTATCCACAGATAAGTGAAACACCTGTTTTTCATTTCATATTTTCAGTAGGTGATTGTATTAGCTTCTATTCCGAAAAAATAAAAAAGAATGTATTAGCTGCTCTTCTTCATGAGCACTTGTTCTGCGAGTTGCTTGGGTAATCATGCGAGGTTAAGTCCTGACTTTGTCTATCCTGGAACAGGAAATTGTAAACCTACTGCTTTGTGGGCAGGCTGTTGCTAACGTGTTTGATGGGAGTATGGACTTAGGTGGTGGCATGTTTGTGAAGGGCATTTCGACAACTGTAGAAGTTGGATTCCTCACTCTGTTGGAGTCCCTCATCTTCTGTAAGGTTGGCCAGTTTCTGAAATGCCCGAAGTGGCCCATATGGGTTGTTGGAAGTGAGTCTCATTATACAGTCCTGTTTGCACTTAATACCAAAGTTCAAGAGGAAAATGAACTTGAAGGAAGAGAAACACAGATCCGGAGAGCTTTTGATGCACAAGATCAAAGTGGAGGAGGTGGATTCATTAGTGTGGAGGGCTTCAATCAAGTCCTGAGGGAAACAAATATTAACCTTCCAGCTGAGAAGCTTGACCACCTTTGCAATTCAGGCTTTATTGTATGGAGCGAGTTCTGGCAGGTTCTTTTGGATTTAGACAAGAGTTCAGGAGGGTTAAAAGATTCCACTGGATTAATGGGAAAGAAGTTCTTTGATCTTTACCACTTCAATGGGATTGCAAAGTCAGTTTTGAATGGCAGCCAGGCAACCTCTGGGGGTGAAACTCCAATACAAAGACCTAGACTTACAACACTGAGGGTTTCAGTTCCCCCAAGGTGGACTCCTGAGGAATTCATGGCAGCAGTGCCCTCTGGTTCAGGTGGTAATGACACTGCCGGGAAAGATGCTGTTGTTGAAGTGTCTAAACCCGAGCCTCCTCAGCATGCACCTTTGGTTGACTGCATTAGAACGCGCTGGCCCCGTGCTCTTTGCAACTGGGAAGGGGATGCACCTAGTATAGTCTGATCATTTGCTATTCAATAACTCGAGTGCCTCATTGTTGGAAATATAGAGAGAACAAAATCCAGAGTGACGGAACATGATGCGGGCAGCATTTGGCCAACTTCAGTTGAGGTTATAACTTTCAGGGCAAAAACACAATGTTATTTGCTGCTTATTCAGTCTGAGATTCATGCAACACCGTTTTGAACTGTGTAATATTGTAACTTCAACACTATAGTTCGATTAAAGTTTGTCATTTCTGAGGTGGAGGGAAAGGAGACCGGTAATTGTCATCATTCCCACATTTATTTGCTGCTTTCGATTAGGAATTTTTTTTTTCTAGTCATGAGTAGGTCAATAAGCATCAGTCTGGTCTTGTTTTGTTGTTGTAACTGCAGAGGTCTTCCACCTAGTCTCTGGCTTTGATTAGGCAAGTTTGTTCTAGGTTTTTCGAAGGTCTTGAATAAGACATCAAATGTGTTCTTACAGTTATAATTGTTTTTTTAATGCTGTCGTTCTGATAACTTCCATTATGTAACTTCCTCACTAAAGAAATTGATGGGCTATCGACTGTGCACTTCAAGTTTGTGGTTTAAGTCATGTAGAATGCAAAGAAAACAACCAAACAGAAAATGCAATCATCTGAAATGAGGATTAACAGTGGACAGTTTTACGGTGTGTGTGAAATTAGGTTAATTGTCAGAGAATCACGTAGATGCACGTGGCACCGAGTGGGGTGGTCCAATGGGTACCGGTTGAATTTTTTAGCATAAGGTTGGAAGTTTAAGTCTTGGAGTCGACATTGGAGTTCGGTGATTGATCGTTATGTTAGTCTAGCTAAGTTTGTTTTCGAAAAGAGTAACAGGGGCAGTTAATAACTTCATGATCCTATTAGTGAGGGTCTATCGAGATAGTCTTTGGGTGTTCTCATTTGCCCTCATCCTTTTTTTCAATATAAAAGAAAAAAAAAAACTTGACGCATGTGGAAATTGTGGCATCAATCTTCAATCAAGATGGTGGTTATAAATGTTATTAATATGAAAAACTTAAGTTTCATTGTATAATTTTTCATAATGATTAGAGGATTTAGGGGGATAAAAAATATTACCGTTTGAAACTCATCAGCCCAAAAGGCATAGTGAAGGTTTGAGTCGTGTATCAGTCTCTTTAAAATCGGAATAATATTATTTATCATTAATTTTTCTTTTGGCTCCATTGTTCTGTTTCGGAGACAAAAAAATGGGGTCAAATTTGAAGAAATTAAGGATAAATATCCTAATTAGTATTTAAATTTTGTCTCTGATTTTATAATGGTTCATAAATTTTTAATCATCTCAATTTAGTCCCTTAACTATCAGTTCTATGTCAATAAATTTCTTCCGTCCATTTCATTGGTTATTAAAACAAACAAAAGCAAGTTCATGTATTTGTCATATAGTCGTCTATCTTATGTGTTTCTGTTTATTTTAACAGTTGAAATTGCTAAATGATTTAATTAATATAAAATTGATAGTGAGATATTTAAAAATTTAGGGACCATTTTAAAACATGAGTTAAACTTTAAGGATTAATTATGATATTTATCCAAAAGTCAATAGAAAATTGTGAGCAGATATCTTTTAAATTACTTAATTGTGAGAATATATTTGACTAAAATTTTTTGTAGATAAATACCTTTGACTTTAAATATATTGTAGTTATATACTCATTGACAAATTTTTAAATATTTTTTAATTAAAATACCCTTTTTTCTTATTTGAAGGCCTCTCGGGTTGAAGTCTCATTTTTTATGGGATTTGATTTATTATATTAACGGTTTCATATTTTAAAGGATTCAACATATTTAAAATTCAAAATTATACCACATGATATATATCTTAACGACTTTGCTCAAATATTAAATTTTATTTTTTAATATTATTTTTAATGTTAAACGACTCTGGTTATTCTCAAATCTAACAACAATGTTATATTACAATGATGTTATACTGTGATATAATATTGTCATTCATTAAAAGCAATTTATATAGATGTCACATTATTTGATGCAAATTATTTAGATTATGTATAAATTAGTAAATGTACTTTCACATTTTTTGTTAGTGATTAAAGTGTTAATGAATGTGTTATACTATCATATATCACTATAATATCACATTATCAACAATTTGAATCAGAATAAAAGGAAGATTGGTATTTAATAGTGCTTCAATGTTTATGTATTTTTTGGGTTGAAAATTGAAGGATTTTATAACAGAATTTTTTTTTTAAAATTTGAAAACCCATAGTTTAAGAGATATAGTAATTTTCGAATTTAATGAGGTTACTGCATGATATTTATGACAGTTTCTTTATTCACTATTTGCACCATGTAATTGCTATATTTTGAGAATTTCTGTCATAAAAAAAAAATACTCCCATACAAAATATTTTGTACCGAATTAAGTAGTAAATTAAGTACGGCTCTCATAAAACCCAAAAATCAAAGCTTTAGTGACTTGGGCCCAGCCCAAACCCGAACCCATATAGGTACCTTCCCATTTTCGCCAAAACTCGGCCACTGTTGTATTATCTGTAGATGAGGACTCATCGCTGATCGCCGGCGATATTTTGCTCTCTTCTCTCACATTCACGGGTATGTCTCGCAGCTCTCCACTGTTCAGTCTTCGTTCCCGTCGAAGCTTCTCTCTTTGGTCGATGAAGAAAGAAGCGGATCTCGAAGCGGCTTTATCTCGAAATCGCCGGTGGATAGTCAATAATCAGATCAAGAACATAATTCTCCGGTGTCCTAACCATGTCGCATCAGTTAATTTCCTGCAGAAAAAGTTTAAGACGCTTGATCTTCAAGGAAAAGCTTTGAATTGGCTTAAAAAATACCCCTGTTGCTTTGAAGTTTACCTCGAGAACGATGTGTATTTTTTTCGACTAACGAAGCGAATGATGTTTTTGGTAGACGAGGAAGAGTCCTTGAAAGATATGCAAGAATCGGTGTTTGTAGAGCGATTGGCAAAATTGTTGATGATGAGTTCGAATCAGAGGCTAAATGTCTTGAAAATAAATGAATTGAAGAGGAATTTAGGGTTTCCTGATGATTATTTGCTTAGAATTGTACCTAAGTATTCGGAAATGTTTCGGATTGTTAATCACACTGGTAGACGGAGTTCAATGGAGATTGAGCTCATATCCTGGAACTCTGACTTAGCAGTTTCTGCACTTGAAAAGATAGCTCGAAAGCAGGGTACTGAGCCTTCCTTTTCGTGCTCATTACCATTAACCTGGTTGAAATCGTGGGAGAGATTTCGCGATTTTAATGCAACTCCTTACATTTCACCATACTTGGATTCTAGAGGGTTGGTTGAAGGATCGAAGGAAATGGAGAAGAGGACAGTGGGATTGGTTCATGAATTACTGTCACTCACTCTCTGGAAAAAAGCATCAATTCTGAAACTGGGTCATTTCAGTAGAGAGTTTTGTTTACCGGAGAAGTTGAATGTATTGCTGCTCAAACATCCCGGCATATTCTATGTTTCAAACAAGTATCAGATTTACACAGTTCTTCTTAGAGAAGGATATAATGGGCTGGAACTGTTTGACAAAGATCCGCTTGTTGTTGTGAAGGAGAAATTTGGGGAATTAATGCAGGAGGGGCTTCATGAGTATAACAGGAGGCACTGTTTATTGAATTTGGAGAAGAACAGGAAGAAAGGCATGATTTTGGTAGAATCAAAGAAAAGGAAGGACCGAAGCACTGAAACGTCTGACCAAGATGATCAGGAAGGTGATCTAGGTGGCATACTTGATCCGGAAGAAAGAAAACGATTCTATAAAGTTCTCTTTGATGACAGTGCGCCATAAGTTTTGAACAGTGGTGTGTCACACATGTTAGGATCACAAATTCAAGATTCAATAGTATTTCAAGAGGTAGTCTCCCTAAATTGTTTTTAGCTTCAGTATTATTGTTGGCAAACTTCAATTTTATTTTCCTAATACTTCAAGGTTTAAGTTAAACATGGAGGTTAGTAAGGCTTGAATTTTATTCTCTTTTGAAATAGCTTGAACCCTAACCACATTGTTTGAAACTGACTCTCATCTAGGTTTTGGAATTTTTTTTGTGATTTGAACACTTCTCTGTTTTTTGTTTCATAAACCATGATTCTTTTGACCCACTAGTTTGCTTTCTGGTTTGTGATTGCTCTTTGGTTCAGGGCTTGCCTTTGGGTTGGTTTTGTAGTAGTGAATTGGTTCTTGCTTAGGTGAGTATGCCTTTAGTAGATCTTCATATTATATGTATACCTTAGAATTTAAGTAAACCTATTACCATGTGATTCTTGAAAGTCAGAAGTTATGTAAGTCTAGAATAGGAGGCAAAACCTGTTCCTTTTTCAAAAACTTCTTTCTAATAATATCGGGGATTTATTGGTGTTACTTTTCCTTTTGTTCACCAATTGGAGGATGTGTACTTTGAGAATGCCTGCTGCAACACGATTGATGCTAGCCACAAAGACATTGTTTCACTTTCGTTTTTAGTTTGTTTCTTGATCTTGACTTGTGCATGGTCTAGGCATCAAATCTACATGAAGCAAGAAATACTCTCTGGGATTTATGATAATAAATACTTCCCTTGAATGACAAAGTGATTATTGTTTCTTCTAGAGAAAAATTAAAATTTAGAGTTGCAGCTCTCAATCTTCTTACTCAGTCGAGTAGTTACATATATAATTTTTTTTTAACTGGAATTAGTTTGATAATTTGAGCAATCCCAAAAGGACATTTCCTGGCAAAGATAATTATGTTGACTATATGTAATATTGCATAACTTGTAATCAAGGAATTGTGAAAAGGTTTGTGCCCTCGTTGGACCCAAATGGGATATGGATTGGTGTCCTGGTTCTTAAGTTTGGTTACATCTGATATCAGGTTTAGAGAAGAGTGTGGATTCATGAAATATTTGTGAAGCTCTTAAATGGGAAACCTTATTGTATTTTGTGGAATATTAGTTGATGAACTTGATGCATAAACTACAGTTTCATTGTTTATATGAGGGGGCAAGTTGGTGGGGAAGAACGTGGAGCGTGATTCTAAGTTGTTACATTCATGGAGCAGTCTTGGATGTGTTCACATCTTATCCCACCTCATTAGAGCAACTCCAAGGGCCTCAATGAAATGCCCTTCTTAGCTATTTTACAGAGGCAGTCCTTAAATTTATTTCCAACAGACTAGCTATTTCCTATAACCTTCATTGGCTAGTTATTCCTGGCGAGGCAAAGAAGCTCGCTATTGTGTTTTTGCGCCAATTTCTTCACCCACAACACCCCCAATTTCAGTCTGCTATGCTGGTTGTCGTCCTTAACCAGACAAAGGGTTCTCCGTCCAGTCCAGGTATGGAGTTCTCTCTCTCTCTATCTCTGTCTCTATCTATGTGTGTGGGTGTATATATGGGGTCACAAAAACCCTACTAAAACCCCATCTCTCTCTTGTTTTCTTTGTCTCAGCTCCCATTGAAAAACCTACCAGAAAACTCACGTAAAACCCACCAAAAATCCCACTGAAACCCCACCAAAACCCCCCTTCCAACTGAATTAGTGAACTTAGAAGTAGATGCAATCCCACCGATCTCAATCCCGCCTTCGACTGTTACCTTCCCTCCCAAATTAAGCTTCTCATCGACCTTCGATTCTTCTTTCATGGCGTTCGAATCGCTCTAGTCTGTCCCAAGCACCTTCCGAGCCTTTGACTGTTCTTCTTCCTCTTCGGTGGTGATGATGGCTAAAATAATCTATCACACCCATAGGACACCAAGGAGGGTTGTGAAACCAAGCCAGAAGACCATAAATCCTCTGTAACATCTTTTGAATGTAAAATTATTTATTTTGGTGTGATCTAATAGTATTTATTTTTCAATGGAATTAAATGAGTTTTGATTTTGGTTTTGGTAGAACATAGGTGATCAAATACTTTTTTTTAGTTTTTGGGCAACCAATGTGTGATGGCTGATGTGAACCCCAATTGTCTTGCTTTGAGACCCAACAACAATATTGGAAATACAACCCAAGAAAGCCAAACTCAGGTCTATGGATGGAGAATCTAGACCCGTTGAGATCTTGTTTCAAGAACCTAGATTATATTAAAATCTAGACCCATTGAAGAACCCGTCTCAAGAACCCAAATTACAAGGAGGAACGCCACAAAGGTTGTGATTTACCTTTCAATGAATTTTGATTGTGAGTTGAGTTGAGTTTACTCCTCTTGTTCTTGATTGAACTTTTGAACTTATCAAAGGTAAATCACAACCTTTGTGGCGTTCCTCCTTGTAATTTGGGTTCTTGAGACAGGTTCTTCAATGGGTCTAGATTGGCTATATTTGTGAATTGTGAACTATGGTTGAATTGTGGCTGTGATTTGTGAAAGTTTGTTAATTTTAGATTTTAATTATTAATAGTTAGTTAAAGTTAGTTAAAATAGAGAGCGTTGTTGGAGTGAATTAGTAAAAATTGCTCTTTAAATTAGATAGTGTAATAAAAAAATATATTTTGACTAGCTATTTTAGCTAGGATCCTTGGAGTTGCTCTTGGCAGTCAAAATTCTTTTAGTGTGAAGGTTGATTGAGTAGTCATCATGTAGTGCTACAAAACTATTTAAGAGATATTAGTGATTCTATTACCATGAAATTGTGTCACTTTATGACTTTCACCAATTTTTCGATTTCTTCTGGATAAGATCATGATGCCAACTTGAACAATTTTTTTCCCCTTCTCTGGGTGCAAATTAAGTACTAACTAAACAAGGCAAGTACACTGGATTGTATTGCGTACACAAGCTATTGAAAGTGGAAACTATCTAGGTTTTCCTATTTCTAAATTGCTGCTTTGTTTTACTTGAAAAAGCTACTTGAATATGACCAAATAACTGTGGAAGAAGTCTATTTTCTCTGTGGAAGAAGACTAATGTTGTATTGCTTTTGTAAGGGGGTTGTGTTAACCCCGGTTTCTTTTCCCATGTACCAAAAAATAAAGGTCTTCTTTCTCTGTTGTCCGTCTTTGGTAAAATTTCCATTGATTTTACTGGCCTTTACTGTGGACAGGTGTTATCCAATTTTAGAAGCCTTGATTGACAAGAATATAATGAGTTGAAACTGACTGAGAAGGGTCCAGTTGTGGAAGGAGAAATTTGCTAAACTAAGGCCGGAGGGACTTCATGAATATAACAGGATGAAATATTTATTTAATTCGGAAGGAAAGGAAGAAAGTTATTATTTCTGCAAGACCAGAGAAGGAAGGACTGAATCCCTGAACCTTCTGAACAACATGATCAGGGAGGTGATCTGGGTGGCATATATCACATATGCAGAAGAAAGAAACAGTTGGATAACATTCCATTCGTTCACAATGTGCAATTAGTTTAAATGAAGGTATGTCATAGTAGTCATCATATTTGTAGTTTATCATCCATTTATGATTAAATCCCTCTAATAAGTACTCTCCCAAAGTTTTGCTGATTTTGTGTTGTTTGCAATTATAAAACCTTTTTCAAATCATTCTTTTCACTGTTTTTTTTTTTTCATCAATCTTAGATCTACATTGCTTGAACTCAACTGTCAATTAAGTTTAACAAATTCCATTTTTTTTTCAGGCATTAAGTTATAAAGCTAACGACATCCAAGAAACTGGCTACCCACTAACTGGGCTGGCAAAGAGTTTGGGTTGTTCCCTGGCATTTGAGGCGTCTGTTAGCTTTTTCATTTTGCTGATGGTAAGTCGTTTTCAAGTTTTTGTATATACTGTTGAAGAGGAACCCCTTCCTCTGGACTGAATTTGTTATCCATTGTTCCAATTGGTTGTTTGCAGCAATATTATCAGAACCAGACCAAACTGGCCGATCAAACTGGTTGGACTGTGAACCAGGGGCCTAGAATAGTCCAATTCTTGAGTTGGACCACATAGACATGGGAACCATTTTTCAACCATTAAATTGGCCAATTTCTGATAAAAATCGGTGAATCAGATAGGTTTTGAAAACCAGATAGTTGGAATCTCACTCTCTACTTCAACCTTCATAGTTCAATCCTTCCTTCTCAAGAGATGAACATGCAACAATTCTAGTCTTCCTTCTCTCAGCACAACTCTTAGTAGGCAACAATGACAAGATCCAAGCAAGACAAGATTAGAAATCTTGTAACAACTTCTTTCTCTCTCAATGAGAACAAACTTCTTTCATCTCTCTTTGTTAGAAATTTGAATAAAGATTTAAATTTCTATTAAAAATAGTCTAAGAGAACCCCCCCCCCCCCTTCATTATTAGAAAAAAAATAGTAAAGATATGTATACTAAATCCTTTGCCAGATGAATTTGCGCATTTAGGTTTCACTAAAAGAAATTAATAAAATTCATTAATCTAATATTCTACATTGATTTAATAAACAAATTTTAGTGAAACAATTGATAAGAGTGGCAATGCTTTTAAAAACATCTTCTGTTCAAGTTCCATATCAATATTTACCAATATCAACCCCAAACCCATCAGAGTACACTTACCTTTTCACTTCCGAATCTGCCTATAGAACAACCCCCTCCATATTACCTTCATCACCACTACTTAGAGACACCACAGATTTGGTCAAAGATTCCACGACACAAATATCTTGCAAAAAGAGCCTGTAAAAGGGACGATGTATGTGTGACAGTCTGTGTGTGTGTGTGTGTGTGTGTGAGAGAGAGAGAGAGAGAGAGAGAGAGAGAGAGAGGCTAATACAACGGTTTCAATTCATTGCCCATTTTGTTTCTTACATGAACAGACAATTCTAAGTAACAATTGCCTTGATACCATCATAACAATACTGAAAAAGCTATCCTATAACACGAAAAGCACCAACCCTGAAAAACCCACGACCCCAACGAACCCCGAAACCATCTCGACAATCCAAAACAAAAGTTTTAAGCCCTCTCACCCCTAATCCTCCTTGCCAGCTGCATATCTTTTGGCATAATAGTAACCCTCTTTGCATGAATTGCACAAAGATTTGTATCCTCAAACAGACCCACCAAATACGCCTCCGCCGCCTCTTGCAAAGCCGCCACAGCAGAGCTCTGGAACCTCAGATCTGTCTTGAAATCTTGCGCAATCTCGCGCACAAGCCTCTGGAACGGAAGCTTCCGAATCAGCAGTTCGGTGCTTTTCTGGTACTTCCTGATTTCACGGAGAGCCACAGTTCCTGGGCGGAAGCGGTGGGGCTTCTTCACTCCACCGGTGGCTGGGGCGGACTTACGGGCGGCCTTGGTGGCGAGTTGCTTTCTGGGTGCTTTTCCCCCAGTGGATTTGCGGGCTGTTTGCTTGGTTCGAGCCATTGGAGAGACAGAGAGTGAGAGAGAGAGCTGGGAACCAAGAGTAGATTTGTGGTTTTGCTTTGGTTTGTAGCTGTGGCTATATAGGTCAGGACTCAGGAGGGAGAGAAGGTAGCGGTGAAATTTTGAATTTTTCAGGGGAAAAGTTTTGGGCGGGTGAATTTGAGTCGTTGGATTTGGGAGGGAATGAACGGTAGAGATTTGTTTTGGTTCCATCACGCGGATCGCGATCCGTGTGTTTTCCCAACTGTGGGCAGTGAACCTGTTGTAATGTCCATTACAGATGAATCCTTGTCTCACATTATTAATCATGATAGATTTTTCTAATTGGCAATAACTTGTACATAAATACACTTTGAACAAAATCAAACAATGCAAGTCTTATTAAAGAAAAATTTAAAAACACTTTGCATTATTAAAAACTGAGTATTGATTGTATAATATTTATATTTTAAAAAATTAATATATTTTTTATATTTTTCTTTAATATTGCCGTCTAAAATTAAACTGCATATGAACAAAAAAAAAAAATACATGTGAATTAATAAAGTTGTTTAGCATTGGAGAGTGTATTTGTTTTGTTGCCCGACATTGGAAGCCTTACAAAAAAATAAATTTTTTGGCAGGATTTTTTTTTTAAAATAATTCTTGTATTGTTAGATGAAAATGATAAAGATTAGAATAATCTCACCTATTGTTGTGTTTTTATAGATGTGCAATTGAAATTTCTAGTCATAATATTAGATAAATGGGTAAAAGTGCCCGATTTACAATACCAGATTGATGAAGAAATTTGGGCAAATAAAAATATATGAACTAAAAATATAGGAAAAAACAGTATTTTCGGTACTGTTCATACCCATAGAACCACAAAAAATCAGTAACTCACTAATCACTAGCTCTCAAATCACACAACCCAGCACCAAGAACCTTTAGTCGCACTACTTAGGCTTGATATAAAGTAAAGAAGTTGAAGAAAATAGCAAAAAAATAAATCACCATAGATTTTGTCAGCCCTAATCTAAGAATATATTATTTCCCCAACTAAATTACTGTGATGCTACAATATTATAAATCGAAACCATGCTCTGATTCCATATAAATTTTGATTAAATAAATTAGAGCGAAAGGAGAAAGAGAAAATATTATTATTACTAAACAAGTCTGTAATACTGCTTAACCTAGAATACACAATATAGGCTCTTATATAGTAGGGCAACAAGACAATGTAAAATGCCTAAATTATCCAGAATATAAATACTTTAACACTCAGATCCTGCTAGATCAAGTAAATACTAATTCAGCAAGACAAAACAAGACAGTGAGACAATAAAAATAAAGATGAATATTTCTATTATGAGAACTACAAATGACTTTAAGCCTATTTGTCACCATGTTCATTCCTTTCAATCATCTACAAACCCAACCGAGAGTTAGTGACATGACATACGAAATTGAACACAATATATATAGATCAAAAAGGTCACAAAAAATGATAACCACGATAGGGGAAAATTTGGGGTAACCAAGGAAAACAAAACGAAAATTTAAGCAAATAGAAATTCGTGTAGATTCACAAGAAACAAATAGAAGCACCCACCAACTTCCCTCCCCAATTAAGTCGAGGAAAGCTTCATGCTTCAGGGGTGTACACATACAGCATAAGAAATTATCTCAAGTCCTTTAGATTGCGACTAGGCTATCCTTCATTTTTGGGACAAATACTCCTCCATAGAATATACCAGGTAAAAATTATTATGAACTCTCAGTAGCCACTCGCCCACCGCCTGGTCCTCAATTGCCCCATTAAAGGCGAAGCTCATAAGCACAATGGAATCATAAAAGTTCTTCAATAGACTAATGTATAATTCATATTTAAGTGATACTAGAAAACTGTGTCGAGATAAAAATTGATACTGAATAATATATACCTTACAATTATCTGCAACAAATATACTCTGGATTTTACCTCTAAGAATCACATCTACGAGAGCAAGTGAGGTCAACTTCCTAAGTTATCAACTTTAAGAGCATTCTTCAGCCTCAATTCTAAGAGAATTATTCGTTCTAATTGCGTTATTTCAACCCTATATGGATGAGTTTTACCAATTTCAAATCAACATACAATTCACTCTCATGAATGATGAAAATAAGAACATGAAGCTAAATTCAGTGAATGCAGATAATGAAAACAACAACACATACTAGTGTAAAAACTACACTACTGAACAAATTACAGTTATTTGAACCAACATGTCGGTGCTCTGCAATCATAAGACGATGGTTAAAACCATTTACAAGAACTAAACCAACTGAATATTCACAAATCCAACATGGAGGGCACGTCCAGAGAGAGAGAGAGATAATGCTCAAGGGGCAGAACTACTTCGTTTACACCCTTTACATAAGTACCATGCGAGCATATTCTAGCATAAATAAGACCAACATATTTCAACACAACGATAATATGTTTTTTACAAGACAGAAGAGAGTGCAGAGAAAAAATTCAAGAATTGTGAACCGAATTGCGCAAGGAACTATGGATTAAGATAAATAAGGAAACAATAATGCTCAAGAACCATTAGTGACTCACCATGTGATCTTGAATCTAATGACGAAATAGTATCCTTTATGCGGGCGTGGGAGGGGTTTCTCTCTAGAAGTAAATGGATGATCATTAGAATCGGAAAACGCTAATGAAATTCTAATTAGGCTAACATATTTACAAATTTGAAAGCATACTAACGGAAAATGTGACATGAGCATTCAACTTATGAGTACACAATAGGTTGTTGTTTTGCTATAAGGTCAACTTCCCACTTCACAAACCTAAAATATCCAGTAAATGTGTACAACATATAAACATTTACATGAATGGTCAGCGATAACCTTTTTCCTAACATTAGTGCAAGTGTAGGTTTTTTTTGTGTGGGGGGAGTGGGGGAAGAGAATATATATCACTATGTCTAGAGACAACGACTATTTATTGTGACATGCTATAAGGATATTCAGTGCAAAACTAGAAGCAATGATCCTCTGGCACTTACAGTTCCAAGAGTTGACTTTTGTTTATGTACGATCCTTCCCTTCTCCTTTGTCCAATTGTTTCAATTTTTTGAACTCTCAAATCCTGTGACACTAGGATTATATAAAAAATAAATAAATAACATTAAAATTCTGAGAACTTGAAATGAATTTAAGCATACAAGTTGAGAAAAAATCATTCATCATATACATCACCATGGTCACTCTCCTTTCGATCATCTGAAAAAACACTGATTGTTAGTGACAGATGACATAAGAATTTCAACACAAGATATGGCTAGAAAATAATCTCAAAATACATAATGGAGCCGTAACTAAGGGGTAACTAAGGAAAAATAGAACAAAATTTTAAAAAGCATATACCTCTACCAGCAGAAATTCATATACTTGTACCATGCCAAATTAAGTAAAGGAAAGCTCCATGTTGCGGTGGAGTTCTCGTGCAAACATAATAAATTTTTCATCCATCCACTTCGGGACAAATAATATTTCATAGAAAATAAAATGTAAATATTTTTTTGACCCGTCAGTAGCCCCTCGTGCACCCTCAAATCCCCAAATGCCTTATTAAAATTGAAACTAATATGCACAATGGAATCATACAAGTTCTTCAATAGACTAAAGTAGTATTTAGATTCAAGTAACACTAGTGAAATACACCCACAAATATTTGAACTGATGTAATTATACCTCTTAAATAAGTCAATAAGTAGGAGTAAAAAAATGAAACATTTACTTCTTTAAAAACTCTTCAATGTCAAAAATTTCTTATATTTATCTTATTGAAAACACACATACTAATATACACGCATTCACACGCATTTATAACACACAAATCAACCAAAAAAATATATATATATAAAACATACACTAATATGTAAAAACACACATGCAAATACATAAAAAATCCCACGCCCACACTAAAATGTAAAAACATACACACTAATACATAATAAATCACAGTCACACACACGCGTACTAATACACCAAACATGACACATGCACACACACACACACACACACACACACTAATACACTCATCGATGGTTCAAAGTCGCGGTATCAACCATCAACTCGAAGAGCTCTAATGAAAATCAGTCGCTGCATCGCCGTGCGGTATCAAACGATACGATTTAAAAGAAAATATTAAATATGACAAAAAATTTAGATGATATCACGACGTCGTGGAACCGTATCGTCCAATTCGGTGACGATATTTCAATTACTCGAGATTGACTTGGATACAACTCGGACAACTTGACTGAGTTGTGCGAGATTCGGGGTTTACACACATCGTGTAACAGTATCGTCTTCGAAGGTGCTGAGACGCATACGATTCGGCCAACTCGTAACGATATCGAATGATACTTTGAACTACTGAGTACACATATATACTAATACACCACACACACATTGTGTTAACACACTAAAAAATACACGTACTAATACATAGAAACAAACGCGCACATATACACACACTAATAGACCAAAAATAACACACATATCCTATACACCAAAACAAGTGTACTAATATATCAAAAAAATACACACAAAATACAACCATAAAAAACAAACACTAATACACAAAACAGAAGCACGCACACTTGAATATGTAAACACACTATGTAAAAACACGCACGCGTACACACACACTCTAATAAAGCAAAAACCACATACACGCTAATACTACAAACAAGTACTCCCACTAGCATACCAAAAAAGTATGCACACACACAGTGTTAAGAACCAATAACACACCAAAAAACAAACACAAACTAATACACTAAAACAACCATTAATACATGAAAACGCACACATGCACATATACACACTTACACACACTAATATACCAAAAAATAAATGCATACCTAAAGGCGCCAAAACACATATATTAATACACCAAACAAAAAACAAACTCAATACACACTCTTATACACCAAAACACATGCACACAATTGCAGGCTCCAGAGCAACACTGCTTCTACGGGACAAAAATTTACAAACTGAACACCTATTCTCTTTGAGAAATAAGACATACCTTGGGATGGTAGATTCATAGTAGTTTCCCCCACACAAAAAATGTCATGCCAAAAGTGAACTATTCAACTACACCCACAACAAGCATGAAAGACTCAAACAAACAAAATCAAGCACTCGATGCACCACTCCATGAACAAATCACAAGTAAATTTCTAGCCACATTAGAGATCCCTATTGGTATCAACATTAATAACAGCCAAAACCTCATGCTACCAGTAAAAGTAAAAACAGGCAGTATAAATAATACCATTCAACAGAGTCACTTGCCGTAGTTGTGCATTAACTTCTAAAAGAAACCCCACATCTAGTGGCCCTTCTTGCTCCCTTTGTTTGATTTCCTGACAATTAGAAGAAAAAGATTGCATAAATTGAGATGGCCAAATAACATATGTAACAATAATTTTTATAACATTCCTAAAGGGACTGCAAAAGCGAAAATTCTTTCGGTAGTTTTGTTGAGACTTTTCCTTCAAAAACTTACACAAATCCCTGAAATAATAATAGTAAGAAAGATAGAAATCTGAAAGGCAATAGTCTTTTCCTTATTCTTTTAAGGTGCAAGATGGCCCCATCAGGCTTGAGATAGTGTCCTAATAAAGCACAACATCCATAAATGAAGGACACTGGGCAGTAGTTGACGATGGACTGATCTTCGGTGTACATAACTAGAAGAAAAGGGACAAAAAAAAACACCAAAAAGTTCATTGGAACTACAAATGTTTATCTCTTCACTGAAATTCTCAGCACAAAAAGAAGAATGATGACAAGAAAAAAAAAATAACCAAGTAGAAAATGAAAACGTACTTTCTTCATGAAAAAGAGAGCCTCCAAATCTCTAGGAGGGCAAGAAATCTCTTTCTCTTCATCAACTACAGGTTTTAAAGCTTCCTTGAGAACATTGGTAGCTGAATTTATTTTTCCCAGCAGCAATGACAAAGAAATATGACAAAAATACATGAAATAGAAATATTCCGGCAACTCTAAGCAATACTCTGAAACAATCTTTCTATGATAGGGTGCAGGCTGTCTTTTAGCACAATTAGAGAAACAAACATTACATTAGTCTTATGGACTAGGCAGTCCACTGTGCTCATTGCCGATAAAGCCAATTCTTCAGTCTTTCTGCAAACAAAAATAGGTGGCAAAATTTCTATTACAAAAGAAAAGGCTGATATAAGAGAAAACAAATTTAATCCAAAGCATAAAGTCTCCACTGATTTGCAAGTATCCGTTCTAGCTACAAGTCGTATGCAAAGGCTCTCATTGAATGCAAGTACATTTTCTACAACAAGCTGCTGAAGCTGCTCAAAACATAAGATGACCTTGTTAAAATTAAACTAAATAGAACTCTTAAGATAAAACAGACACCATGCACTTCAAATAATCATACCACATCTTAATAAGAACTTTATTCACCGATTAACAAGGATCATTTGTGGATACACTTTTCGAGTGAATTATTAAAAAATGAGATAAATTAGCATCAAACCAATATGTGGGAGGGGAATGAGTTAATTATTTGAGACATGGCGTGGAAAATACAGAAATATCTTTTGAGCACTCTAAAAGATAAACTAGTGACCCAGTCATGTATTTTGCATGTGCATCTCCACACTCCAATGCTACCTGCCCAAAATACAACAGTAGGAAAAAAAAAGCTCCAAGAGTCTACCGCATAAACTTTTTGTATTCACAGAAGGAAGAGCACTTGCAACAGTATTATGACACATAAATGTGTGAGACAAGTTTGATAGTACCTAATCACATCCACAGAAAAGTAGAAATTAGGGCAATCCAATACTGGGAAATTATAGGGAAAAAAACATAGGTTGGTAGAAAAAGGCCGCTTTAAAATATACAACAAAACACCAATACCTCCTTATCATTTACATCGCTCAGCATATCTATTAGTATATCCACTTCCACGGTCTTTTTAAATGAATTCTCAGCATCTGGATTAACTGTATGGATCAAAGTCCTCCTGTTTATCTATTAAAACAAGTCATTTCATCATCAGTAACCTCTCTTTAAGAAAACAGAATAAAAATAAAAAATTGGGGAAACCATTTTCTTTGTACTCTTCATAAAATAAGCCAAGTGCATAAAAAGGGTTATAAAACCACTTGGATGTTTTCCAAATCTTGTCAACATCATCCACATTCTCTATTTCTGACTATGCAAAGAGGAAACTTTTGCTCTTCCTGATGGAAATTGTAGGTACAAACATTACTTCTACCTCAAGAAAAGTCAATCAAAGAAAGCAAAGGTTCTGCTGCCCTTCAGAACTCATCTCTCAATTCCCCTATAGACAAGGACTCATAATAAGCCACTTTAGCTAATAATAGTCAAAATGGCCCACACTTATCCACATTGTTACGCTTTGAACTACCTTCGAACGATTCAACCGTTAATGGTATACATTATCAAAAGCATGCGGCCACTAAACTTGTTCATCTTCTTCAACTCATATCTCCCTTCCTGTACCTTAATTTTGTTGCATTTTTAGGTTTTTCTTCTGAGCATTACCCCCCCTCCCCCCAAAAAAGAAAAATCAGTTCCGGCAACCTTTGTTCACGAGAACAGTAAATAAAAAAGCAAATGAAACTTATAGTTAAACTTCTATTAAGTCGTCGGCATCAAGGCTCCCTAGATGCAAAGGAGACAGAGGCAGGAGAGACAAAATTTGGTGGGATTGATGTCGACCCAAGATGAGTAGTTGATTTGGAATCTTTAAACCACTCTATTAGTTTCACTTTGTGGAGTCATTAACATATACTCTTAGGAGCACCGGTATTTAGGATCATGTTGTGTATGGAAATACAAGTGAGATAGTGGGGGCGAGATATTTTCAATCTAATTCAAGAAACATGAGAGATGAGAGTGCATATAAAACTTCTTATATATATTTGGTCTTGTAGGCACGACCACATTTAAGTGCAATCTTGAGAATCAAAAGTAAGAGATTGGGAACATGTGAAAAATACTTTAAAACATTTCCAAAAATAGATTGAAGATAACTGTGTTCTGCTTGTAAAAGATGTATAAACCAAGTCTACTAGAAGCATCATAAATGCATAGCGGGCCGTAGCAACACATTTTATAATATTACAATAGAATACAACCCCTCAACCAACCCCCAACCACCCAAAAAAATCTAAAAAACAGATAGCCCTGTTGTTCTTTCTCTTCCCACCTCAGCCACAATTGTAAACCTACCAGATTTCTACAGAAAGTTCAATTTGACTTGAGAAAGAAAGTTCTATCTTATTTAACTAGTGCTATTTTTAACTTTCACGAAAAAAATGTATTTCAAGACTAAAAAAAGAAACCAATACCTCAGATTTACCTAAGTGAACTGGTGGATTCTCCCAATAAAAACTGCAGAGCAATGAACTAGGTGTTCCACCTGCAGAGCAATAAAAACTGCAATACAGAGAAATAACATCCTTCCAACATGAATATATACTACAAAAAACATCCTTGCAAGTTTAATTCCTTAAGAACATTAGGAAACAAAAGAAAATATACTAAACATCAACACAGAGAAAAGAATATTGGGCAAGAGTGGGAAGCATTTGACAGCTCGGAAGCATGAATCAATGTAATTTTACCTCTTAAATAAGTCAATAAGTAGGAGTTAAAAATAAATAAACTTTTACTTCCTTAAAAACACTTCTATGTTAAAAACTTCTTATATTTATCTTATTTGAAAATACACACGCATTCACACACAATAATAACACACACACACACTAATATGTAAAAACACACATACAAATACGTCAAAAATCACATGCACACCACTAAAATGTAAAACACATACACACTAATACATCAAAAACCACTGCCCCCCACACACGTAACAATTCACCAAAAATGACACTTGCACGCACACGCATATGTAAAAACACACATATACTAATACACCACACACACACATTGTGTTAACACACTTAATACACCAAAAAACACATGCGCTAATACATTGAAACAGACGCGCACATATACACACACTAATAGACCAACAACGAACACACATATCCCTATACAGTAAAACAAGCGTAGTAAGATATCAAAAAAAAAAAAATACACACAAAATACACCCAACAAAAACAAACACTAACAAACACAAGCATGTACACTCTAATATGTAAACATGCACAAAATACTAATATGTAAAAACACGCACACACACTAATAAACCAAAAACCATCCACACTAATACAACAAACAAGTACACCCACTAGTATACCAAAAAAGTACGCACACACAGTGTTATCAAACACTAACACACCAAAAAATAAACACAAGTTAATACACCAAAACAACCACTAATACATGAAAATACACACGTGCACATATACACACATACTAATACACAAAAAATCACACACACAATACACTGAAACGCATACACACACAAATACACAATAAAAATACACACACACACTAATACATAATAAACACACAAACTAGTAATAAACCAAAACAAACGCACATTCACTAAAACACTCATAGTAACTCAACAAAATATACACACTAATGCACCAAATAAGTACACACAAATACACCAAAAAAAGCACACATACTCACTTATTGAGTGTGAAAAAAAAACACTATAATACACCAAAAACACTTGCAGGCTCCAGAGCAACACTGCTTCTACTGGAAAAAAAATTTACAAACTGAACACCTACTCGCTTTGAGAAATAAGACAAAGATACCTTGGGATGGAAGCTTCATAGTAGTTTCCCCCACACAAAAAATGTCATTCCAAAAGTGAACTATTCAACAACACTCACCACAAGCATGATAGACTCAAACAAACAAAATCAAGCCCTCGATGCACCACTCCATGAACAAACCACAAGTAGATTTCTAGTCACATTAAAGATCCCTATTGGTATCCCAAGCCATTCTATTTACATGCAAATTTCTAGCCTCAACATCAAAATGCATCTTACCATTCAATATACCATGTGTTTAGGACAGAAGGTCCTCAAGGACAGATAATAATCTACTTTCCAATCCATCGAAAATCAGTTTTTGCGACAAATATACTCTAGATTTTACCTCTAAGAATCAAGTCTACAAGAGCAAGTGATGTCAACTTCCTAAGCTATCAACTTTAAGGTTATTCTTCGGGCTCAATTGTAAGAGAATTCTTGGTTCCAAGCATCACTCATTGGTCTAATTGCGTTATTTCAACCCTATATGGATGGAGTCTTACCAATTTCAAATCAACATACAATTCAATCTCATGAATGATGAAAATCAAAACATGAAGCTAAATTCAGTGAATATAATAAAATGAATCTACATTCCCCTTAAAGACAATGAAACACATACCAGCGTAAATATTGTGTGAATACGGCTACTGTTCAAATTAAAGTTATTTGAATCAACATGTTGGTGCTTTGCAATCATAGGAAGATGGTTAAAATCAGTAACAAGAACTAGACCAACTGAATATTCACTAATCCTGCAAGGGGCAGGCCCAGTAAATATCCTACTCAGCAGCAAAAAATAAAGAAAAAGCGAGAGAGAGAGCATGCCCAAGTGGCAGAACTACAACTTCGTTTATACCCTAGACATAAGTACCATGCGAGCATATACTAGCATAAATAAGACCAACAGATTTCAACTCAGCAATAATATATTTTTTACAAGACTGAAGAGACTGCACAGAAAAACTTAAAGAATTGAGAACTTAATTGTTCAAGAAACTACAGATAAAGATAAATAAGGAAAAAATTATGCTCAAGAACCATTAGTGACCCACCATCTGATCTTCAATCAAATGATCACATAGTATCCTTTATGCAGGTGTGGGTGGGGTTTTTAAGAAAATAAGCATCATGCAGGTTGTCTCAGGAAGTAAATGGGTGAATGTAAGAACCGAAAAATGCTAACAAAAAGGAAAAACAAAAAATTTTCAGTAAGCTACTGAAGAAACCTGTGCATCTTCTCTAACACGTAAATTTTGAGCCGTTGGATCAAGCAAGTCATTTATCACCTGATATTAGAAGGAAAAAAGGCACTAAAGATCAGAGAACCTTCTTTAGGTGACCAAAGATTACGTAAGTTTTATTAATAATAAAAGTCTACATTAAATATGTCTTGACGCACATGCGCATTAGCTAACTATTTTCAAGAGTAATCAAATTATCTACAGGTAGAACTGATCCCTTGTCTACACATTGGTAATTTGTGCTCCTAATTGCCTTTGATATAATGCCCCAGACCGAGTCAGTTAGCAATCTAATTATGGCCTAATATAGAATTGTGCTTCCACATCTTATAACTGAACTAACAAGGCGTATATCCATGAGACTGCCATGTTTGACAGAAACTTATTGATAATATACATAATTCAACATGAAAAAGAAAGAAGGAAAAGAAAAAAGAACTTTCTGTGGCATAACTGCGATTAGAGATGATAATGGAAGCCTAGAGTTGCAAAACTTTCTGCAACATAGCCTCAAGTCCGAGCTTGTCCCCATCAAACGCATGCGGCCACTAAATTGTTCACCTTCTTCAACTCATCGACAACTCATATCTATCTCAACATTAGCCAATAACAACCATAACCTCATTGTACCAGTAAAAGTAAAAACAGGCAGTATACAAAATACCATTCAACAGAGTCACTTGCCGTAGTTGTGCATTAACTTCTAAAAGAAGCCCCACATCCAACTGTGCTTCTTGCTCCCTTTGTTTGATTTCCTGATGTTGGAGATATAGCATTCTAGCTTATTAGGGTTTATTAAAGTTTTCCCTTTTTACCTTTTTATCCTTATTGTAACTTTCATTGGCTATATATACAGGGGCTCTACACTTAGTTTGTATCCCTTTTCTCTATTCTAAATATTTCTAGTTGGTATCAGAGCCAGGTTCTAACCTTAACCTTCTCCCAAACCTTCACCCCTAACCCTAGCCTCCACCGAGTCTGCCTCACCGGCAAACTGCCTTCAAGCAAAACCAGCCCCTGCCCACCGACAAAACCACCAACCCAAAGCAAAACCAAACACTCACCAACACCTGACAATTAGACGAAAAAGATTGCATGGCCAAATAACACATGTAACAATCGTTTTTATAACATTGCCAAAGTGCCAACTCGTGAATATATTCTCCCAATAAAAACTGCAGAGCAATAAACGTAGTGTTACATCTACAGAGCAACAAACGCAGTGTTCGATCTGCAGAGCAACAAATGCAGTGTTCCATCTGCAGAGCAATAAACGCAGTATTCCACCTGCAGAGCAATAAAAACCACAATACAGAGAAATAACATCCTTACAACATGAATATACTAAACATCAACACAGAGAAAAGAATACTGGGCAAGAGTGCGAAGCATCTGGCAGCTGGGGATCGGGATAGGGAAAGAAAGAAGTGGAAGATGAAAAGAGAGAAAACACATTAAAGATCAACCAAGAACGCATAAAACCAAAGAAAACAAATTAAAGATCAACAAATACCGCATATACCCAAAGAACATATATTAAAGATCAACAAAGAACGCATATACACACACACTTACAAATTATACCATTACACACAAAGAGAAGAATACTGGGCAAGAGTGGGAAGCATCTGATGTGATAGCTGGGGATCGGGATAGGGGAGGAAAGAAAAGGGAGAGGAAAAGACAGAAAACATATTAAAGATCAACCAAGAACGCATAAACCAAAAAAAAACAGATTAAAGATCAACAAAGAACGCATATACCCAAAGAAAATATACCCCCACACACACATATATACACACATTATACCATTACACACAGAGAGAAAACAATACTGGGCAAGAGTGGGAAGTAGATGAAAAGAGAGAAAACATATTAAAGATCACTCAATAAAGTATGTACCTAAATATACACAAACAACATTACACAAAAAAAAGAGAAAATATACTAAGAATCAACCAACAAAGTATGTACTCAAATTATACATACATATCGTAACATTTTACAAAGAGAGGAAGAGAAAGAACAAATCCTAAAGGGGGTACATACCCTCATTCTCTCTCTTGCTCGGTACTCTCTCCTTTGTATCGAAGAGAGAATGAGGACAGAAGACTCAGAGAGTTGGGGTTGGTGGCGCCATGGCCAAGAATGGAGTCATAAGAATCCAGTGGAGGGAGAGATCACAGAGTTCTTCACTCACTCACCCAAGAGGTTTCAGTTTTTCACCACCACGCCCTCTCTCCTCTCTCTCTCTCACACACACATCTACAGAAATTAGAAAGTGGCGGTGGTGGTGGCGCCTTTGCTATATAAATATGGCCCAAATGGCAGGTATATTGATGTATAATTGGGCCACAAATATAGGCCCACAGTCACTCTTACAGTCTTATGTCATTAAAACTACTAATGTTCATCTAAGACAAAATATTTTCGTGTGAATGACACTTTGTACGATAATAGATTTTTGATTTAAACCCTAAAAAATTAAAAAATTCTCATTTCCCACTAAATTACATAAAATGGTAATAGTATGGTTCAAAATCAATCGTCTGTTGCTCGGTCTAATAATTTTTTCTATTGTATTTTTTATATTTTGATAATTTTTATTCACTGTAACCTTCATAATATTCAATGTTAAATATTTTACATAATGATTCTAACATGAACAGAGGAAACAAAAAAAAACCAATTCTAATCAGCTATGAAGCAAAGCCCTAAGGAGATCAGGCAGCCTCCCATGACACTAAGTTGTTTTGGTAACATGCAGATGTAACAATGGTGTCTTCCAAGGGCCTCCGCCAGTAATACTTGTCAAAACATTGCAGAGTCAGTCATCCAACACATCCCTTTTTCATTTGGTCTACATTTCCAAACAAAGTTACTCATATTTGGTCAACAGTACATTAGCTACTTATTTTCAAGAGTGATCAAATTATCTACAGGTAGAACTGAACCCTTGTCTACGCATCGGTAATTTGTGCTCTTAATTGCCTTTTATATATTGCATGCCTCAGATTGAGTCAGTTAGCAATCTAATTATGGCCTAATAAAAAATTCTGCTTCACATCTTATAACAGAATCAAGGATCAAAATATAGTTTCGGTGTATTGTTTCGGTCACCTAGAAAACGGAAACGTTTCGACGTGTTTCGGAAACATAATAAAAAAAATAAATAATTTAAAAATTATTTTTCTAAATTATGAAAATATATCAAAATATCTTTAAATATCTTGAAACATTTTAAAACAATTGTGCAAATGCATTGAAATATTATAATACATTTAAAAATATTATGGAATACCTCGAAATATTAAAATTTCGATTTCATTACTGTTTCGTTTCGGTCTCCTTAGAAACGGAAACGTTTCAGACATTTCGACCGTTTCGAAACGATATTTTGATCCTTGAACAGAACTAACAAGGAGTAAATCCAAGAGACTGCCATGTTTGACAGAAACCTATTGACAATATACATAATTCAACATGAAAAAGAAAGAAGGAAAAGAAAAAAAGACCTTTTTCTGGCATAACTACGATTAGAGAGGATAGACAGTGGAAGCATAGAGTTGCAGAACTTTTTGCAACATAGCCTCAAGTCCTAGCTTGTCCCCATCAAAAGCATGCGGCCACTAAACTTGTTCATCTTCTTCAACTCATCGAAAACAACTCATACCTATCTCAACATTAGCCAATAACAGCCATAACCTCATGCTACCAGTAAAAATAAAAACAGGCAGTATAAATAATACCATTAAACAAACTCACTTGCCGTAGTTGTGCATTAACTTCTGAAAGAAACCCCTCATCCAGTGGTCCTTCTTGCTCCTTTGTTTGATTTTCTGACAATTAAAAGAAAAAAATTGCATAAATTGAGATGGCCAAATAACAAATGTAACAATTGTTTTGTTAACACATTCCCAAAGGGATTGCAAAAGAGAATTTTTTCAGTAGTTCTTTTGAGACTATTCCTTCAAAAACTTAAACAACTCACTGAAGTAATAATAGTAAGAAAGAAAAAGAAATTTGACAGGCAATAGTATTTTCTCTTTTTTTTAAGGGTGCAAGATGGTCCCATCAGGGCTGAGATAGAGTCCTAATACAGCACAACATCCATAAATGAAGGACACTGGGCAGTAGTTGACAATGGACTGATCTTCGGTATACATAACTAGAAGAAAAGGGACAAAAAAAACACCAAAAGGTTCATCAGAACTACAAATCATCCCTGAAATTCTTAGCACAAAAAGATGACAAGAAAAAAAAAATCAACCAAGTAAAAAATGAAAAACACACTTTCTCCATGAAACGAGAGCCTCGGAATCTCTAGGTGGCCAAGAAAACACTTCCTCTTCGTTAACTACAAGTTGTAAAATTTTCTTGAGAACATCTGTAGCTGAATTTATTTTTTCCAGCAACAATGAGAAAAAACTAAGACAAAGATAAATGAAAATAGAAATATTCTGGCAACTCCAAGCAATACTCTAAAATAGTCTTCCTATGATACAGTGCGGGGTGTGTCTGAGCACAGGTAAGAGAAACAAAAATTACAATAGTCTAATGGACAAGGCGATCCACTATGCTCATTCCAGATAAAGCCAATTCTTCATAGTCTTTCTGCAAACAAAAATAGGTGGCAAAACTTCTATTGAATGGACTGAGCTAAGAGAAATAAATAAATTCAATCCAAAGTATAAATAAAAGAAAATGTGATAACATATTATACCAAACCTAACGTTACGAATTGAACTTACATCATCCTCGCCAACAGAGTAACTATACACAACGCTCAGATATCCAGGAATGGAGTTTTTTTGGAAGAAACAAGTATTAACTTCGTTAGCCTTTAGGGATTCTGCTCACTAGAGCGGCCTTGGATTCTTCATGTTCCTTTAAACCTGATTGCATTTTATCCCCTTCCTTAGCTGATCAAGTTCTTGTTTGAGAATTGAGATTTCCCTCTAATACTTCTTAATCAAAGAATTTCCATCAATAATCTGAAAAAAGTACTTTTAAATAGCAAAATACAAGTGAGTTCCAAACTATTGTTATTGTAAATTCTTCTGCAAATATCAGAGCATTTTCTAATGTCATAGCAAACCTCAAGTGATGCAAGGATGCAAAAACATTTTGCACTGCTTGCAAATTTTCATGCATTATTAGTTTCCTCCATATTACTGGAAGCAGGAGCAACTGTGCATATAAGCTTAGATAAACAGAAAAACAAGGAATAGACATGTCAATACTATGCACTATGATTCCATTCTTGCCAACTGTGTTATAACTCACAAAAAGGCCGGGTCAAATCATATGGAATCAACATAATCACTAAACTTCTTGTTACTTGTCTCGCTTACCGAAACAAGCCCATGCCCACTCAATGAAGATGGCAGGAGCCAGGTGGTAGGTAAGCTTAGAATTTCGATATGGAACATGAGATGCCTTCCCTTCGCTTAGATTCCAATTACCTTCATGTTGCAATTAAAATCAATCTATCTTGTTGAAACAGTATCATAAAAGTGGAGTAGTTTACAACAGCAGTCCTAATAAGATGCCACCTTCCATACACAAGCCCCTCCCCCCCCAAAAAAAAAAAATAATAATAAATCAGAATAATAAAAGAAGAAAAATTGAAACCGTAAAATTATAAGGGGACAATGGAACATGAGCATTACCAACAGCTGGTGAGAACATAGTAGATGCTTATTTTGCTCCTGTTATAACAAACATCAAATAATGGGTAAA